GGCCATAAACTGCGATGTCAAAGTTCCAATAGTTCACGCTGCACGCGTCTCCGTTTGTGCCCCAAAATATATATTCCTGCGTCATCTTCTGCTATCTCTTCTTCTTCTTCTTGTTGCTTCCGTATTTTTATTATTGTTTTTCCATCTTATTTATTATCAACTTTAGTGTGTCTCCTGCTGTTGGCATAATTTAACACGTCCAACAATCTGTTGCCGTTGACATCTCTCACAGTTTCTTTGTTTATCTGCAGCAAAATTAATTTTCCTTCAATTCGGGAAATTCCCATTTTCATCTGACTAATTCAATAATTTGTATGCACAAATCTATGGCCTAAAATAGATTCGTAGGTGTGAAGCAAACACGAGGCTCAAATTTTATTCGAACTAAAGAGTGATACGATAAGAGAAATACGTTGAATTAAACTTTTTGCGATTATCTGAAGGAGTAAATGGGTCTGCAGGCTCTATTTTAATCATTATTTCATTATAATATAATATATAATATATAGCATAGCTAAAGTATAGATCGGCTATACTAAACTGCATAATCCGTCCTTAGACTTTGGCCAACTCAACGAAATCCACAATCTTTATAGTCTACGATTACATATATTTATGAATTTATGTGTGTATAGAAATATGTATTTATGTCTGCTCCATCAATACACCCTGCTATGCGATTCTCATTAATTTAGGTATGAATTTGATTGTAGAAAAACCTGCACTTTAAATGTCCAACAATTTTGTATTCTGTGCAAATTGCTATAAAATATTGTCATTCCGATTTCAGAAATGCTTTGGAGTTTGGCATATTATATAATGTTCATAAGAGCTATGACATTTATAAGACTGCTAACATTAAGTCCTCTAAATTAAAAAGGAGCTTCTTGTATTTTAATATCTTAGTCTAACTCTGCCTATATTATATTTTCTTATATATTCTCTTCTTTACTCTGCTCTATTCCTTTCTCTTCTTGTTTGTTCTTTTCTTTCTGTTCGTTTCAGTTTCTTCTCTTTTAATTTAATTTAATTTCTTCTCTTACCTGTTTCTGTTTCATTCTTCTTGTCTCTTTCTATGTTATTCTCATTGTTCTTTAGTGTTTTTTTCTCTCTATTTCAATAATTTTAATGTTCTATTGTGTTGTCTCTTCTCTCGTCTTTTAGTTTCTTAGTTTCTTATCTTCCTTGTTCTTTTCTGTAGAAATCTTCTTCTTCTTCTTCTTCTATTCTCACTTATCATTGCTTTGCATATGTCTTCTTTTTATTTTTTCTTTAGTCCCCACTTTCCCTCCTTGCTTCCATTTTCACTTCTTCCATTTCTCTATGTTCTCTGCTCTGTTGAATAGAAGACTCTTTTTTCTTTTTGACTTCTTTTCTCCCTTCTCATCTCATATTGTCACTTCTCTTTTTTTCAATTTCGTTCTCTTATTTTTTTCGTCTATTATTTTTTTTTCTCCTCATTTTCCTACTTTACTCGTGTCTTCTCTTTTCATATTTTCTTGAGTAAAGATTCAGTTTATTTCCTCTCTTCTCTTTTCTTCTGTTTCTTTCTCTCTTCTTATTCAGATTATGTTCTAATCTCTATTCTTTTCTTATCATTTCTTTGTGTCTTTTATTTTTAATTAACTTTTCTTTTTCCACTTTTGTTTTCTATTTTTTTGTTGTTAATTTTTCATATATTTTTTAATGGTTTTTTCTTTTGTTTCTTCTCTTGTCGTTGCTTTCTTTTTGCTCTATCTCTTCTCTTTTCATTTCTTCAATTCCTTTCTAACTTTTTTCTCAAACACACTTCGACTTGACTTTTGGTTTCCCTCTATTTTCCCTATTTTTTCCTCTACCTCTTTCTCTCTTCTCTTACATTCAATCATCTATTCTTTCCTCTCAACTCTCTTCTCTCATTTCTATCTCTTTATTTCTCTCATATATTCTATATATATATTTTTTAGCCCTAATCTTTTTAGTATACATCGCTTTATATTTCGTAACAGCCTTTGCTTGCCTTCGACCCAAGACCTAGATAGAGGCTTACGTACTCGGTTCTCTCGGAGTCGCCGACTCTCAGGGAAAAGCAGCTCATTAGCACACAATGCGACAATAAACTTGAGATGTTTGCTGAAGCTGATTCACTGCTGGGCCTCACTCACATGTCGTGTGTGCCGTGGCCAGGCGGAAGAAGGAAGTGCCGCCAAAAGCGGAACCATCTGTCGCAGCCCGAAGTTGAGTGACAACGCTTAAGGAACGAAGTGAAAAAGGTGCAGGAGGAGAAACAGAAGCAGAAACAGAAGCAGAAGCAGAGACAGGAACAAAAACAAATTTAAACACTGACCGTGCAGTTATTAAAAAGCGATAAACCCAGGGCAAACGCATTGGCGAATTGTTGAACACCTTGGCGACGATAGGGGCGGCCCAGTTAGCTTCGAGCAGCAGTGCGAGCCGAGCTGGGCTGTGTTTCGAATTATGGAATTCTTATGCTAAAATAATGTGGCCACGGCTGCCACAACTGGCTGCCACGGCCATCGATCGGTAATAAATTTGTTGCCCGAGCTCAGGCTAACCCCAAGGCAGAGGCAGAGTCAGAGCCAGAGCTGGAACCAGTCCGGTCTGGTCTGGTCTGCGGACAGTGGCAAAAAGACTTGATGTAAATACGCACACGGGAGCATGTCGCGCGTTTGTACATTTCTTTAATTCATGAGCAGCAGAGGATCTGCCTGGCTGGCTGGCTGGGAGACAGGCGAACTGTTTAGGCTCGATGAGGCGCGCAAAGTTGACCAACTGCGCGATAAGTCATTGAAAGTCAATAATATGTTACGCGCCTTTCATCGTATTGTATAATAGCCATAACAATAAGAGCGTCCAGCCAACTCAGGAAGTGACTGCGCTGTATCTGTATCTGTATCTGTATCTGTATCTGTGTATCAAGTTGTATCTGTATCTAGACCTCGTTGCGCCTCGTTGCGGCGTCCACAAATGTGTGTCTTATTTATGAGTGGAGCGACTATCTGAGATTTGTTTTTCATTAATTATGCATCTGGCTTTTGGGGCCCCCGCAGTCGCTGCTCGATGATAAATAGCTCGAGATTAATAAGGCGCCTGGCTAAATGGCGTGGAAAACATGAACATGTGATATTAACGTTTATTAAATTTGTTGCTTGATTCGTATCGTTCTGCCTGTCCCAGCCGAATGCAATCATTAGTTGGCTCTTTGCATAAATTATGACTTCGATATTGCTGCCTGGCAGGATGCGAACGCAGTCAGGAGCAATCGTTCGTTTGATTATGTTATGTAACATTGATGCTTATCGCAGCGATTGAGCGGCCAGCCGAGGGCCTCGTGAAAGGGTATATTGGCTGCCCAGTGAGCGGCAGTCCCCATGTGTATTTATGCTCGCCCACAAGCTAAAGAAGAGCATATTTGAAATTATTTTATGTCTAGCTGACTAGCTGTGCGGTTATGCATATGAAGTCAAGTTTGATGAGCTGAATTTGGGGACTTTCTAAGACATTCACTTATATAAGCCATACACATGAGTCTTACTGCATACACATAAGTGTATTCTGATATTAAGTTCTATTATTTTTTGGATATGCTCACTAGTAGCTTCACAAATCAGGCAGGATCTTTGTGTGTTCTAGTGAAGATCATATATTATATTTTATATATTATATAAGACAGATTGCAAATAAAAACAGCAATTAAAAAAAAATATATATAGTATATAATAATATTATTATTATTTTTAATTTATATTTCATATATTATATATATATATATCATATTATATTATTATATTTTATATATATTATATATTATATTTATGATATTATATTTCTAGTTAATTTTGAGCTAAAGGCTTGGAACTTGATTTAAATATATACTTACAGACCTTCTGAAACTATATCTATTAAAGTTTCCTAAAGAAATACTAATTAAAAATGTATATTAACAGAATATTATTTCTATTTCCATTTTGCTAAATATATTAATTCTAAGAGCTCTTTGCGAATGTGTTCGATTTTAAATAAAACGATTTGTTTCACAGTTTCAACGGCTAGCGACCCATTAGTTAATTAATCTAATTTACCATACTCTGGAATGATTTAAAATGCAGTAAAAAAACTAAATTTTATACTGTCTAACAGCTGAAGTCAGAACTTTTTATCTGCTCTACAGTTTGACCAAAAATAATGTGATTAAAAATAAAAGAATTACTATACGACTTGAGAAATCGAATTGGAATTAAAGCTTTGAGAGTTGGAGGGCTGCAGTCATCAAAGTTTTCTTGAACTTGTCTATAGATATAGCTATAAATTATAGAATATTTCAATGAAGGCATGGCACATGCGAAAATATGAAGCTTTAACTAAAATGTCGACACTTTTTTAAAATTGGACGCTTATTAGGCAGTCCCAAACTCCCGAAAAAAAGCTCCAATTTGTTAAGCAATGCAACTATAAGCTCATATATGATCCGGCTGATATCTAAGTTAACTTTTATTTTAAGACTCTATGAACAAAGGGAGGATCTCCTAGACTATATATAGATAGTTATAAATGTATAAAAATATTTATAGTGAGACTTGAAGTTATTTAATAAAAAACACACGCATTTTGATTGTATTCAAATTGTTTTTATTTTAGTCATGTTTTTTTTTTGTTTTATTTTTTATTTATTTTTGTTTTTGTTGCATTTCAATTTGTATAACCTAATTTGTGAAATTGAAAATCGAAGATATTAAACAAAATAAATTCTAGCTTTCAAATTGTTATGTCGAAGTCGTGTACTATACAAGAAATGTTGATTATTATCATTAGTGTGTTTTATTATTATTATTATTAATAATATTATTATCGCTGTAGTAAATTGTTACCAAAAAACTCTAACGCAGATTATGCATAAGAATACATACATATATATATATATTTTTTTTTATATATGTATATGTTATATGTTATATGTACGTGTATATATAATTATATATTTATAATTTATATGTATGCGTGTCTAACTTGCTGATATGGGATGCTAAAATTAGGGGGGCTTGTACAATACAATACAAAAATTACACAATTTTTAATACGCGAATTGTTTACAATATTTAAGAGTAAAAGTAAATTTTAAACCTCACAGACTCACTTTAATTACAAACAAACATTTCATAATTATCTTTTATTGTTTAGTCAGATTTCAGCAACGTTTAACGGAATCCAAAACTGTTCGATATAGGTATATGAGGGGGCGGGGGTGGTGCCAGGACTCAGCTTCATTTGAATCCTGTCTGCTGTTTGCTTAACATTAGCGGAGCTTCCGTTTATTGTTTGTTGTTGGGTTGCCGTTTGTTGTTGTGATTTATTTGCATTATTTGTTGAGTGTCACTTTCATTAATTTGTACATCAACGAGAATTCCCCTCACACCTGTTGGCGTGGCGTGGGATAACACTGGCGTCCTGTCGTCTAGAACCAGTACAGATCCTTTGACGACTCCTGCACTTGAGCCTCCAGACCTTTTTGTGGCCAACGAAATCAACAAAGAAAAGAGCCAAAGAAAAAAAGGAAAACATTTCATTAAAGCACAATCTGAACAGAGGTCAGAAGTCATTGCCATTGCCATTGCCATTGCCATGACAATGGCACACAAATGCCTCAAGTCCTTGCCGCTGGAGTCGAGTGAGTACGCACCTGCCATTGTCGGATAGCTCGAGTAGGCTGCCGCACTCTCCAAGGCGTGCGCCGTCTGCTGGTCGTGGTGTAGTCTGCGAGGAGGCCAAACAAAGCGTTGGATTATTTAGAAAGATATGCGAAAAGCAGATCGAGCATTTAAATATGTGTTAGCTTGGCTTTAAAGAAGATACAAATTCTTGCAAATGTTTCTAGATAATATATTATTATCTAAATAATATATATTATCGAGCATTGAAATATGTTAAAGAAGATAAAAATTCTTGCAAGGGTTTCTAAATTATATATTTTATTTATAAATAAATAAATAAATTTTATATGAGTTGTTTTAAGATATTACACAAAAGTGACTCTGATGCTTCCCCAGTAGGCCGTTTCGACTCCAGTTTACCTGCTCTTATTTAATCTCTTCTGATTTATTTGCCGACTGAGCGAGCTTTTTGTCTGTCCCACCGCCTCGCTGCTAGTGCCATGTTCTTTCTTCTTCCTTAACATAATGTTACTTAACAGTTGTTCAAACTAATGTTATGCTAACATTGAATGTAAATGGAGTAAATTTTTGACCTATGTACATAGTCACTTAGAGTAATTTTTAAAGATATAAAATAGTTGAGTTTCTGCATATTATGAACTGCGTAAAAAGCTTTATTTATGGCTTGATTTGCTAAACAGAAACTATTTATACGAATTGAAAACATATCGTTTCCTTATCCTTTTTGATTTTTGATAGAAATGTGAAAATTTGATAAAAATATGAAAATTGAAAATTCTGATCCCAAATAAGGATCAGAAGAATTTTGAACGTGAATATTTAAATAATTTAAATGAGGTTTCATAATTGTATATATAGACTGAAAGTATTTTATATGGAAGTACTATTAGTATTATATTACTATTATATATATATATATATAAATATATTTTTTTTATATTTATTTATATATAAGAAATTTAATAAAATTATGTCATTCAATTTATTTGAAAAGGAATTTAAATTTAATTTAATAATAAATTAAAATTTAATAAATTTAAAATTTAGTAAAATATATTTAATAAATTATTTTATTTTTATATTTAATAAATATTTTTTTATATTTGTTTATATCATATAAGAAATTTAATAAAATTATTTCATTCAATTTAATTTAGAAGGAATTTAAATTTAATTTAAAATTTAGTAGAATATATTTAATAAATTATTTTATTTTATTATTTAATAAATATTTTTAAAGAAATTTAATAAAATTATTTCATTCAATTTAATTTAAAAGGAATTTCAATTTACTTTAATATTAAATTAAAATTTAATTTAAAATTTAGTAAAATATATTTAATAAATTTCAAATTTAATAAAATTTAATAAATATAATTTCAATCTATATATATGTGTGTATCTCTAATCCAGAAAGCAATTCATCTGAACTTTCTCAAACACACTGTGCGTTTCCCACTCCAGCATGAAGATACAGATTGAAGTTATATATGAGTTAAAGCTGTAATCTGTATAATATATGCAATATATATTATAAATAAAATCTGTTTAAAGGTGACTCCTCTGGGAAAGCCTATCTTAAAGCAACTCTAACAAGTTTTACCCAAGTTTTCACCTCTTTTTCACCCCGCTAATTCTTAAGGATAACTGTCAGGCAGGTGCTATTATATCTATCGCCACATTCGTTTACATCGCAGTCAAAATTTCCATTTTAGTTCATAGTTTGGTATATGAATTGAGAATAATTCAGCTAATAGAGCCATAAAAGCTGCCTCGACAATTTAGCGTTAGACTCACCTTGTGCCGTGGCTATACTGCTGGGGCAGGCGCAGCAGGCTGCCGTACTGGGCCATGTTGTGGTGGTAGGCATGCGCGTGGGCTGCATGCGCATGCGCCGCATGCGCGTAGGAACCATAGTGCGCGGCCGCCGCATGCGGCACCCAGGGATCTGCGGCGTAGCCAGAGTCTGTCGCTGTGCCGTACAAGTCGCTAACCTGGATGTGGACAGAGACAGAGATGGGGCGCACAGATATGGCCGGTGAGCGAAATTCGAATTACAACTTATTTTGCCAATGCGTGCAGCAGTCGGACTTGGGTAATTGCGGCACGTATTGCAGTTAATCGTTTTCAGTTTTCGTGGCCACTGTGGCATTGTTTATGCAGCCGACACTTACCTGTGGATGCGTGGGGGCGGGTATGGGATGCACGTAATTGCTGTTCCAGAACGATGGTGGGAAATTGCGACTCGACATTGGGCTGCTGCTATCTGAAAAGAGTCAAATCGAAAAGCGTATCGCTGTTAATCCACAAGCCAAACCAGTTAGCCGCATTTGACTGGCCGACTCTAATAGGCCAAACTCGAGGAGTGCCAGCCAGCCAGCCAGCCAGCCAGCCAGCCATTCAATTCAAGTGCATAATGATAAAGTGAGCAGCGGCTGGATGCTCGCAAATGGCTGCTGAGGGAGCCACGTACTTGTGTTGTCGTCGGCGCCATGGCTTGTTGCAAATAACTGAGCGGAATGTTTGTTGTCGTTGCCGTGTTCAGGATCATCACTTGTATTAAATGGTTGTAAATCTACGCGCTTATGAAATCGCAGAAGACGAACATGCAGACATCTCCATTATGTGTGGAGAGCGAGCGAGTGGAGTAATGGAGCTGCTGCTGCTGCTGCTGCTGCTTGGAAATTGTTGCCGAAAATAGCAACAACTTTTGGTTGGCTGACTGGCTGGCGTCTGTGGCATGCATGCATGCACATGTGCCAAGGACTGCAACTGGGGACTGCCGCAGTCAGAGGCAACTGAGGCCTGAGGCCTGTGTACATAGGCGCATTTGCGTTGACAACATTCCAAACTCAATTCAAGAGAAAAATATATACAACAACTGCAGCAGAGTCGCTGAACGGGGCATAGACTCCATGAGTAGCTGTTACCGAGGGTAGGCAGCAGCTTTGAGGATATGTTTCGAACTGCCGTCGCGAGTCACAAGTCGCGACTTGCCACGGCACGTTGTGAGTGTGCCTTGAATGCTGATGATGTGGCTGACTTGCCTCCTGCCTCGGGGCTGCTGCCTGTTGGCTGGCTGGCTGACTTGGTTGGTTGGTTAGCGATGCCGCGTGCCCCATTCAGCTGCGTCGGCTGGCAAAAAGTCGTCATCGTCGCCAACTTTGAGCATCATTCACTCACTCGCCCAACTGACGGTCAGGAATTCCCATTAATGTGCAAACAAGCTGCAGCCACAGCAGCCACAGCAGCCGCTGCAGCCAGCCAAGATTTGACAACACTCTCCCGTGCCGACCGACCGCCCGCCCGCACCGTTTTCACTTTCATTGTGCAGCTCAAAGCGACAGAAGCCGCCAAAGTTGAACTACCTGATAGGCATTCACCTTTCACCTGATCTGTGCCAGCCTAATGAAGTCGCAGCCCGATAACTGTTAGCTGATAAGCGCCGATCGCAGGACACACACATGGCTCGCATCCTTTGTCCTTGTCTGCCTTAATTTAGGGCTGCTTAGGGCTCGGCTGCTTGGACTCTGGCATCTGCGCCAGCGGCGGGTGCCAAGGAATTTTAAATCGAATTCCTTGAGCATCTAATTAAATGCTCGCAGCACATTCGAATATCATATGAAAGTGCCACAGAAAAAGAAAACCGAAAAAAAACGGGGGCCCCGTCCACCACCACCACAACAACAACAACAACAACTGAAGGCTGCAGCTGAGAACGTCTCGGGCCATCTACACATTTTCTCTCGCTGTCGATGATATTTTAGGAGCCAGAACAGAAGCCACAACAACTGAAAGTGCAAGCGTGCCACACACTCAACCTGTGTGTGTGTGTGTGCGCCGTGCGAGTGTATCTCGAGTGAGCAGTTAATTGAAATGCATTTTAAAACCGTAATGAGGAATCTATGCGGCATTCGGCATTGGCACCGCCAGACGAACCGCACAACAACAACAACAACAGCGCACAGCAGCAGCAGCAGCAGTAGCAACAACATCGACCACATCGCATTCCGGCGACATTTTATAGCACATTCCAACTAGATATATCTATATATACATACACTTTTATATATGTGTATATATAAAACAACAACAACAACAACAAGCTGCACATCGCAGCTACAACGAGAAAAATCTATATAAATATACTGAATAGTTTTTAAAAGTGCGCACATCAATGCAAAAATCTCTGTCTGTGTGTGTGTGTGTGTGTGTGTGTGTGTGTTAACCACTCAAATAGACAAATGGCCAAAATGAACTTTAAATACCATTAAGTAGCGTCACAATAAAACTAAAAAAAACCTGAAAAAAGTTTTTGTTTTTTTTTTATTTATTTTTGTTTTGTTTTCTTTTCGTTTGCATTGCGCAAGTTTTACAGCCTGCTTAGTGGGTGAGTGGTTTAGTTGTGGTTCCACATTAACTAAAACTAAATGCTTTTCACAAGCTCTCTTATATACTGTCCGTATTAGTTATTAATAACTAAATTTGAAGTTTTATTTTGTTCTAAAATCCTTTCCATTTCTATTCAATCATTTCAAAATCAAATTCAAACTTAAATTTTTTTTATTAAAAATCATTCTGATTGCCATACTTCATATATACTTTAAATATCACACAAAAAAAAAAACAAATTTGTTTTAATTGTTTCAAGTGAAATATGGAGTAACAAATATTTGAATGCAAAGAAATCTAAATACTTGAAAAATATTTATGCTTAATCAGCGTAGCCAGAGTAAAGTAATCAATAAAACAAATACTATTTAGTCAACAACAATTAGAATTTACTTTTCTAATTGCATCGACATTTGAACATTTGAAAAACCAGCAATAGCTCCATCATCACAACTATCACATTTGAGCTAAATTTGAGCTAATATAACATTCATTTCGCTATTTTTAAGAGACTAGTAAGACAACCTCTTGAAAAGTCCTTTTTAGATACTTAAAAATTCTTTATACATATGTACTTAAGGTATTGATAGATCAGATTGCCACTCACTTCTAACACTTCGGATATAGGCGAACTACTAGATGTTTCTTCCATTGGAAATATTGGGCTTGGACCATCTGAAGTCAATGAATACTTAATTTAACTTTATATTTTATGAATATATATTTATGTATATATTTGTATAACAGTTTAAAAGAATAAAGCCAAATTAACATATGAATTGTCTCTTCTCTTTTTTTTCGTTCTCAATGCTTATATCTCTCTTATCACGTATAGCTCTTATCTCTTTTAGATTCTATAAATATATTCTGCTTTCTCTCTTCTATTTCAGCTCTTCTTTCTCTCTTCTATCTTCTTCTTTCTCTCTTTTCCCTTCTCTCTTCTCTTCTCTCTTCTTTTTCTCCTTTCTCTGTTCCCTCTTCCCTCTTACCTCTTCTCTCTTCTCTCTTCTCTCTTCTCTCTTCTCTCTTCCCTCCTCCCTTCTCCCTCTTCCTTCCCCTCTCCTCTCTCCTCTCTCCTCTCTTCTCTCTTCCCTCTTCCCTCTCCCTTCTTCCTTCTTCCTTCTTCCTTCTTCCTTCTTCCTTCTTCCTTCTTCCTTCTTCCTTCTTCTTCCTTCTTTCTTCTTTTCTTTTCTTCCTTCTTCCTTCTTCCTTCTTCCTTCTTCCCTCTTCCCTCTTCCCCATTCCCTCTTCCTTCTCTCTTCTCTCTTCTCCCTTCCCTCGTCCTTCTTCTCTGTTCTCGCTTCCCTCTTCCCTCTTCCCTCCTCCCTCTTCCCTCTTCCTTCTTCCCGCCTACCTTTTTCTCTCACCTCTGAAATTTCTAAACTCTCTACACTCTCCTTCCTTTTCCCTTTCCACTCTTCACTCCTCTCTTCTTAATGCTCTATTCGCCATTCAAAAATCTTGGCATATTAAAAGTAAATTGCCCAATTCCTTGTTTCAAATATTTTACAATTAGATAAATTCGCTTTTTTCAACTATTTCATATAAATGAAATCTTGCTGTAATAAATTATAATTGTTGGGTGTGCCTAGACCCACACCCACACCCGCACACCCGCACACCCAGACACACACGCAGTCTGTTTCAGGTAGCTCAGTGATATTGGAATAGTGATTGAATCTGATTGGATTTATTCAGGCAACATAAACCTGAATTTGCAATTAACGCGCGTGTCGAATGAAATTTTACTGAGCCAAAAATTGCGCAATCAAAGCCCCAAACTGTGAGCCAAGTCTGCCAAAGCACGCTCCCTGCACGCCCACCCCCTCCCGCCACCCGCTACACACACCCCCGCTGATTGCCACCTGGCAAACTGGCAGCCACAGAAACTCAATAAAAGCCAGCTGAGCATTAAATGCGACTCTGCGATTGCCATTGCCGTTGCCATTGCGATTGCGATTAGCGGTAAAAAGAAATAAAGCCACAAATTGTTCAACTGCTCGTTGATTGGCCAAATTCGTGGGTGGTTACTGAGCTGAGCTGAGCTGAACTTTCACTAGAAGAACACGTACGAAACATAAACATTACCTGGCCAAGCTGCTTAGCATGCAAATGTCTCTGTCTGACGACCAACCAGGCGCTAATTGATTGATTGACCACAATTTTGTGCATTTGCCTTACAGCCATTAGCTGCAATTTATGAGCTTGTCAGACTAAATGGGCAATGGGCATGTGCTCCTAAAATATCCATAAATTCTTAAGCTATATATTTTTGTTAAATAAATATTTAAGAAATTGTTTTTTTTTTTTATTGTAAATTATATGTGATTCGTTTTTAGTATTAAGCAAACTTTCCGCCTGCTATTGGATTGCCTAAGAGGCAATTCAGCTGATATCCTGCTTGTCTTGTCTGTGAGCAAGAGCTGTACATAGATTAGATTCTAGATTTTCTTGGGACAAATCAGGCCATTCATTTTTTGGAATTCAAACACAAAAACTTCTTAAATATCTATCTTATATTATTTTAGAGTTTTCGATTTAAAAATGAGAAGAAAATTAGTAAAAATTTAAATAATTTTTTTTCTTCATAAATGATAAATTGAATTTCCTTATTTTTTGTTTTTAATTAAATTGAAAATAATTTTCAATATTTTTTTTTACTATATAAAATTGTATAGTAAAAAAAATATTGAGAATGTATTTTCAATTGAATTAAAAACAAAAAATAAGGAAATACAATTTAGATTCAGTTGAGCTGGTTTTTGGGTCAGTAAGTATACATATATGTATATATATATATATATATATATATATATATATATATATATATATATATATATATATATATGTATATATGTATATATATATATGTATATATGTATATATATATATATATATATACATATACGAAATTTTAATTTGCATTGCAGCAATATATTTTTTTTTAATTTAAAGTAATTTTTTAAATATATGTACAATTTATTTTTTTATAGAACATTCTATGTTGGAAAATTTTTAAAACTTTACTCTATATTTATATATATATATATATATATATATATATTTTTTTTAATTGTTCATGAAGTGAATAGAATATATTGGTCATGGGCAATGTTTGTTCTGCTGTCAGTGCTTGTGTCGCTCTGCAAACCATTTTGATTGGTTGTAGATATTTGAAATTGGGAATTTATACGCCTCGTTTTATAAAGATTAAAGATTTTTCCGATACGCACATTATATATATATATACTTGTATATATATATATATATCAGCAAGTTTTGCTGGAATCTCTAAACCTTTTCCACAAAGAAAACTGAAATGATAAGAAAACCATTTCAGTTTTTTTTCTTATTGTGGCGTGGAAAATTTGTAAATATAGAAACTTTTAAATCGAGAAGGATATGACATCACTGAGATTTTTTTATTGATTTGATCTATATTCAGGAATTTCCAACTAAGATTCAGTTGAAGTTTTTGCAACATTTCATTTGAATGAAAGTTGTCAAAACATTTTAGCAGCTCGCAACACATGTACTTAGCGTTTCGTTTAGCTTGTCGTGTGTTCTAAACAGATGCGAAAACAAAGAATTGCATATATTTTAAAAATAAAATAAAATGAATATGAAAGAGAACGCGAACGGGAACGGGAACGAGAAATTGCGCGACAGGCCACAAAAGCTGACAGGACAGAGAGATGGGGCGAGAGGGTTGAGTGGGTAGGAGGGTAGGAGGGCGAGGCACTGAGGACTGGGGACAAGCATGAACAAACAAAACGTTTATCTTCATTAAAGGAGGTAATTAATTTTGAAATCGAAAGAACAACCGAGTGGCAAGTGGCAACTTGATTTATTTGGTTTATTGTGCGACGCAATGGCATTCGGCGCTGAGACTGGGGAAAAACTGCAAGTTGAGAGGGCCTTCGGAGGGCGTAGGGCGTAGACTGTATTGTCTGACTAAAGGCACAGGCAGACGCTGATCTTATAATAAGCTAAAGACGCGAGGTTCATTTGAATAGTTGCAGCAAAGCAAAGCAAGGCAAAGGCGTTATCCAGAGCAAGAGACAGAAGCTAATCAGATCTCAGTCTAGGATTTCTCGGAAATCAGCATAGGCCTATTTAGTAGGCATGTTTTGCAGCCACTTCCCATGCCCATTTGCACTTTCATTGGCAATTGCACGCGACATTTTAATAACTCGCTCTGATTCCTGGCTAATTATGAGATTTTGGCCTCGGCTCCGGCTTGATTCTTTTGCTGATTCCGGGTAATTGCGAACGCCAACACGCAAACTGACAGCTGGGACAAGTACATGACATGCGCGGGTCTTTTGATCAACATGTAAATGCTGAGTGTGGGCCGTGCGAGGGGTGCGAGTGAGACTTTGTGGCAGAGCCAGTGTGCACCTACCTTTTGTTTCCTTGTTGCTGTAGTTGAGCGCCCGGGAGAAGTGCTCGTCGACAACGCTGGCCGTGTCGCCGGAGTAGTTGGTGAATACAACGCAGGTGGCCGACAGATATTGAGCGCGTCCTTGGCTGTTGCCGCCGATGCCGGCGACGCCGCCGCCACCGCTAACGCCGCCACCGCCGCCGCCGCCTCCGCTGCTGCTGCTGGTGTCCAGTGGCAGCTCCTTGGACATGGCGCCCGTGGCTGAGCCTACGCCCGCCGAGGATGCTGCCCCCGCGCCATGCAGCGAGTGCGGATGCGAGTGCGCGTGCGAATGCGCGTGCGAGTGCGGATGCCGCGGCGAGTCAGGGCCAGAGGAGCAGGATGATTCGTTGTGATGATGCTGTTGGGAGCCCACCAGGCGCGCTGCAAACAAAATCGTATCAAATATCTCATCAGTTTAACGACAACGATAGTACGGGACTGAGGTGCGAAGCTCATTGCATAGCTGCATGTTGTCTGCTGCATTTCCGCAATAAAATATGATATAAATTATTAAATGTTAACTCGTCGGAATGTCGACGAACAATCTCAAAAATGTGCAAATTAATTAACCACTCTCCCTGTCTCTCTCTCTCGCTCACTAACTGCCTGCCTAACCCTCCATCTCTACCTCTCTCTCTGTCTCTCTCTCTCTCTCACATTCTATACATATACATATCGCTCTCTCAGCCACTCCATCACGTTCTTCGCTACATTTAAACGGCAGCACATTCCTTCAGCCAAGGCGAACAATCGATCTTCGACGCTGACAGCCGCAATGCGAATAAACATGCTTATTTTTATTGGACTTATCGCTCACTAAGCTGGATATCAAGATATATATATATATATATATATATATATATACATATATATAAGACTATCAAACTATATATCTAGCTATATAGACGCATAAAACAATATTTATTTTGCTAGTTCTTAGCATTTTTAACTCTTCAATTTCCTTTTGCTTTTTCGAGCTACTTTTCAATATTTACTAATAATTTTATAAATAAATTTTGTGTTGTATTTATTAATAATTTTGTAGCATTTTTAGTATATTTAAAAATATAATTTTTTCCCTAATTTTTTAATATTTTTCTCAGTAAGATTTACTGCATATTTATTTGCGTATTTCTTTTCATTAATCCAAAGCTAATCTGCATCAGATGCTCAACCAAACCTAGCTCTGATCTTAACTGAATCATTTCTAAACAAGATCGAATTCCGTTCTCTTTAGCTACAACATTTTATTCTTTAGAAAAAATTAATTCAAGTGCTTAAAGTCTTTTAATATATCATTTTATAGCAGTTTCAAAGTATAACTTTATATTTTTAAAATAATATTTTAAATATTTAATCTAAAACATTTTAATTTAAATATTTAATTTCAATATTAAAAATGTTATTTTAAGTGTTAAACATTTTAAAAATGTAAGTTTATAATATTTTATAATTTTTATATTTATAAAATATTTTGTATTATTAAATATATAAATTAATTTGTATAAATCGAATATAGAATATAACATTTTTTTAAATTTTTTTATATAGAATTCTTTTTAAATAATTTAATTTTCAAGTAAAAACTTTGATTATCTGAGCTTGTCTTTATTCATTATGCATAGAACTTTGTCGAAATTGTTAGTTTCTTTAACTATTAGTTATTATCTAATGGCTATTGTCTATTATCCATTGTCTATTATCTGTTACTTTAAAATAGCAGTGAAGCCATTGGCTGAGTCAACAAAGTAGTCTGAGTCGAATCTGAAAATCTAGTCTGCCTTCACGTTGCCTCTAAAGAAGGGATATTTGGGCAAATCAACTTCTGCAAATCTATTCACAACTTTTTGGAAAGACTTCAGATTATAAAGAATTAGCTGTTAATATAAAACATGATTTATTGCTCAGTCTTGCTATGTCAACTATGTCCACTGTTCTTGCTCTCTTCAACTAACAGATGAGACTAGCTAAATGCACATTTCTATTAAGCTATATATAGTATATTATATATATATATATATTATATATATTATATATATATATATATATATATATTATATATAAAATCTCTTATCACTTCTGCAGACACTTCTTATTCAGCTGAGTGCCAACTTACCTTCAGCTTCGCTGCGCGGCACGATGAGATCCTCTTCTTTGGTTTGATGTGTTCGGCTGTGCAGGCCGTGGCCGGGGCCGGCGCCGCTTAGCACGGGACTCATGCCGAGGCCGGCGCTGGAGGCGCTGCTGCCAATGGGCAGATTGGAGCCGAGCAGTCCGCTGGCCGGTCCGCTACCGACGACGCCGCCCAGCTGCAGGCCAGAGGAGGACGCTTGGTTGGCAACGGCTGCAACGGCTGCAGCCGCCGAATTGTGGGCGGCAGCAACGGCGGCTGCCGCGGCATTGGCGCTCACCGATGGCGGCAAAATGGGGCTGCAGGGTGAATGGGAGCTGCCAGAGGCGCTCGAGGAGGCGGCCAGCTGCACGCCCGAGGACGAGTACAGATCCTGATTGAACTGAAAGGCATAGAAAGAGATGGCATTAGCTGTGCAGTCAAACAGTCAGGCTGCAGCGAGATGAGTTATGAGCGCGTCGGTGCAAATTGAAAATGACACAATACGAAAATTTATGTTGATGGAAAATGCAGTGAGGCCATTAAATTTACGAGCGTTCGCATATTGTCACGCAGTTGCCCAGAAAATAAGGGCAGCGGCGGCAGGGGCAGCTAACCCATTTGGGTAGGAGGTCACAGCCCGGAGACGTTCACAAGGCGATAATCACGCCGCAATCTCTACGGCTTGGCGACGTGTCAAACATAATGCGGCGCTCGAGACAATTTACGAGCGCGCAGCGACAACTCCCTTAGCTCCACAGCACTGCCCCCGCTTGCCACCTTTCAGCGTTGCACCTACCACGTCTGCTCGCCTGCTCGCCTGCTCTTTAATGAGCCCATTAGCGCAAGCGTTCTATAAGCGGCCGTTAGACGCGCGGCGGCTTCGTTGCGGCACATTTGCGAGCAAACGCTTCTAAATTTAAAGCAGCTACGCCCACGAGTAGGCGCACGCCAATTATGAGGCTGTCGAGGGGTTAATAATGGGTTAACCAGCACGATCCATTTGAAAAGTGCAGCTAGCATCGACAGCTCGTGGCCCCGGATCATGATTTATGTGCAGCAACCCAATGCGCCGGCTGGCGTGGGTGTGTGTGTGTGTGTGTGTGTGTCTAGCAGATACATTCCACAGCAGCACCAGCGGCAGCTGACACAGTTGCTGCGGCATCTCATTTTATGCTGCGGCCTGTTTACAAAAAGTCTTAATTTGTTGCCCCGCCCCTGCCACAGACACAGCCCCACCTAAAACTAATTAGAAAGGGCAAAAGTTGCCCAGTCATCGAGCAGGACGCGGCAAGGTAATGTATCTGTATCTGCATCGGTATCGATAGCAATATCTGCAGCCGTCAATCGGCTTAAGCACATAATCAATATGTTGCCGCCTGGCTGCTTATCAGGCGACACGATCGCTGCCCAGCGCTCAAATTGGCCCAGCCAAGTGCAGTAGCCGACGTGCGAACAATGCGCAGATACAAAAGTATCTGAAAGAGCAACGGCAACGACTGCAGCTGCAGCGCTTTTTGTTTGACTGTTTGTCGCTTTGTCGCTTTGTCTGTTATTAGCTGCAGCGATATTTCGATTATGCTGAGCGCTCAGCGAGCAGCTCACACGGCATAAATCACCTGGCTGGGGCCAGACGAACCTGCGACATCTCTGACTCTGTGCTGTTGCTGTTGCAGCAGGCTTATCGCTGATCGCAGCCCGGACGGCTTGCTGGCCGTTTTGAAGTGCTCGGCAAGAACTAATGGCGATACACACAATAAATTAAGAGAAAGGGCACACAAGCCTTGCGAAACCCAAAAAAAAAGGAGGCAAAGTGTCGACGGGACGACAAAACAGCGCTGCACAGCTTTGGACGTTGGGCAAATAAACCGGTCACCGGTCACCGGTCACCCGTAAGCGATCAACGATCAACGCTTACCGGTCACCGGGCTGGCTGCTGACTCAATCTGCGATTGGCCAGCCGCAGCCAGCCCTAAGCCAGGCTCGCACTCTGTGTGTGTGCGTAGCCAGCGCGATCTTTTTTGAGTTTATCTGGACCTCTTTATGGTCATGCAAAAGCATAGAATCAGAATCGTGTCGTATCGGTTACTTACATAAAAGGCCAATTTCGATTTGGTGCCGCGGCCTTGTATAATTGGAACTTGCGACACAAGAATTTCTTTGTGCCACAGCGACAAGCTCCCAGCAGCCAAACGCAGGACAGCGAGACCCAAGTCCAGAGACCCAAGCAGCGACCCAAGCACACAGACACAGACACAGAGCCAGAGTCAGAACCAGCCCCAAGCCCAGCACCAGACACAGACACAGACCCAGACCCAGACCCAGTTTCGGATTCAGATTCAATGCGAATGTCCCTTTTGGGCAGCACTGTGAAGCGCTGCTGGCATCGTGAGAACTTTTCTGTACTTGTCACAGCAAAAAAAATCAACAATATCTTTGAAATCAATGTTAGCACTAAAAACAACAACAACAACAACAACAATAACAAAAACAAAACAAAGCGCAAACAAAGCGACATTTGCTGGCGGAATTCCTTGAATCTTCAACTGCTGCTGCTGCGTCCACATCGAAAAACGATTTGCGTTTTGCGTGAATTCTTATGATTTGTTAGGTGGATTTAATTATACCTACTCTCTCTCTCTCTCTCTCCCCCTCTTATTCCTTCTCCCTCATTCTCTCTCTGTTTCTCTGAATGTGCATAAATTGCCTTGCCCAAGGCGCAATGCCCAATGCCCAGTGCCCAGCGACTCGAATTGTGCGTGTTTATAATAATTATGTTTGCACACATTTAATTAACTACATTTAACTAAAAACAAGTCACATTGAGGGCATCTGGCATCTACTACTAGCAATTAGTAGCTTTAACCTTTTACCTTGAATCTGGACTGAAGCTGAGCCCTGTTTCAGTGGAGCTAAACTAACAAATTTTGTTAAAAACTTTACGAAGTAAGTTTAAATTTAGTTTTAATTAATTTTCAATGCAATATTATTAACTCTACATTTTTCTTTCACCTTTAATAGTCATTATTTATTAATATCTAAGCTAATAAACTATTTATAAATCGTTAATAATTTTGTAAAGTGGGCAAAGTTTTGTTTAAATCGGATTTAATTTAATCAAATGTCTTAATGTTGCCAAAGCAAATTAAGCCAGGTTTTTAAAGTTAACTTTAATATAGAATAAGTTAAATAAAATATTATTTAATTTAAATTAAGCATTTGGTAATATTTATTTATTTATTTATTTATTTATTTATTTATTTATTTATTTATTTATTTAAAGCAAGAATTCGTAATATTTTTAGATTTCTTATTATTTTAATATTTAAGTTTTTTTGTTTGCAGCATTTGAAGCTAGTCACATGATCCTTAAATATATTTATATATGTTTTATATACACATATATTTATATATTTATATTTATTTATATATTTATATTTGTGCATATTTAGTGTGCGCTTATTTAATAAATTCTGCATATTTAATTGACAATTTCAATTCATAATATTTATTCTCGCAAGACATTAGTAAAAAAATAGAAAATTATCTTTAAAGCTCAGATCAGATTTATTTAGAATTTGCAGGGGAAAATTATACGTAACTCATTTGGAATGATTTATGTTAAATACAATATAGAAAATGATTTCCTATTTTCACTGGGCTCAGGGTATAAAAACGTGGAATTCTCATGTTTCGTAACTCGAATTGTTAATTGCAAAAATACATTTCAGCTGTCGGACACCATTTTGGTATGGTATTTATAAATTGCTAAATGGAGAGTATTTTGAGTCAAAACTATGTTCTGTTGTCTGTCAATTTCTATGTAAACACGTTCCCCAATGTTATCCAGTAATTCTTTATGTTTATGCAATTTATTCTTGTCACAAAGTATAGAACTTCCTACTGTGTGACAAGAATAAATTGCATAACTGCATACTGTGCTGTGCCTAGTACCAATATGAGATCTATAAACATTTTTTATGTTAATAGATAAATGTGATTTATGTATGTATACATATATATTCTTTTTCATTCATATATATTGCAAAGTAGTGTCCTAATATAGTTGGATGCCTCAGCTTGGTCAACTGCAATGTCGCAGCAGCAAGTCAAATGTGAGCTATACTTTTTTTTTGTTTTATTGCATTTGGTAATAATTATATAAATAATATGTAAAATATGCTAGGCAACATCTGAAACCTTTGTTTATGTATATATATTATTTTGGTCTTGAATGAATGAATTATGGTACGCTGCCTGTCGATTGAATAATTTGTATATATTTATCTTATCATTAAAAATCAACTTTTTCTTATATAAACTAAAGCACAAGGCACACTTGGTATTTAATATAACTGTAAAGTAATATATTTGCAAATGTTGTGCTTTAGAAGACATATAAAACAACAGAATACTTTTCTCTGTGAAAGAAACGAGCAGAAGCTAAGCAAAGTTAGAGGAAACTGTCAAAGAACAGAAAACAGTTGAAGACAAGTGAAATACCTGAATCAAAAATATTTTTTATGGAAAATGCTTAGATTTTAAACGAAAATTTAGAGTACACTAAAGATCTAATCGATGAGAGAATAAAATAATAAATTAAGATTCTTGCCTCAGTCAGCATAGGATGAGCTTATATAGGATGAATGGATAGCTATAGTTAAGAGTTAAGAGTTAAGAGTTAAGAGTTAAGAGTTAAGAGTTAAGAGTTAAGAGTTGGCTTACCCTCTCATATTGATAAAATGAACGACTTGGTCCTGCGCGCCCATACAGATATGGATAATAGGCACCGTACATAACTTCTGGGCAGGACACTGCCATCGTCGCAGTTGCAGTTGCCAACAACGCACTCAAATCCCGATCTGTCGATTGAAATTTGTTCGCACAGGTGTATATTATAATGATCGCACACACGCACCACAGAGGCACCACACGCACCACACTAATCACAGTAATCACAGTTTTCCGCGAGCTTTTTCCACCAATTTTCAGTTTTTCTCTCGCTTTGACAGCCAATTGCTATTCCAATTGCCGTTGGCCGTTGGCCGTTTACTGTTAGCTGTTTCTCTGTTTTTGGAATCAGTTTTGAATCAGTCGCGCCTAGGCCTCGGCCGCCAGGCCGACAAAAATGAGAGAGAAAGAAAAAACTCTGAAGTGGGATGAGGCGACGTGGAGTTAGGACTAATTATAAGACCGGTTTCATAGACGAGTTGCAGTATGCGTGCTTTGTTATTGTATTTGTATTTGTATTTGTATTTGTATTTGTATCTGTGTTTGTCTTTTTTGCCAACTCCGTTGGCAATGGCGAATTCCAGGAATGAAAACTCCGCTCGGCTAATTATATTTACATATTGTAAAACACCATCGCGTTTGTATCAAGAGCTTTAATTACTTTTTGTCTTTACTTATATATATTTATTTTTTGTTGGTTTTTCTTTTGTTTGCTACGCGAACTTCTTTCGATGAATTTTCCTCGCTTTTTTCAGCAGCTTTCTTCAACCGCTTTTGCTTTGCTTCTATGCGCAGGCAATTGCAATTATCATTTCCACATTGTTGACTGCTGTTAGTTGTTGTTGCTGCTGCTGTTGCTTGTTTGCTGTTGCATTGTTATTATTGTTGCTGCTTTCCTGGCATCCATTATGGGGCCGTTCCCTTGTCCGAGTTTCCGTTGAAAAAAAGATCGCTGCAAGACGGCAATGAAATGCATTAAAATTGTTGTTTTGCGTCAAATATACGAGTTCCTCTACACATAATTATTTAACGTATTAGTGCAATAGAGAAGCCCCTTTAAACAAAATCTCTTTACTCTCTAACGGATCTGCAGAAATGCATATGCGAGTAATGGCAGCAATTGTTCTATCTTTTGCATACCTGCCCAACTAATTATATCTGTTTTGGCCTATTTGCAGAGTACTCTATGTTTTCTAGACATATAAATAGATCGTATTTTGAATACCATTTCGGGGAATATAAGAGTTTAAAAAAAGCAACGCTGTAAAAGAAGCGACTAATGCGAACACACATATTCGCATTAGTCGCTTATGTATGTATGTATGTATGTATGTATGTATGTATGTATGTATGTATGTATGTATGTTCGTCTATATATACATATATGACCTACCACACATCTGTTCTATGACAAGCATCTCGAATCTTTAATCTTCATTTGAAGTTCTCATTTCATTCTGTCAGCCAAATTGCTTTTCTAAATAATAATTTAATATACTCTAGACTATATATATTATGTATACAATCTATTAAATTTTACTGCAATTCTCTTACACTAACATTACACATTTCAATTTTTATATATTTCATAAATTATATATGTATATCTTATATATTCATATTAAATATTACACAGCGCGAGGTAAAAGCTTACAAATTTGATTTGAATTGGCATAAATATATTTGCTTCCCATTTTTTATTATTTTATTGCGAAATAAAGTTAATTAATGACTGCCGTGATTCAGAAATATGTGTAAATTTAAATTTAAGATGTTGGACAATTCATAAAATAAAGTTAAGGCTTTGATTTTATAGCCAATTTGATTAAACAATGTTGTTAGATGTGATAAATATTATGAGATGATATTTTACCCTTTTAATTTACAGAGAAAAATTAACAATAATATAATCATATAGATAAGCAAAATAATAATAATAATAAAGTTATTAATAATATAACAAATAAAATAAAATAATTTAAAAGGGTTTGATTGAAACTAGAAATCATTAAGCAAAAGTTGTTCTAAAATAATTTGAAACCTTTACCCAAAATTAATATCATACAATGTTTGGCTAAGAATACAATTTAGTATAAGAACAGAAGAGAAAAAATAAAACAGACCATAAACAATAGATTCTATGTAATCTTAAGTTATTAAAATATCTCTACAAATTTATAATGCAATACAAATTTATTTTCACCGAAATGCTCAAAGCTAAAAAAAATATATAACAAAAAATATATAATATAATAGAATATATAATATATATATAACATATATATATATATATATATGCATATAAATATATATATATATTTATTAAATATATGTAATCGTTTAGTGACACTAATTTACTTTGGCATATTCAATTAATTATGAATGAACGCTGACTTCTACTACTGCATATGGGTATACCTTTATAACTATCAGTAATTAATTAGTTTCAAGTGTTGTCTTCTTAATTAAATCTGTCAGTTTTGTACTCGAATTGTAGCAATACTTGAGGCTGGAGTCTATAATTATCATTGTTTATTTTGTTTTTGATGTAATGATAATTATCTAAAATTCTTGTTTAATTAAGTTTAGATATATATATTTTATATAATCCTAAGCCTATAGTTTTTCGTTACATCTTATATTACACATTCTCTTTTAAAATTCCTTAATTCATTAAATTATTTTTATTTTAGATACAATATAATAGTTTTTAAGTAGGCAAGGCCTGAGCTGGACTTAGGCTAGTCTGATTACTGCTATATATGGATAGACGCTCTAAAGCAAGCATCTTACAAATAGATATTCAAAGCACGTCTAATAACAATTATATTCAAAAAAGTAAATATACTATGCCTAATATTGAAGTATATATAAACGAGTAATATCAATATGAATTGCAGCAACAATTTCAAGAAACTTTCACAACATTGCAACTAAATTTGATTATGCATTCTATGCCTTAACTAAGATGTTGATTAAAATATGTCTAACTTGTTCAACATTCAACGTTTTATACTTTTATATTACTAAAGTTTTATATACTTACGCCTCAAGAATACAAAATTTAATCCAATTCTTGCAAAATGTTTTGCTCTGTGAGCTGTTCTCGATTTGTAACTGTTTCATGCACTTTATAAATAAGCAGAAATATATATATGTATATATAAATATGTATGCATATAGATATATATATATACGTTTGTATTTGTATTGGTACTGTATAAGAGCAACACTGGGGGCTTTGTTTGATTCACATTTGGTTAGATTTGCACAGACAGTGACGGTTTAATGCCGTCGTTAAAGCACGCGTTTTGCGTATGGGTTGCAGTTAATTTAAATAGTAATTAAATTTATAAGCACCGGAATTTACACGTGAATTTTTAAGATTTTAACGCTGCTTTTATGGCTGCGACGAAAGCGAGATCGCTGTGGGGCACGGATGGGGGGGAGCGTGAGCGGGAACGGGAAGCGGGAACGGGCAAGGGAACCAGATCGGAAGGCGAAGCGTACACAAAAACATTTGCTCGCGCACTCAATGAAAATATTTTCGCTAAATCCACAAATGCCAAATTCCATAAATTCTTGCGACTCGGCAGCGCGGCAAACGGCGACGGAGACTGCGACGGAGACCGCGCCGGAGATGGTGGAGACAAACGACCGATGCTCACATTCGCTTTCGCATTCACAATTAGTTTACGTTACGTCTGCAGCATTAGTTTAGCTCCAAGTGAAGGTGGAAGATGCATCGACGCCGATTTCGAATAAATCTTTTAATTACACTCAAACAGAATTGCATTTGCTGCGATCGCTCACTTTTTGGCTGGGCTTGAGATGAGTGCGCGTAGAAGAGAACGCGAGCGGAAACGCCGCTGCCGCTCGATTGGAAGGGAGAAAACAAACTGGCTGCCAGCTGCTGGCAGTTGTTCGATGGATGCAGTCGCGACGGCGGCAGCGGCGCAGCAGAAGCGCAAACAAAATGGCATTTCGAGTAATCGCCGTCTCGCTTGCCACTGTCGTCGCATGCAACAGCCAGAGCGAGACAACTAGTGTGGACGCTGTGCGCTAGCATTTAGCAACGCCTACTTTGTTTATGTGTGTGTTAATGTGCCATTTACGTGCAGTGGCTGTTGTTGTTGTTGTTACTGTTGCTGCTGTACTGTAGCTGCTGCTGTTAGTGTTAGTGCGCGGTGTCTGAACAAACGATGCCGCGGTGTGAAAATAAAATGGAGTGCGTCTCAATTGTGTCTTGAAGTAGACGGACTCTCGTACTCGAATATCAGGAAATATTTGCTCCTGCCCTGTTCTTCTCTCTCTTTCTGTTCTGTTGTGTTCTGTTCTGTTCTGTTCTGTTATGGTCGGGCTCTCTGCTGCTTGTCGCACTGTTGTCTGATTTTAAAGTCCGTTTCGCCGATAGCAGAAGCCACGCACAGTTGCTGTGCAACACGTACGTACGTAACGCACACAGATTGAAAGGAATTTGTATTCGTCCTTTTGTTTGACCGAAAAGTATTTGCCAACTGTGTCAACAGTGTTCCAGTTGGACACAACGTGACGTATACGTACGTTGTATTGATAATAATCTGATTGAGACTGAATAAAATTTATTGTGTTCTCCCCGTTGACAAGGTGTTTGTGGATGTATATGAGTGTGTGTTCCCAGCGAACGCTCATCCGATAAGTTGAAAAGAGTATGTCAAACAGCTCTCAGTGAATCTTCATCAGGCTCATGGACAATGCATTAACATGATTGCTTTATAATGAACTCTTAATCAATGACTGACAGAAATAAATTACACAAAATAAGAACTTTAATTATATCAATAGCATATGTATTTATTGCATGCTATGCTTAAGTTATCTTATAGTAGAGTTAGAGTAACTTTTTATAGATTTTTATGCTGCAAAAATTCACTTTCAAATATATTAAAAAATAAATCAAATCAGTTTAATTGAAAAAAAAATGACATGAAAATTATACTGATAAATTATTTGTCTTTAAGATAATTTCTGTTATTTTAAAAAAAGTTTTAGGGACAAACGAGTTGAAGGCACACATAATAGACAGAATTACAGCCATGATACCGAAGCTGCGACTCGCATAACTGATGCATTTTGGCTATAATTCTATCTATGTTATATTCTTTCATTTAGCTTCTTCACTCTAAAGACTTAACGCGGTCATCTTCGTTTCTTCTTTTCATTTATCATATATCACATATCAAAACTAGAAAAATCTTCATGTAAATAAGTTTTTTTAATGATTTTTAGCTACTTGAATATTTTTCTAATCTGCAAATATACGACATATTATATTAAATTCATATAAAATTATATTTACTAAATTATTGAATATATTTCATATTGACAAGGAAATCTTGAAAATGTTATGTATGCTTTTTAAAATACTATAACTAACATTAACTAAACGCATTTTTAAATGCTATTAGGCAAAAAATTCAAATTAATTTAAGCAGCTAGCAGAAATATGACCAAATGATTTGATTTATATTAATTTGCTTTATATTCTTATATACATATATGTAAAAAACAAAATATATATATAGTTTACTTGATATTCGATACATTATATTAATCATTTGACGAATCATATAGAAAAATGAATAAACTTTGAATTTTATATATTGTTTCTTTTCAATTTCGAACTTAATCTTTACTTAAAATAAAAGATAGAACAAAACCTTTAATAATCATGCACTAGAGCAAATGGATAAGAAGGTTAAGGGCTTTCAGATCAATGTGAACTTGACTTTAAGTACGCAATAACATATTCTCAATACATAAAACTGGTAGTCGCAATTCATGATAATTAAAAGCAGTCTAATATAATATTCGATTAAGGGTCAAAACGGAGAGCGAAATAAATGCAACAAAAATTTTAATGAAATAAGAGACTATCAAAACGATTATTGAAGAAGATCTAACGTTGACTGTCTTCATCTTGGCTGCTATAGATATAGTATGTTGCGAATAGTTCTTTCTATAGAGAATTTGAACTTAATGAACAACCAACAAAACATCATAAACCTAGCATTAAAACTGTGAAGGGCATACTATTTGTACAACTTAGACAATTTGATGCCGCAAAACTAAAGACTTTTCCGAATTAAAAGGCGTAGCTTGATACTTGATAAACACCTGTATTTATATTATATATATTATTATATATTTAATAATAAATATAAGATCATTTATGCAACAGAATTTCTCGGATTACCAAACGTCCAATTAGCGTGCATAATAAATCTTAGCACTTTATAAAAAGTGATATATAAATTATAGATATATAAATTTATATATATATATAAATTTATATATATGCTATACATACTGTACCGCCACGTTTATAAAGCTGAGGTACATATATATGGCACATATTCCATATTTGAAGTCGAATATACTCTATTCCCGAAAGATAAACATAGCAGAGAAATACGCATAAATGTATATAATATATTACCTGAATATCAAAACTCCTTTATTTATCAGCAGTTAGAGGGATATGGATCAGTGTATTGATTTGATAAGAATGAAATCTTATCTGCAATATGATATAGATACGGTACAAACTACGAGTTGAAAAAATTTCTTTATTAAATTACAGCAGCATATAAAGAAACGATCGACATCAATCTGTAAAACAAATGATGAACACAGAAAATTACTAAAGACACATGCAAAGATTTATTTTAATCGGTTTTTAACACATTTTGACCCTAAACAGTCTTTACAGTTATTGTTGTCAAACAACTTTGCAGTGTGCAAGTCCTTAATGTGATGGTAAAAACTTAGGAGCGGTTGGAATCAACTAACGTACAAATTATTGAGACTTGGGAAAGTTGTTCACAGTTTGGAAAGTTAGAGGAAAATAAAAAATTTGTATCGAATTTCATTCATTAAGATAAGATCTTCTTTCTTTTTCTTTTGTTTTTAACTGGATCACGTTTAAGGCGTTAATCGCTTAGGATCCCGTGGGAACATTGACGTCTTCCTGATGTTGTCCAAGCCAAGATACAACATAACGACACGCTCCATGCCAATGCCGCCACCAGCGTGTGGTGGACAGCCGTAGCGGAAGGATTCAATGTAAGCAGCAATTTTTGTGGTATCTGCAATGGATGAATGGAAATGATGAGTCATCGAGTCGAGTCCAAGAATAGGACAGCTGGACACATACCGATTCCATGGTGCTTGGCACGCTCAATTAAGTACTCTGGTACGTGTATACGTTGAGCACCCGACAGAATCTCCTCGCCGCGCATGAACATGTCATACGAGTTGGAATACATCGGGTTGTTGGGATCGGGCATAGTGTAGAACGGTCGTATCGCCAATGGAAACTTGTCAAGGATGTAGAAATCGGTGTCGTATTTGGCTTTAACCAAACGACCCAACAACTTTTCGTTTGGCGTTGACAAATCCTCCTCGTCGCCCGTCTCAATGCCAGCCTCACGCAGCATAGCCACGCCATCGGCAAAGTTCAAAATTAGGGGCGGCTCCAAGAACTTGAACGGCTCCACTTTGTACTGCTGGCCAACAGCTTCGATCTCCCGACTGTATTTGTCGCGCAGACCCTTAAAGATGGCTGTAAACGTATTTCCGATCGTGTGCAGCACCTCGTGATAATGATATTTGAAGGCCATCTCCAAATCGAGTCCAACGAACTCGGTTAAATGCCTGTGCGTGTTTGAATCCTCGGCGCGAAACACGGCGCCAACAGTGTAAACCTTGTCAAAGTCGGCTGCGATAGCCATTTGCTTGTACAGCTGAGGAGATTGTGCCAGATATGCAGAATCTACAAAAGTTACAAATTATATTTTTTTACTACATATATTTATATGCCTGACTGAACATACCCTTGAAGTAACTCACGGTGAACACGTTAGCACCTCCTTCACTGGCAGCGGAAATAATCTTGGGCGTGTGGATTTCGGTGAAGCCCTTATCGGATAAAATATCGCGGAAGAGACGACAAACGCCAGCCTCTAGGCGAAAGATTGCCTGGTTGGCTGGTGTCCTCAGGTCAAGCACACGATTATCTAGTCTCGTGTCCTGGTTGACGCGTATGTTAAGTCCCTCGGCATCATCGGCATTCTCGGGTCGAGAAGCATCCTCTATTTGCAACGGCAGTTGTGCCTTCGCCTGCGATATGACGAAAATCTGCTCCACAAACAACTCCAACGACTGCTCGGTACAGGATTCAATTTTATTGGGCACTGCTACAGCTTTCGCTTGAATATCAATGATGCTCTCCTTGGGTATGCTGCCAGCAAACAATCAATCAATGAATCAATCGTAGTTAACTAAAAAATCAATTGTTTTGCTTACTTTCCGGCAAACTTGACCATTTCCTTGGAAATGATGTCGCCCACGGCCAGAATGCATTGAACCGTGCTGCTCTGCTGGCGCAGAATAAGAAAGCACTGTTTTCCCTTGGCACGAGACGTGTGCACACGGCCACGCACCCAGAACAAGCCCTTGCCAATTTGCGCATTCAGTTCGGGCAGCAAAACGAACTCGCGCTCGCTGCGCTTATCTTTCGACTGTATCATCTCGGAGAGGCCATAGCGGGCAGCAGCATGATCGGCTGCATTGTCGCCAGCCGCCTCATCTGCAGCGGCAGCAGCAGCATTGCCGGCTTTCAGCTCAGCTTTCTAAGCAGAGAGTGAGATAAAGTGTAGAAGACATCAATTATACATGTTATCAGTAAAAACTGTGCCACGTTGCAGCTTACCTTGGCCGCTTTCGCTTGCTTCTTGGCTGCCTTTTTGGAGACCGGCTCCTGTCCAGCATTGGCTGTATTCTCCTTGTCCTCAACCATTTTTTGGAATGCAACACAAACGGCTGTAAGATACAAAATATTTTTTGTATAGTTTTACAGTTCGCGTGATAAGCAACAGGCGGGAAGGGGGCATGCATCCGGCACTCAACTATTGCGTCACGCACATTCATACATATATTTATATATATATCATCTACAAGAAGATTCGTTGTATATATAAATAGTCACTAGCGTTGCTTGCACTAATTTGCATATATATTGCAATTGCAAGTTGTTTCTGCCGGTTGCGTACTGCAGTTCAGTCAACCCCACGCATTTCCCATTACATATGGAATGGGAGCCACCTTCTCTTTGTTTAAGTGTAGCGCACACACATAACCTAAACGTAAAGCACTTTGACTACAGGTTTAGCCTTTGTTGCTTTACATTTATTGATTTTGGTTGCACTTCCAGTTATACTTACCAGATATTTCGTAGCCTTTTAATACACAAACGAATAGATTACACGAGTGTCGGAAGCTATTGCAGCATGCTCGGCCGTTGTGCAGTTGGTATTATTTAGGGTATTTTGGTAGGCTTATCGATAGTTCAAGAGAAAATGTGCATTCGATATAATTTAGTGATGCTGTGTTGCTCATGCTCATATGCATTTTTTGTTTATGACTTACAGGATAAATATTACATATGCATAAATGAATGATAAACAATATTTAACTTTAATAGTATCTGGCTTGAGATAGACAACAAACCCATTGTTTTCAAATTATTGACTTTTAAAGTTCGATTGAATGATTTGAAAACTGCGCATTTCTTGTTGGTGGTATGCAGTAAGTAAGAATTACCTCCGTACTCAGCTCGTTAACACTTATCGATATTCAAGTTAAAGTTACTGTATCGATATTTCATTCATCACTGAGAAACAGATTTTCCAGAAGAAACACTTAAGGCAAAGTTTGTTTTATTTGTTTATAGTGCAGTTTTTGTGCGTATTTTACAAGGTATATTTAGCTGTTCTCTTTATTTATAGAACGTACACATTTGTTTGATAAACAAAGTCAAGACAGGTGTTTGTTGTGTTGGTTTTCCCCCATTTTCTTGGTAAGGTGGGCCGCCGAGTGAGTCACCAACCAATATATAACTGTTTTAAAGTACTTTAAATAGACCAACTAAAACAGGGGAAACTTCTAGAATAAATATAGTGGTTCCTAGTGTGACTCTTACTGGTGATTTCAAACTGTACCATTGTTTATACGTATACATTTGTGTAAACTCATAAGTAAATTAATATTTGTATATGCGTGTGAGTGTGTGGACATCTGCAGTAAGTTCACACGTCATTTTTGCTTGTTTTTCGTTAATACAAGCGGAACTGGTTATTAAAAGAATTGAATCAATTAAACATAATGAAATGTGACAAACTCATTAAGATATTAAATTCTTTTGCAGGTAAACGAATAACTATACTAAATATCGAACGACACCAATAACGAAATGCAAGGTGAGTGTTTTTATGTACAAGACTAACTAACGGTTTCTTGGGTCTACTTTACAGTGAATACTCGTGTATAGTGACCCCTTGTCTGTAGCTATCTGTAGGAGCAGATCGTTCAGTTCAGTTGAGCTCAAACAGCGACAAACCAATATCAACAATGTCGTGGCAAAGTGTTCCACAATATCCTCAATATCAAGGTTTACTTTATTTTGCCTTTTTTGTTTACATAAAATTGTTGGCTAATTCATATGGTTTTGCTTTCTGTTTTGTTCTCCTTCGCATGCTTCTGTCGAGTCTCTGTTTTTGCATATAACATATTTGGTCGTGCAACCCATTTAAGTTGGTATATTTAGCGTCGTATTGGTTCGATGGTTTCTAATCTTATCTAAGAGGTTATAAGTAAACGACATACATATTATTTATAATTCAGGAGAAGTGTAAACAAATATCATTTACCTTTCATATCTTCGCTGAGTAGACATTTCAATTACTCAAATCATTTTATTGCATCCTCCATACATAACTTTAAAATAAAATATTTAATATTTACCTAAATCTGCCAATATTTGTTCAAGTTTTTCTATTTTAACGGAAGAACAGCTTAAGATAACAGAAACTATTCGTATAGAGTTTCTTATCTATACGTCAGTAATCCAAAGCATTAAAGCATTACACAACTAATTTAAAAGAACTACTAATGACTGTACTTTTATTTAAAATTAAATCTAGAAAGAACCGACATACATGATGCTATATTACATTATATATATATAATATATATATATAAAGAAAAAATAATTCCTTTGTGTGTCACTCAAGATTTAATATTTTAGAATGAATATTTATTATTTATTTACAAAAATTTACCACTAATTTCTCTGCACTAAGCTGTTGAATGAACTATTTCATTAGGAACTGATACTATCTATTAGATGTTATTTACGATTGTTTTGTTCATAAATTCGTGGAGTTCAGTTTTAGAATATTTCATTTTAATAGAGCTCGGAATTGCATGAGCAGAAATTAGCTATAGAGATAAGATTAATAAACGAGTTTTCATTCACAGATCCCAATCAGCAGTACAACTATGGTGGGTATCCACCACAAGGTGGTTACGGCGGTGGCTATCCACCGCAAGGACCGCCACAAGGCGGATATCCGCCATACGGTCAGGGCGGCGCTCAACCGTATCCGCAAGGACCCTACGGCCAGGGACCTTACGGTCAGGGCCCACCGCCTGGCGGATATGCACCACAGCCGGGTTTCATACAACCACCACCTGCAACTGGATACGGTGCCTACGATGATCCCGAGGGTCAGCCCAAAAACTTCTCATTTGATGACCAGAGCATCCGTCGTGGCTTTATACGCAAGGTTTACATTATTCTAATGGTACGTAGTCAATTTCAACTGTATTTCTATTAAGTTAACTTGCATTTGTTGTGGTTTCAATGGCAGGGTCAACTCGTGGTCACCTTTGGAGCAGTAGCCCTGTTTGTCTTTCACAATGGTACCAAGAATTTTGTTCGGAATAATCAATGGCTCTTCTGGGTTGCTCTGGCTGTGTTGATTGTGACCATGTTGTGCATGGCTTGCTGCGAGAGTGTTCGTCGCCAGACACCGACCAACTTTATATTCTTGGGATTGTTTACGGTGGCTCAATCGTTTCTCTTGGGCGTATCAGCCAGTCGCTATGGACCGATTGAAGTAAGAACTCTCTCTCTCTTCTCAACTGCTATTTAACTTTCATTGATCTTGCTTGCAGGTTCTTATGGCTGTTGGCATAACGGCTGCTGTTTGTTTGGCTCTCACGCTCTTTGCCATGCAAACCAAGGTGGACTTCACTATGATGGGCGGTATATTGCTCGCTTGCATGGTGGTTTTCATGATATTTGGCATCGTGGCCATATTTTTCAAGGGCAAAATCATAACGCTTGTATACGCCTCCTTTGGCGCGCTACTCTTCTCAGTCTATCTGATATACGACACTCAGCTGATGATGGGTGGCGATCATAAGTATTCGATTAGCCCCGAGGAGTATATATTTGCTGCGCTGAATCTCTACTTGGACGTGGTGAACATTTTCATATACATTCTAACCATTATTGGTGCATCGCGGGACTAAACGCAGTTACTGAATTACACTTATATTTGACATACCTTGATTTTATGTTACCAGGCAATGTATGTAATTAGCTTATTAATATTGCCCTAACAGCAGATATATTTTCAATAACCGCGTAATCTCATAAAAAGTCACAGAAACGAAAGCGTTTCAGATTGAATATTTCGAAATGTTTGGTTGCTAAAATATGTAATTTGTTGCCAACTTTCCTTATAGAATGTATTAATTTTAAGGTGAAATGAATAATTAATTCTTTTGTTGTTGTTATGCATATGAATGTACTCTTGTTTATGTCGTTTCAGTTTTCCTTAATTATTAGCTTCAAAAATTACTTCACATACCTGAAATTGATTAAACGCTCTAAACCAAAAACCCGAAAATACCGCATATAAACAATAAATAGTGGTAAACGAATAATAGTTGTTATATATACGTGTATATGTACGTTCATATATATAAGCAGCGCCGCTTGCAGTTGTTAATCATATAAAAACTAAAACCAAAAAAATACCTAAACTTTATTCAATCCAAAACCTCCCGCAAGTATTCTGTAACGACACTGTGGTAAAGTCAACAATAAAGTGAATCTATTTATTTATTAAAAAAAAGAGAAAACAGCAAAAACAACAGTTGTCGTCTATGCTCTGTAGGTATACTAAATGTGAACTCTATGATGGGGCTTTGTGCGACGCTTGTAGGTCTTCTCCACACAGCTCGTTGGGGCGTGACCGGCAATGCACCAGGGACCGGCTGGAAGCAAATGCAACAGTTAATGTGACGACAGTTCGTAGTCAGCGCTGGATTAGTCAGCTTTGTGGTCTTCGGTCGGCCCCACTATCTCATATTTGGGTTATTTCTTATCTGGCGATAAGTGTGAGGCAAGCAAATGTATTTCTAAGAGCTTGTGCTACCCAACATAGTTGCCCAGTTCTATTCGGAAGCTAACAGCAGTGCGTGTGAGAATTTTCGGCAAACAACATCGATAGCTAATACATACCATAAAATGTATCACTACCAGCAAGGCAAGTACAAACAATCGTAAGGAAAGTTCTCAAGATAAGATAATCGCCGATCTATAAATATATATGTATATATGCCATAAGGAAAACGTATCTTTACTCGGCTTTAGCTGCAGAATGCGAATTTCACTCTCCACCTGGATTCACTCAAATTACAAAAATGTTCACCTGCTGAAAGTTCTCTGTGCTGGTTGCGAGTTTAATTTGTTATCGAAGATATTTGATAAGACTAGGGTCGATTGGCTGATTCAGAGGGTCGGTTTACATAATATACCAATCGACTGGTACATAAGAGAAAACACAGGTGTGTCATGTACGAGATATGAGAGTGACGCGTTATCAGCCCCAGACACCAATACCAAAGTAGAAAAAGGGTAACAACAATGTCGTTTACTTCAGATATATAGGGTATTTACCATCTAAGTCGTTATCTGCATCTGTGAGTGTGTTTGTAGCTAATCTGTCAGCCAACTGGCATATGGACAAGCGCAATGAGTCCCAGGTAATATCCATTAGTCGAACGAACCAGTCGCATATAGAGGAATAGAGCTATGGGCGATACACACTTTCAATACGGTTCGAAGTTGCATTGCTCTAGCTTTTAAATTAATTTAAATAAAATCTTTATTTCCCTCTGCTCAGGTGATAACAATGGCGTCTACGGAGATGCGGAGGCGGACAAAAGCTTTGCCTTCGATGACCAAAGCATACGCAAGGGCTTTATACGCAAGGTCTATCTGATACTGATGGTAAGCGGACTTCGATACCTTGTTTTGTCAGTCGTTTCTAATGTGCCTTCAACTAGATGCAACTGCTGATCACCTTTGGCTTTGTGAGCGTTTTTACCTTCTCGAAGGCCACTCAGGAATGGGTACAGGAGAATACGGCACTCTTTTGGATCGCGCTGGTAGGTCGCAGCTGTGAGCATAGTTGAGGGAGTCCTATTAATGTATATGTCTCTCTTGTAGGCCGTGCTAATTGTGACCATGATCTGCATGGCGTGCTGCGAGAGCGTGCGCCGCAAGACCCCACTCAACTTCATCTTCCTCTTTCTGTTCACGCTGGCCGAATCCTTTTTGCTGGGCATCATTGCCGGCCAGTACCAGGCGGACGAGGTGCTCATGGCCGTGGGCATCACAGCAGCTGTCAGCTTGGGACTGACGCTGTTTGCGCTGCAAACAAAATACGATTTTACCATGTGCGGCGGCGTACTGGTCGCCTGCCTGGTGGTCTTCATCATCTTTGGCATCATAGCCATCTTCATACCGGGCCAGATCATCGGACTGGTCTATGCCTCGTTGGGCGCGCTGCTGTTCTCTGTGTATCTGGTGTACGACACACAGCTGATGCTGGGCGGCAATCACAAGTACGCGATCAGCCCCGAGGAGTACATCTTCGCTGCGCTCAATCTCTATCTGGACATCATCAACATCTTCATGTACATACTGACCATCATTGGGCTGGCGCGTAACTAGGCTGGACTGGGCTAGGCTAGGCTAGTCGTTGCTTTATCTAGATTTATTTATTATTTTTTATTACCTAACTGAGATTACGTGTCGGAATTGTTCAAGAAATATATTTACAGCTGACTTATGTAGCTATTTGCGATTTGCTATTGTTTCTGCTCTGATTTGCTCTGGCTGTTGGTTGGCCGTGCTGCGACCCTGTCGCACGCAGCGGTGTCCAATTAATTAAAACACACGAAAGGCCGTAATGTAATTATGTTCAATTGAGATTGGGAGCCGCGTGGCGGAACTGCAGCCCCTTTGGATTAGCGCTCGCCAAAAACCTGTCCACTCGAGATCAGTTGTGCGCGCATTCAAATCGTGTGCAGATCACCAGATCACCAGATCGGGTGCCATGGACTTCGATGAAGTACTTAAGGAAGTGGGCGCCTTCGGGCTCTATCAAAAGATCATCATATGCTCGGTGCTGCTGCCGGCGGCCTTGCCCTGCGCCTTTCACGCCTACAGGTGGGTGCCTGACTGACTGCCTGCCTAGGAGTGATCCATGGACTAGCCACTCGCCATTTCCAGTGCTCTAATGGCTTTGCAGTCAGTTGTTTATTGCAGCCACGCCCAAGCATTGGTGCCGCATCCCCGAACTGGAGCCCTGGACCCAGGACTACCTGCAATTGGTCAAGAATCTAAGTATACCACGGGACAGACAGGGCGCCTACGCAGAGTGCAGCATGTTCGATCGCAACTACAGTGAAATAGTGCGTGTTTCTAGTAATTAACATACATACACAGATATATATACATATATATTAGATATCATTTAGCATTAATCATACTATTTTTACCAAAAGTTTCAGTCATGAAATTTCTAGAGTCAAAAGAAAGGGCAAGTTGAGCGAAGAGACTATTTCTAGTTGAGTGTTTTGAGTGACATTGATATAATATATTACTGAATACAAGCGTTCATTGTTGATTGATTGTTCAGTTATCAGTATTATCTTTAAATACTCAGCAATGCATTTGCCAATAGAAAAGTAAAGCTGAAATGCTTGATGAAATGTCTTATATAGTATATATGCTTGTGACACAGCTATATTAGTCAAACTTTATTTGTGCTTTATACATTTAAATAATTAATCCATTATAGAGCAATTAATAAATTAGACGTAATTATCTGAGAAGTTGCATTAACAAATATTGAAGACCAAATCAAGTGTGTAGATTCTTGTAAGAATACATGAATTATGACTGCTTCCAAACTCCCCAGTTTTTCGTATCTCCTAGTCGGATACGCCCGCCTAGCGCAATCTTAGGATTTTTTCATTTAACATAATGGCTGAGACTTTTTCGAATTATCAAATAACGTTTACATACATAAATATAAATTGCAATTTTCAATAATTTAAATATAAATTATGAATTTAATTAAAATTCAAAACGATTTCAAAGCAGTTCGTTATGTGACTGTTATACACAACTGTTGTCATAGTCTGTCATACAACTGGCATACGCATGCCGTACATATCAAGCAGTGTTTAAATAGGTTGCAATGAAAACAAGCAGTGCACAAGCAGTTAACACCTAACAAGACACATTAAACGGCTGCTATAAGGAAGTTATACGATATGGATACAATCTAATAGATATTATATGTCTCTATTAAAGGTACGCTATCTGGAGTACCGCACGCCATACGAGCTGCAAAGGGAGCAGTCGTCGCGGCTGCTGAAGGTAGACCAGGAATCCATTGTGGCCTGCCAGCATGGCTGGCACTACGACCGATCCATGTATCCCAGCACAGTTGTGCAAGAGGTAACGCTCTGAGCTCCATAATGAACTAGCTGAAGCTGATTTCTATATAAATCACTTACAGTGGAATCTGGTCTGCAATAGCAGCTACTATGTCACCCTGGCCTTGGTGCTCTTTGGCCTGGGCGGCTTGATTGGTAACTATGTGTTTGGCTACTTGGTGGATCTGTGGGGTCGACGTCCCTCCTTCTACGCCTATCTGCTACTCGAAATAGTGGCATGCGCTGCCAGCGCCTTCGCCTGGAACTATTACTCCTGGCTGGGTCTGCGCTTTGTAGTGGGACTCACAGTGCCCGCCATCCTGGCCAGTCCCTACGTTCTGGCCATCGAGCTGGTGGGACCGGATCGTCGCGTGTTTTGCACAATTGTCTCCAACATTGCCTATTCGCTGGGACTTGTGCTGCTCGCAGTGAGTTGAAGTTCGTCTAGAATTGATTTTATATTTAGAGAATTTCTATGGGTTGGAAGGGCGTGGTCTACTTGGTGCGTGACTGGCGCTATCTGACTCTGGCCGTATCGCTGCCGCTGCTGATGCTCTTCTCCTGCTTTTTTGTGCTGCCCGAGTCGCCACGTTGGCTCATCGCTGTGGGCCAGACGAAGAGGGCCGTGCGCATCCTCAAGGTCATGGCTCGGGTCAATGGCGTGCACGTTTCTAGGGACTTTATGGAGCGACTGCAGCAGCGACTGGTCCGAACGCAGCCGGCAGAGGCGTCGCACTACGGCATTTTGGATCTGTTTCGCGGCACTAACATGCGACGCAAGACGCTGATTGTGACCCTGATCTGGTTTGCCAACACCAGCGTCTATGTGGGCCTCAGCTACTATGCTCCGGCGCTGGGTGGCGACGAGATCTGGAATTTCTTTTTGGCTGGCGCAGTGGAGCTGCCCACGTACCTGCTGCTCTGGCCGGGATTAAGTTACTTTGGACGCCGTTGGATTCTGTTCATTTCCATGCTAATTGGAGGCATCGCCTGTGTGGCCACCGTGCTGTATCAGCAGCAGGCGGAGGTGATGCTGCTGCTCTATTGCATTGGCAAGATGGGCATCTCGTCGGCGTTCGTCGTGCTGCCGTTGCTCGCCTCCGAGCTATATCCGACTGTGGTGCGTGGTCTGGGCATGAGCTTCAGCTCGGTGGTGGCCATGACGGGGCCCATATTCATTCCAATAATCAATCACATGGTAAGATCTTGGTTTATCATGCATATCTTTCCCTCAATGCCATCTGCTTGCAGGGCCAGCAGATGTTGGTGCTGCCTCTGATTGTGATGGGCGGATTGTTAATTGTCGGTGGTTTTGCCAGTCTCTTTCTGCCAGAGACGCGTGGCAGAAACCTGCCCCAGACTTTGGAGGAAGGTGAAGCGGTGCCACTTAGCTTTCTGCTTTGCTGCTGTGCGGAATCGCAAACGCCGAGTCGCAGCCAGAACCACAACAGGGGCCTGGGCAGAGGCAGGAGCAGGATGATACCCGAAGAGGCGGCAACTGTCTATCATAGAGTGGGCATTGGAGCTCCGCCAGTGTGTAAAATTGTTTGCAGTATTTGTAAAAAAGAAATGCGAACATTGTAATGTATTAAATAAACAGTAGAAATCTTGTTTTTGGCATAATTTTTAATTTATTTCATTAAACTATAATTAAATAAATAAGAAATTGCAATTGAATATCAAACTAAAAATCAAGCAAAATTTATACCTTAGCCTAAAAGTATGCTTTATAAGATTTGGTAATAAATTATTTGTCAGCCTAAAAGTATGCACTCGAATTTTAATAATTAATTTTAAGTTCTTTTTCGTTGGGATCGATAAATATATACATAATATGTGTATATATGTAAATATATTTATATATATATACATATCTCGATTGGTAAGTTAGTCAACTTTTTTGAAGGGCATCCTAGACGGAAATTATTTTTATAGAGAGACTTTGTTTTTTGTTGAAGTAGCTGCAAGCTTTTAGATTGAAGTGCGTAGACATATGTACAAAGTATAAGTAAACAAACACAAACATATATATGTGTACATGGCTGTGTAATGGCACAACATATACATATATATATAACATATACACATACGTATTTACATATGTGGGACTAGGTATATAATTGTCGTTAAGCTGTCATAAATGAACAAACGTATGCATATAGATATGTAAGTTACAATATACACATATCCATACATACACATACCTATCTACGTATGAGTAAAAGAGCACTTTAAAAGTCCCCACTCAATAGCTTTCAACAAGATCAGAGCATACTGTTGAGTTCTACTTGAAACAACTTTATTTTATAGCTATTTACACACAAACACAATTCATTTGCATACTTACACACAATTATTTGCATCAATTATTTATTATTGTACATATTGATAAACGTTAATCAGCGTAGAGATTTGCGTGTGTGTATGGGAGCGTTCGCATGAGAAAATGTGTGTGAAGTACAAAGTCCAAACAATCTTCAGCCATTTGTGTTATACAAATGCATTCGCCTTATCAGTGGCACGCGGAACGCCGGACCACAACAAATAGAAAGAGCAAGAAAGACACTGGCAGTACGGAAGTTGGGGACAAAATACAAAAGTTGGCAGCGTGACAGGTATACTATATACACAGATATATAAATGGATTTACAATTATTTACAATTTGTTTATATATGAAAATTTATACAGTAAATACATATAAATGTATGTATAGCTAGCTGTATGTATATACACATTTGTATGTATTTATGAAGATGAGCTTCTAGTTATAAATGCACAGGGCCTGCTTTTATTGTTATACTGTATAACAGTATTCGATTGCAGCGGTTGCTAAACCAGCAGCGTAAGATGTGCAATATATGTACATATGTATGCATGCATATCTGCACTTAACTGCCAGTGAAGGTGTCTTCATTGTTTTGTATTCTTAAAATAAACTCTTTAAGGTAAATGTAAACAATTAATTGAATGAGTTTCACTTCATTTAAAACTGTTCCATTTTGTACTGTTATATGAGTATGCATACAAGTGTGAATAGAGTGAGTACTTACATACATACTTACCATACATGTATATGTGTCGAAGTGAGAAACAATGATCAAAACAAACAAGAAAAACTGCCTCGACCGGGTGGTAGATAAACGAAAGACAAAGCAAAAACAAAAACAACAACAACGCTGCCAGATGTCGACAGCAAACCAAAGAAATCCATGTGCATTAAGACATAATGTAATCGCCGTGAATGCCTACAGTCGTATATAAGTAGTGAACACACACACAAACACACTTTACGTTTATATATAAGCATGCAGATGGGTGTATGTATATGTATACATATTCAATGTTGTGCTTGTGACGCCTTCGCAATTGATTAAAACTACGTAGCGCCCGGCATCGGCGTCGGCATCGACATCGGCATCGGCGTCGGCCATCGGCCATTGAGCAGCGCAGTGCGTCGTAGCTGCGTTCAGTGCGATCGCAGACATTGTGCAAAACGGTTCGCATAGGCTGCCGAACGCTAAACGCTGGAATTGGAATTCAAATTGAAATTGAAATTGAGATTGGAAGTGCGCGACTAGCCGCAGGAATTGTGTTAGACCAATTTGAAAGCATTGCAGAGGGCATTATACCCCACCAGCCGAGGCGCAAATAGTTGTCCGAATTACAACAGCTTGTGGTAGGTCGCGCATGTAGCTAGTACTAGGCCACTGTATAAATACGTTCTTCAAGGCTGCACTATCAGCTCTGCCATTTGGCCTCGTCTTTAGGACCTGCTTATCGTGCCACGTTGTTCAGTTTTTTACGCTTTATTGTTAACAAATCAAATTGTTGTTGAATGCGACGCGTGCTCACTGCGGATCGCCTTATCAGTGGTGCGAACTGAACTGTTTTGAACTTGTTAAGTGCCCAAGTGCTAATTGATAATATGTACGAATCGTGCTAATCTTGATAAATTAACTACACTGAATCTAAGACGCAATTATTAAAATAATGTTAATTTAAAATTCCCTCATCAAATTTCTGAAATTTACAACTTTATTTTCTTATTCATAAATTTACCTTTTTACGGTAGTCAAAAACTCGTAATTGTTTCGGAATATTCCCGAAAACTCCCACAAAATTGAATTCATTAAAAGAAATCATACGATTATCAGCATTATCACCAAAAATAAATAGCACACTTAGAAACAACATTTTATGTATATTTTTATATATATATATATATTTATTCACCTACATATATGACTTGACGACACACCAAAAACCCGTATTCATACAAAGCAAAATACATTTGATATATTTTTAGCTTTATCAATTCGTTTTCTTTTTGGAGGCTCGACATATCTGCTCTCTCTCTGTGTTTGCCTACTTTTGACATCAATTTAAGCAACGATCATGGATAGCGTCAAGTCGTTTTTCGCCAACCCCAACAAAGAGAACAATCTGAACAATCAGCAAAATGGCGTTTTGAGTCGTTGGGCAACCTGGAACGGCAATATGCAGGCGCACTCGGATCCGGGTTCAGTGAACCCGACTAGGAGCGACACCAATCGTGGCGAAGCCAAACGCAAGGATAGTGATAGCTACTTCTATATCATGTAAGTGGGATACAAACAATACTGGGAAACAAGGGGAACACATCTATCTTGAATTTCTTATGATAACTAGTATAAAATGTAAGTCAGATATAATAAAAAAATACTGGGCGGGGGGCTTAAAATCTACCTAACCTCTTGCCACTATTTTTAAGGAATATAATATATATAAGCGGTCAGATATAATGAAAAAATACTGGGAAGGTATATAAACTGAATGTAGGGTTTGACTCAATTTATATGTATAAGTATATGTATTGAATCTATTTTTAATTCTTAGTTCTATATAATGCAAGTCAGATAAAAAATATTGGATAAGGTAAGGAATTTAGAGAATATATTAGTTATTTCAATCTATTCATAACTAGATTGAGTAACATCTGTTATATTTCAAATTCACTAACTTCTGGGATGCCAAAAAGGAGTTTAGGGATTTTTACTTTCACATAATATAGTATCAGATATAAGAAAAGTGGGAAGTGTCTGGAGATGAGTAAAATATTTGACTGATATAAAATGAATTCCATACCTCAAAGTATGACTTCCAGGGGTATGCCAAGGAATAGAGATCAATTATCAATTAATTATAGAGATGCAAGTCAGATATAATTAAATTTATATTGATCAAAGGTACAAGAGATTTCTCAGCATATCAGACAATATCAAAATCATATAAATAGTTCAGGCGTTGACTGCTAGAATTGCGATTATTATTTCTATATCAAATAAGTGCTAGATAATATGAAAATAATACTGAGCAATGATAGAAGAAATCAATAGCTTGAGCAATATCTATCTAAACGTCATAACACTATCAAGTATGCCAAATAAAAGTATGGCAAGAAAAACAGTTATAAAATATAAATACCAGATATAATCATTATAATGAGAGGTGGCAATAGATTAGGTGTAACCTATCTTGACTTTCTTATCAGCAGAGAAGACTTGAGTCATGAATTTGTTGTGGTTTCGATTCGCATTATCAGCATTATATATAGACTACACTGCAATATCTTGACAATACTTTTGGACACTCAGGGCTGTTAATTAAAATTAGAGTTTTGCGAGCAGTGTAAACAATTTGTGCGAATATTATTTAACTTTTTAATTGGGGCTCAAACGTTCTCTAGTGCTCTGTACGTAAACCAGTTTTTCGAACGGATCATTGTCATTGCCTTGAATAATACCAGTATCTCGTCTATAAAACCAACTTTCGTCACAAACAATTCCAAATCAGAAGCAAAGCAAAAGCTCTTAACGCCAGAGCTTAAAATCTAAGCACAGCGAGAGAGGGACAGGCAGAGTGAGAGTGAGAGTGAGTGGGAGAGATATCTATAGAGAGAGAGGAAAACCCGGTTTGGGGGATTACGTTGTTCTGGTTTGCAATTCAGTTATGAATTAACAGCGGCAAGCCTCAGTTGGGTATTTTTTTGTCGCGCTTAATTAACTTTATGGCTTGGAGCAGTTAAATATCCGAAAATAAACCCATCTGAAGCCAAGTATAAAGTGCGTGATTCAGCCGCGCAGTTAAAACAGTTTCAATTGGCCAACGGGCAGGAGTAGTTGCAGCGCGTAAGCATCAAGATACAATTAACTATGAATCATTCAGTTTGGATTACACATGCATTGGGCGCCATCTCTAATACTCTTCATCAATCGTCCCTCGTCTATATCAGCTAATGCTCTTTCTATTCATTTCAGGTGGCGGGCTTGAGGCGATATTCCAGCGGCAAGCGAAGCCATATGACATTAGGATAAGCATAATTAGTCTAAAGTTACCTGGAGTGGTTTTTTGATTATATCTAAAATTAGAGACATCGGCGCTGTGACAGACGTGTTTTGCCCTGTTGCACAATCTCCATAACCGATGTTTAGTGATATTAGCTATTTATTTATAATTCGTAATCTGTAAGCTGTAATTATATTTGATAATTGTCTGATCGAGACTGGCCGCTCTCTAACCTATATGGATGCGATAACAGTTATCGGCTTGATTTATTGGCTGCTCTGCATGCTCTTATTTGGACCCATAATGTTCTTTGTCTGCGTCTATTTACCTGAAGTGCCAGTGCGATATGTGAAGAGCTTGAGACAGCAAACCTAGGTCTTTTACACCTAACTTAATTGTCATATATATATATATATATATGTAGCACATAGAATATACTCTGGGTATATTATATTTTATACTGACATTGATACTACTGATGTACTACTATCGACAATACAACACAATAAAATCATTCATGTGGAACATTCAAGCGACGCGTTCGTTTCAATCTCGTCTACAAGGTTTCAGCTCTTCGATCTAGTGAGCGGCTAACCCGTGCCCCACTGGCCTTCCGGCCAGCATTCGCTGAAACAATTTATTTTTATGCTCGCAGTGATACTTGAAAGTGCATTGCACTCTATGGCTCGCCTCGTGTACACAATCTATGGGCATTTCGGATAAATGCTTCTCAAGTGTTTTGCAAAGGAATATGTAAGTCGAGCAGCTCACTGTGTTCACATATTATTGCCTTTGTTTTTGTGCTTACAAGTAATTGCTATTGAATTATTGTTTTTATACCCTGCTTCCACTGACAATGGGAAATCAGGGTATAATAGTATTGGGCAAATGTGTGTAAACGATAGAAGAAGGCGTGGCAGACACCATTAAATATATATATTCTTGTTAAGGGCGACAAGCTGAGTCGATGAAGCCCTGTTCGTCTGTCTGCCTGTCCGTGTAGACGCTCAGATCGACGCGTTCACATATACGGGCAGACGGACAGGGCTCAATCGACTCGGCTTGTTGGCCGTGAACTATCTTGCTATATTGTTAAGGCCAGTTTTCAGTTTGAGTCTAGTTACATACATTATTACATATAATAAATACATCACATACATTCATAAATTATAATATTCACAAAAATGTTAAGCTGCCCCTTCTTAAAGAAGATATACAACTATATGCAAAAAGTTACATGAATAAACTACATAAGCACGATAATGCTCTAGCACTAAGACTTCTGGATGACTCAAGCAACCATAGGCTACTTAAAAGATTTCATGTCCTAGACCTGCCCCACAGAAATAGATAAATATGTAAAGTAGTTAAATATATGGATTGTTCTCATTGGAGCCCCAGCCATCCGGTTAAGTAATATTATTGTTAAAAAATTAGTTTATTGTCTAGTATAAGACAGTTTGCAAAACGGCAAAATTAAAAAAAATGCATCACATACATTACATGCATTGCCAACATCACATATATCACATACATTTATAAATTCTATTTATAATTAGATTGATTTATAGTTAGATTGAAGTTAACAGCTTTTCGTTTTTTCTTTTATATTTTTCTATATTTTAGTAGTCACTACTATTTTTATGAACAACTAAAATTTGTTAATTTTTCTTTCTAAAGACCTGAAGCGCGCAGCTTCTAGTAGCTTTACTAGCAAAAACAAAACAGCTAAATCAAATAATTCAATAAGAAATATTTTAAATATGTACATATTTGCTTTAAAATTTGTTTTCAAATATTGTGTTTATCACTCAATTTTGTGTTCCAATATTTTGTGCTAAGACGCACTACTATTTTAATGAACAGCGCTTTATTTATAAGAAATAGCACCTTTTCACTTAACTAAACTTTTACTAATGACAGCTTGTAACTAATTTTATATTTATATATTTCAAATGTATTGAAAGAGTTCTCTAAACGGCACGGCCTGGCTTGCGGTTACACTGAAACCCAATCTGTGTTACTCCCTATATAAATACATATATATATATATAATATATATATAATATATATATATATATATATATATATATATATATATATATATATATATATAAATATATATATATATATATGTAAGCAGACACTTCTTAAACCCACACTTGAAGCTTACTTAACCTTGTCAACAAGCAACAAATTAAATTTCCCATAACGAATTTGATGCCTTAATTAAATTTTACGATAATTTTTCTATGAATGTTCAATAAAAATAGTTGATGATTAATTTGCATTAACAGAGCTTATCAAGTGAGCAGTACAATTCATAATATATATTTTATATATATTCATAATATATATTTTTTAGCAATTGGCTGAAGCTGAAATGAATCATATTGAAATTCATGTAATGCTCTATATATATATATATAAAAGTTGATCGATTAAGTGTCAAAGCTGCTTGAAAGGCTTTGCGCAGATAAGTTCTAAGAAAACAGTTTTCTCGGCGCTTCTAACCAACGAGAGTATTAGGCATAGCAATAGAATTTCATTATAAGTTTAGCTAAGCTTTTATATGTCGATTTATATACTAAACCTTCCATTACATTCAGGTCCCTGCTGCTAGATTGGCTAAAAGCTACTAACAACTTGCAGAGGAAGAGACTGGCTCAGTACCAGGTCGTTGACAGTCGCGATGTTTTTGTGGTTGGCAAATCAATATGCAAATGGCAGCCGGTGCGTGGGAGTTCGAGATTTCTATAGTAACTCGAATAAACAAAGAAAGGAAAAGCAAGCGTCGAACTCCATTGTTCTATTTCACAATTACGTAAAGTTTAGACTGTGAAAAACATAAATTCGTTCAGTTAATGTCAGGAAAAGGCTTACAAGCTTCAGTGTGTGTAAATTACAGAGGAAGAGCCGTTTAGTTAAAGAGCTTCGTACAAGGTGCATTTACGGCTAAGAATACTGCCTCAACATGCAAACCCCGAAAGTCAAAGAGGGCAAACCGAAGAAGGTAAACAATTATTGCAATCATATCTTGACACAGTAAGACTACACTGTGCAGACTCTTTTGGGTCGAGCACTTGCACAATTCCACAATTTCAAAATTCCGAGCAGCGAGCACCGGGCACCGGGCACCGGGCACATGCAAACACTTTGGGAGCTGTCAACATTGTGATTGCGCCATGGCTACGTGGCGAAGTCGCGTCGTCCTTCGTTACATGATTCTATTTTTGTATTTAAAAATTTGCGATTACTTTTTAATAAGTTGGCTGGAACGTAGCGTAGCAAAAGTTATTGGCGCTCTGATGGAACTTTGTCACGAAACATAATTTGCAATTTGCTCGAGGCGGCGCAGCTCGACCAGCGCAGAGCTGGCATGGGCTGGGGGCTTCGAGTGGGATGTGCAGGATGTTCGCCTGCCGTGTGCGTGCTCACAAAAGGGATGGCACTGCCAGCGTTCAGCTTTTAGCTTTAGATCACTTACTAAATACAACTTTATCTAGGCCTATCTAAAATATGGCGGAGCCTTGGCCAATTGAGTGTCGATGGCAATCAACGGCACCTACCAGCTCCAAACGCAATAAAAGAGTCAATAAATCAGACATGTATATGAGTTGGGCCATAAAAATAAATAGGTAACTCCAGCGACGCCTCTGGGCATTGCCATAATGGGTCGCAAGTCCTACATATTTACGGAAATGTCAACACCCTCTCGACTCCAATCGCATCCTTTGGCCATGACGTGCCGCCGACGTCAGCGACGGAAGTTTTTTGAAACTTTCGCGAACGTCATCAGGCACCTCTTGGCCCATTGGCAGTGCCTAACTCGAGCTAGTCCCAGACCTAGACTCAGTCGTGTTGCGCGCTTCAAGAGGTTCAGGCCTCGTGCTTAAGCATTTCATAGTGCCATCCATCAAAACAGATTGCCAAGATGTGGAAGCTAGCTAATAAGGCCATGGCGGTATATGAGTACATACAATCGTAGACTATCTGTAACTGTAACTATAATTGTATCTGCAACTCTGTATCTGTATCTGTAACTGTATCTGTACCTATATCTGTAACTGTATCTATAACTGAGCAGCTTAGTACTAGATCTAACGCAAGTTGCTTTAGTAGTGCCTACCTTTCTGTGTGTGTGTGTGCGTGTGCAGGTGTATGTGTGTGTAAGAGCAACAAGCCAAGCCAAGTCGAGCAACAAATATGTAAATACAATCTTAGAGACCAACTCTGACATATATATTATATATATATTCCAACAGCTGCAGCTCTGTATATACAAATCCTTATTTCTGTAGATCTAGTCATTGAGTCAAGTTGCTGTATATAAGTAGCTTAGTCCCGCTGCCTGCCAGCTCTCTGTTCCGCACTCGAAACATTAGTCCTTAGCTTGTAAAAAATATGCCACACGTTGATGACGCGCAGGATGAGGGTGCTCCTTGCAGCGCTAGCACGGACGAGCAGGCTGTGACGGAGCAACAGCTATCCGAGGAGGTAACTGCAACTGTCGCCCACCCATCCAGCACCACCCACTTGAGAGAGCTACAAGTGCTTTGCTTTCGGTCTACCGAAGGCAGTTACACTTTCCAAATCAATTTTAAATGCACAATTTTATTATGGGACATTCGGAGATTTGATGCTGTTATTCCTTACCAATGCTCTAATAGATCTGTATACTTTATGCAAAAGTTTTGGCTCTGAACATTAACTCACTGAACTGTCGTTAGGTTAGCTTAATAAGCTAACTATAAAATATTTAAATAGTATCTTTATTTTGTCCGATTGAAATGTTTTCTGTAAAGAGTTATCAACTCAAGGCCCTTGGCTTAGACTTTTGGAAAGAGTACACTTGAAGCACTTGTTAACATGCATGCTGTGGGTTATCAATTGTATTATACTTGAACTGCTCTCGTTGATCACCTAGCTGAAAGTCTGTGCACATTTAATTCGAGCAATTGAAGTTTGATTTGCCCTATAGTATCCTAGCATGTCCTGACGGAAGGTAAGTCTTTGAACAGTTGCGCACTAACGCAAATGCTGCCCACACAATTTACACTCGATTGGCTTCCCTATCCACTCCAAGCTCTAATTTTCTATCAACTCATTTGTTCAATAAACTTTAAAAACAAAAGGTCAGAACATCCAAGGGCAAGGAGGGTGGCGGCGGCGGTGGCGATGCCGATGACTTCGATGCCTGGATGAAATCGCGACAATTGATCAAGCCGGATGACCAATTGGAGCTGACAGAGGCCGAGCTGGGCGAGGAGGTCACCAAGGTGCTAACACCAACCAATACGAATGTGCTGCGCAATTTGGTTGTGTTTAGCTTCAAGGACGGGGAATACGTGCTGGCACCGACGCCGAGCAATACAGTTACTTTGATCAGCTTTGCGGGCAATTCGCTGCACGTGGATTCCGAAGAAGCGCGCTACCAGGTGGAGGAGTCCGACGAAATCGGCTATCCTTTGCCTATGCCCAACTATGCTGTGGTGGAGCAGCGGGAGACTTTGCAGGAAGGCGAAGAGGAAGGCGAAGGCGATGACGATGAGAAGATCGGCGTGGATGCCAAGCCAGTACCCGAAGGCGGCGACGAGGAAGAGGTCGAAGAGGAAGAGGACGAGGAGGGTAAGCAAGAGGGTGAGCACGCGACGGAGGGCGAAGGTGGCGCCGAGGAAGAAGAGCGCGCAGGAGCACAGCCAGCAATACCTACTTCAGGCAAAAAGAAGAAGCTCATCAATCAGTTCAACTACTGTGAGCGCGCCACTCTCACCTATGTCAATCCAAAGCGCGTAAGTAATGAGGGCCTAGACTAACAAGCTGAACTCCGCAGACCTGAACTCAATTGCATCTGCCGCAGAATGTGGACACCCAGACGATTCCTCCGCCGCGCTCACAATTCGGCGGCAACGTGCTGCAGTGGATCATCTATGACAGCTATAACGAGGACTACGAGGAGCAACAGAAAATGGGCCAATTGGCTGGCAAGCGCGTCTCGGCCAAAAAGACTTTCAAAAAGAAAACCGCCCACGCGGAGCAGCTGAACCGCAAATACCTGAGATGCTGGCAGATACTCGAGCGCATGATCAACCAGAACATCTTCGACGACATCGGCAACGACTATCGCTACTGGGAGGATCCGGCCGATGAGTATCGCGAGGGCGAGGGCAACCTGCTGCCACTTTGGAAATTTCAATACGAGAAGACCAAGAAGATGAATGTCACCGAGCTCGTCTTCAATCCAAGCTATTACGATCTCTTCGCCGTTTGCTATGGCTCGCGTGAGTGCAGCGTCTCTCTCTCTCTCTCTGACTCTTCACTACTTGAGGCTTCTTTAAAATTCCTAATTCTCTGGCAGATGATTTCCTAAAGCAGCACAATGAGGGCTACCTGTGTCTGTTTACCGTGAAGAACCCAGCCTATCCGGATTACATAAGTGAGTTAGTTTAGGCCATCAATCATTAGCTTTGACTACGTCTTCTCTTGCAGTTCAAACGGACTGTGGCGTCATGTGCTGCGATATACATCAGAACTATCCCTTCCTGGTGGTTATTGGACTCTACGATGGCAACGTGGCTGTCTACGATCTGCGCGATGGCTGCAAGGAGCCGATGTACGTGTCCAGAGGCGTCAAGTGTAAGCACGGCGAGTGCGTCTGGCAGGTGAAGTGGGGTCCGGATATGGCCGATGGTGAAATCAACTTTTACTCCGTGTCCTCCGATGGCTGCGTCTTCAGCTGGATCCTCATGCAGAACAAGCTGTGGGTGACCACCATAATTACGCTCTATATCGAGAACGGCATTGCGGATGGCCCAGACGGCACGAAAGTAACGCTCAGAAGCGGCGGCTCCTGCGTTCAATTCCATCCGACGAACCCGACCGTCTTTCTCGTTGGCACCGAAATCGGTCTGATCTACAAGTGCAGCACGTTATTTAGCTCCAAGTATCTGATGACCTACGATGCGCACAACATGTCCGTGTATCGCATCGATTACAATCGCTTCGACTCGAACATTTTTGTCTCCTGTAGCGGCGATTGGCGCGTCAAGGTGTGGGAGGATATGCGCGCCGATCCGCTCTTCATATTTGACCTGGGCTCTGCCGTGGGCGATGTCAAGTGGGCGCCGTACTCCAGCACCGTGTTCGCAGCTGTCACCACTGAGGGCAAGGTGCACGTCTTCGATCTCAATGTGAACAAGTACAAGCCCATCTGCGTGCAGGCCGTAGTGCCCAAGCGCAAGAATAAGCTCACTCGCCTGGCCTTCAACGAGAAGCTGCCCTTCATCATTGTGGGCGACGAGAAGTAAGTATTAACTGCGCTGCAAATGTTCAACATATAACTGCTGTCTTGCCTTCGCAGGGGCGCCACCACCTCTCTGAAGCTGTCACCCAATCTGCGCCTCATGGTCAAGCCGCCCAAGAAGCAGCTCTATCTCGATCAGCTAACACTGCAAACCGCCAAGTTAGAAAAGCTGTTATCCTTGGTGCGCGAGCTGCCGGACGGCGATCAAGCACCCGATGTAGCCACGACTGTGAATACCTAGAGCTAATGTATTATATTTTGATAAGTTACATATATAAAATTAGTACAGAGTTCTTTATTGTATAGACCTAACTTTGGCTTTAGAAATTTACATGCTCACTCGCTAACTTAGCCATACCTATATATAGACACCTAAACATATATGCGAACTAGCTATAAACACAGAGATTTAGGAAAGGAAAAAAACACAAAGGAACACATAACCTCAATTTTACAAATATCTTAAAACAACGTTCATATATAGCATATAGTATATAGCATACATGTACAGGAAGTGTGCAATTCAATTCATGCTAAGAACTGAATGCAATTTAGGCTAAGGTAAATGATTATCTACTCCTCCTCGGGGGCCAGGCTATCGGATTTGACCTTAATGTTCTTGGCCTCGAGGTACTCCAGCACGTTGTTGGGGCACATGATGCTCTTGCCGAGGAAGAGCACCGTCGACATGGGATGCAAGTAGTCGGAGGCAAAGGTGGCTGCCTTCCAGCCGAAGAAGCCGCTGGCTCTTACCTCGTTCCCGCTAATCTCGTAGGGCAGCAAGTTGACGCCCACCTGGTTCACCTTGGAGAACTGCACGCGGAAGTAGTGGCCGTCGGTTGCCTTGATCCAGTAGAAGCCTTCGTTATCCACGTGCGGCTTGCTCTGCGACTTCTTCATGGCATTCGAGCGCTCCAAGTCCTGCACATTGAAGCTGATGTCTATGTCGTAGGCGTCCGGCGAGAGCTGATTGCTCTCGATGGCACTTTTGAGCGCATAGTTGTCCAGCCAGTAGCGTATGCCCACATTCTCGAACTCCTCGAGCACATGGTTAAAGGTGGTCTTCAGCTTGTCCAGGCAGCAGGGCGGCGTGTGCTTGCCCAGATAGTAGTAGAAGGGGCGACTGTTGTAGACGCTGCCAATGCACGACTTTGTCGTGCGCTCACAGCCAAACAAATCGATATCCGTGACAGCCGGCAGACTAAAGTTGGAGTACGAGAACTGTGCGTCCAGCACTGGACTGTGCGGCTGCCAGTTGCCCTCGCGGGCTGCGGCCTTGCCGCCCAGCTTGTGAGTGCGCCTAACCAGGCGCTTGATCTGCAGCTTCTTGTACATCTCGCGGAACTGACGACGGCGCAGCTCCAGGCGTCGCTGTTTCGTGTGGAACGAGGCAAACAGCCTGCGCCCCTCCAGAAACGATTGCGGGAAAACACTTGTCTGCGGAAGTGAAATAAATGCGATAAGAAAGTAACTTGTGATAAGTAAAAACGTTGCGCTTGGTGGCATCGACTGCATAATACTCGTTCACGATCCCAAAACAGCCAAACTAAATGCAAAGCTAATTTGAGCGACCTAAGAAGTGTTTATATGTGAAGGAGCTCTTCTGTGGAGGAGCTCATTTGTGAAGGAGCTTAGCTATGAAGGAGCTCATCTATAGAGGATCTCACCTATAGAGGAACTCATCTGTGAAGGAAGTCATCTGTGAAGGAACTCATCTGTGAAGGAACTCAATCGTGAAGGAGCTCGTCTGTGAAGGAACTCATCTGTGAAGGAACTCATATGTGAGCAGCTTAGCTATGAAGGAGCTCATCTATAGAGGAGCTCACCTATAGAGGAACTCATCTGTGAAGGAACTCATCTGTGAAGGAACTCATCTGTGAAGGAACTCAATCGTGAAGGAGCTCATATGTGAAGGAACTCATATGTGAGGAGCTTAGCTATGAAGGAGCTCATCTGTTCAGGAGCTTTTCTATGGAAGAGCTCTTCTGAGGAGGAGCTCATCTGTGAAGAAGCTGACATGTGGATTAGCTCATATGTGGAGCAACATATCCATGGAGGAGCTCATCTGTAAAGGAGCTTATTTATGGAGAAGTTCAGCTGTGGAGGAGCTTAGCTATGAAAGAGTTTATCTGTGCAGGAGGTTTTCTATGGAAGAGCTCTTCTGAGGAGGAGCTCATCTGTGAAGGAGCTCATGTGTGGAGCAACTTATCCATGGAGGAGCTCATCTGTGAAGAAGCTCGTCTATGGAGCTTTGAAGGAGCTCATCTATGGCGGAGTTCAGCTGTGATTCAAATGCAAAACTTGGAAATCCATTAAAGCAGGAAAAGTCTAAACGGAGGACGACTGCGCTACAACTCAAGCCTTGGCGCAATCTATAGATAGAGTCAATAGCACACATAATACAATAATTATATTTTAGCCAATCGCACACGATCCTAACGAGCTTATGCAAACATAAATTCTATTCTATATAGATTTGCTGGAATCTAATCCAAATTCTATCTTATTAATTTGTAACATTCCGATATATAGAAATTTTTAACTCTCCACCCGATATATCCGCAACTGACGGACATTGAACTAAGCTAACATACTCTTTTAACATCCTGAACGTGCCTACAAAGCAAGCATATAGTTAGCATTATATAGATTACCGTTAGATTGGCAATCTTTGCCTGCACGTAGAGCATCTCCGGAAAGGGCAAGGCAAAAGGTTCCGGCATAGCGCCAAGTGCTGCCACGTCAATGAGTATTGCGTGCTTCTGCAGAAACTGTGAAGCAATGAAAATGATTTTAGATACATATATATATATAGATCAGATAGATATAGTTGTCTGATTGATCGCTTACCAAATCGCAATGCGTGCTATCATTGCGCGCTTCCAATTCCATGGTCCAATTGGGCAAGTCCAAGTTGAGCTTCGCACAGCTGCTAAAGGTTTTCGGATTGCCGGCGAATGGTATGAGGAGCAGACGACGCACTTGCTCCTCCGGCGCAACAGTCACCCGCTGTGCCTGGCCTTTGCCCGACTTTGTGTTCATCTCTCGCAAGATTTTCTGCAGCAGATTCTTGCTGCTCAGCCGCACGCTGTCGGGCATCAGCAGAGCATATTTGGTGTGTATGGCGGCGAGTGGATTCAGCTGCTCCCGCGTGCGACGCACATCGAAGGCCAAGCTCATGAAATGCACGGTCTGCTCCTCGCCGCTGGTCAGGTTGCGCTCAAAGCTGATCGGCGGATAGGCGTACTCGGCGGCGCCCTCCTGCAGCACCAGAATGGGCATATTGGGCACCACGTCCAATATGCTAAGAGAGTCGAGAGTCGAGTGTCAAGAGTAGTGGACATATCCGATTTGAGCTACTCACCTATCGATGCTGGGCCGCAGATCCTGTTCGAAATTGTAGTGCCCGTAGAACACAATTGTTATGGACTTGCGTATGTGCTTGTTGGCATTGCGTGCCTTGTCCTTTGGCGAGAGCTTCGGTCCGTGGGCCGTTTCGCCCTTTGGCTTGGCATCGGCGTCCTCGCCCGTCAGAGCGCGACTGATGCGCCGCCAGAGGAACGTGTTCCAGGTGTAATAGAAGAACACCAAATTGACAATGATGAAGCCAACTAGCAGCAGCTTAACCGAACGTAATCGAAATATCTTCATGATGCTGTGACTCCTGTGACAATTGGTAATGGGCAGCCCAGCGGCTTATCCTTGTGTATCTCTGAGCTCTGCGCTGTCAGCTTTATTGGCCATTTATCGTCTGAATGTTACAGGAACAAGTCGTATTCACTTTGGGGCTTGTTCCGGTGTAAACACATTTCATTTAATATTTTCTTGCATTTGTTTTTATTTTCGATTCCTTTTCAATTAGCTTTTCTCGACTATTTTTCATCTCAGAAGCTTTTAGCATTCGAACAGCTGATTTCCTAGTGGAATAAAGCAGCTGGTTTGGCAATAAGCTAAAATGCCGTTAGGGATGTCCTGTGCAAGCTTTCGCCTAAGCTTTTTCATAAATAACTAAGGATGCGCAACATACCCTTAATGCATGCAGGAAGCTCACCCAAACTCTCCCTTAAAAAGTAACATGGAAAAAAATATTAAAAACTAAAAAGCTAAATTTAATAAATAAAAGAAAACCAAGAAAATAATAAATAAAGAGCACATTTTTAAAATGTATAGAAATATTGAAGTTGAAGTTGAAAATAATTTAATTAAATAATTTTGTAACATTTTTCAACATTTTTTGTTTGCTTTTAGCAAAAATAAAACATATTTTGAAATTGATTTCTTTAGAAGTTTTAGAGTATTTATATATATTTTATATTTATCTATGTTTAAAATAATTTTAAAACCAATAAGTATAGTTTTACTAATTAAAAAAAGAAGAATATACTAAATATTCTTTTAAAATTTCAAAATAATTAAATTAAATAATTTCTGACATTTTTCTTTTTTTTTTCTTTTTTTGTTTGCTTTTAGCAAAAATAAAACATATTTTGAAATTGATTTCTTTAGAAGTTTTAGAGTATATTATATATATTTTATATTTATTATAGGTTGATATTATATATGAATATATTTTATTTTATATAATAAATTGTATATATATATATTTGCATTGGTTATATACGAACATAGTCAGAATATTTTTAGAGCTTAACGTAGAGATAAGAAATAATTTATATAAATTTTAAACATAAATTTTAAGTATAGACATACAAACACGAAAAAACACATACATACAGGAATGTTCACAAAAATAGTAGCGCGTCTGAATTTTGAAAAACAACATTTGGTGATAAACACAATATTTTGAAAACAATTTTAAACGAATATTAAGATTGGAAAATTTTTAATTAGTGAACAAAATAATATCTTATCTGTGAAGCTGTTTACCTTGAACAGACATCAATACGTTTAGATAACCATCAGCAGTAGAATAAAATCATTAAAAAGAATCATAATAATTTTTTAGCACAAATATATTTAACATCTTAACATATATATATATATAAGCATACATTGAGTCAGACATCGAGGAACATGCATATGTAGCTTTGCTTGGATTAAATGGTTAAATATATTTTTTCAAGGTAACACTTAAAGCGCAATATTCACATTAATCATACATACTTTCAATATATATATATATATGGTCAACAGCTTTGCTTAGATAATTTACTAATTACATTTAGACAAACATAACAATTAGGCACACTTAAGCAGGACAGATCTGCTCTAATTATAAAGCTCACTCACACTTGAGTCACTATAAAGCAAGTCAAAGCCACGCAGTTGCAACCGACTGCATAATACGTGTTCCCAGTCCAAATACAATTGTTTTTTGTTTTTATAAAGAATCTAAGTTCTGCGAGTGCTTAAAGAAATTTTAGGTATTCCAATAAAGCAATTTAACAGTGATCTCACGGCAAGACTTTCACATGCTCCGAATTGCCGCATAACATTTTTATAATTTCATTCGACTCGGATACGACTATATGTAACTATATAAAAATCAAATATTGAGTCATTAGCAGACGGACGGACACTTCATGAAGCAATCTTATTCACATTTGGCCCTTAGTTTGACATTTATAGATTTTTATAGATTTCTTACAAAATTTAATTTAATTTCTTTACAAAATTGTGCGCTAGCTTCCATATAACTATCACAGCGCCTTTAATTCTGGAATGTATTGTGTCAGGTAACTCTATATAGTATTACAAGGTTATAAAACACCGAGGTACAAGAATCAATCGGCTGCAGCCGACTGCGCTATACTCTGCGACTAAGAAAGGCGTTCAAAAGTTATATTAAAAATTTACAAAATAATTGTCTAAATTTGCTGAAAAAAAAAGAATTTAAAATTAAATTTACTTTTTATCAGCTTTCAAATTTGTATCGAGAATATTGACTTGGTCTGTTTGATTATTATTATTTAAATATTTTTAGATAATTTTTGAGAAGTTAAGTTCTTTATTATTTTAACTTGAGCTACCTCAAAAACTTAAAAATTCAACTCCGTTTTTTTTAAAATTATTTACAATTTCTCTATGGTTCCGTTTATACTTTGATAAATAAAAAAAGTTTAAGAAATCCCAGCTCAAGCTTATTGATCAAACAGGCCAAGGCCAATATACTCACTTAACTTAAAGTACAGAGTATCAACATAATTAAGCCAAACAAAAAGTGTTGCTTTTCAGCCACATTTCTAAGCTGGATTTGTACTTGAGTTAGTGGGCAAAGAGCACTCAGCGCTGGCTCACTTGCCCATGCCAGCGAACAGCAAGGGAAAAGGCACCTCATCGTTGTTCAGCAGAGGCGGAGTGGGTGCACGTGCCTCTGCCTCCGTGGTGCTATTGAGCCAATAGGTGGTGACAGTGCCCTTGCCCTTCAGCTCCACATCGCCGCGATGCTCCAATTGAAAGGTGCCAAATTTGTCCAGAATGGCCTTTGTGGCCGACGAAACATGAATTTTGCCAGCTAAGATGTTAGCCAGAATAGGCACATAAAGAGAGAGAGTAAAAAGAAGCGATCGATTCAAGTGTTAAAAGACGACCCAGAACGTCAAAGTGTAGCAAAATTTTACATATCTCAAAATTAAGTCTAATATTGAGAGCTAATAGAAACGATTCATTGATATTTGTCTTTAGCTTCGAGCAATGCGCTGACCAAATTTGATATAGCTCTTACAATTTTCGATATATGCCAAATAACTAAAAGCTGATGCTAAACTCAAGAAGGAAACGCGAATGGAGGATGGAGCTCTGAATAGTTCCGAGATAATCATTGCGACGCAGATGGGTCAACAATGGTATAGACGAGCAGTTGAACAAATTTATTGGCAAACGGACAGATATACGGACAGACAAACAAACAGTTAGACGGACAGACAGATAGACGGACATATCGGCAGACAGAGACGAACGGACATCCAGATAGACGAACAGACAGGCAGGCAGACAGACATACATACAGACGGAAGGACGGACAGACAGATGGATGGAGGTACAGACAGACGGACGCACAGACAGACGGACGAAAAGATATACGGACGGAAAGACAGACATACAGTCGGGCGGACAGACAGACAGAGAGACGGGTGTACGGACAGATAGTCGGACGGACATACAGATAGTTGGACAGACAGAGAGACGGACGGAAAGATATACGGAAGGTAAGACAGACATACAGTGAAACGGACAGACAGAGAGAGACGGGCGGACGGACATCCAGCTAGATGGACAGACAGGGAGACGGACGGACAGACAGGCGGATGGAAAGATATACGGAAGGAAAGACAGACATACAGTCGGACGGACAGACAGACAGAGAGACGGGCGGACGTACAAACAGATAGTTGGACAGCCAGAGAGACGGACGGACAGACAGGCTGACGGAAAGATGGACATACAGTCAGTCGGACAGACAAATAGAAGGACAGACAGAGAGGCGGACACACAGAAAGAGGGACTGAAAGACAGATGTCGGACGGACACCCAGTTAGACGGACAAACAGACAGAAATACAGACGCCGTAGCTCAGCTTAATAATTTGTAGTGAGCTCAGCTAAACGATTCATTGCTACTCACGCATGCCCGTTGTCTCCAGACGCGAGGCGGTGTTCACTGTGTCGCCAAAGAGACAGTAGTGGGGCATCTTCTTGCCCACGACGCCGGCGCACACAGAGCCCGAGTGCATGCCGATGCGTATCTGTATCTTATAGTCCGGCTTGTGTCTGAGATTGAACGAGCAGACAGCCTGAAGTATGTCCAAGGCCATCAGCGCAATCTCTCGAGCATGCTTATCGCCATTGGGCTCTGGCAGTCCGGACACCACCAGGTAGGCATCGCCAATTGTCTCCACCTGCAGACAACAATTAATACTCCAGTCAACCTCGTCCAAGGGACAACTCACTTTGTAGACATCATAGAAGCCAATGATGCGATCGAATGTGCTGTAGAGATCATTGAGGAAGTTGACCACATCCATGGGTGTGCTACGGGCGCAGAGCTCAGTGAAGCCCACAATGTCGCTGAAGTAGATGGTCACGCTGCTAAACTCCTCGGGCTCCACCAGATCTCCAGCCATCAGCTGCTGGGCGACAGGACGTGGCAGGATTTGGTATAAGAGTTCCTCGGTGCGTTGTTTCTCCAGGCTCAGCTGCCGCGTTTTCTCCTCCACGAGGCTTTCCAAATTGTTGGCATAGTGCTCCATGCGATTCAGTAGATCATCCATCAGATTCTCACAGAATCCTCTGAAGAACAACCAGAATTCAAGCGACCTGTTGAGTCAGTTAGAACTTTTTTCACTCACTTCATAATCGTGCGGATGTTGCTGCGGATGGTAGAGAAGGCTGGTCGCTCCTCCTGGTTGTCGGCCCAACACTTCTCCATCAACACCAGCAGGTCCGGGGGACACTCTCGCTCCCGAATGAGTGGCCTGAAAGGTGGGTACTCGCACTGGCGCACCTTGTGCAGAATGGTGTGCACGTCCATGCCCTGTTGGCGCGCCTCCTGGTAGGGTCCCCCTCGATTGACGATCTCCTCGAGAATAATGCCGAAGGAATAAACATCGCCGCGCTGTGTGGCCGGGCAGCCGGGAATCGATGTCATTGGCAGCAGCTCCGGGGCAATCCACAGCAGCTCTGGAATATCAACTTTGTGAGCAACAACAAGAAAATGTCCCAAGCTCTAATCGCTGCGGCCAATGGACCGGCAAATTCTTACTGGTATAATAGTTCTGATCGCGCACAAAGTCGGAGGGCGTGGTCAGTGTGCTCAGGCCAAAGTCGGAGATCTTCAGGACGAAGCGTCCGTCGATCAGGCAATTGCAGGAGCGCAGCTTGCCATGAGCAACGACATCGCAGTTATGCAGATAGCTCATGCCCTTGACAATGTCGTGTATCAGAGACATGCGAAAGTTCCAGTCCAGCTCGATGGCCTCATTTTCCAGCACGTCCTTCAGGCTGCCTCGCGAACAGTACTCCGTCAGGATGAGCACAGTTGGCCTGGGCAAATCGATGCAGGCGCCCACAAAGCGCACCGTGTTCTCGTGGCTCACGTCGCGCGCCTGCTTGATCTCCCAGAGCAGCGTCGAGGTGACCTCCACCTTCTTCACGTTCACCTTCTTGATGGCCACGCGCTCCCCCTTGAACTGTCCGATCGTTGTGTACACCTGCGGCGGCAGCGAAGCGAAGCTGGCGATCGAAGCGCGACCCGAGTGTATGCCAAACTGCTGCAGCGATATGTTCTCCACGTCCAGGCGCTGCAGCCCGCCCTTGGAGCCAAACATGCCACCCATTTCGATAAGCACATCCTCGGGTCGCACGCGCCACGACATATTGTGCAGCTCCTTGCTGAGCTTCATTTGTCTGCGAAAAGTAACAACAGAGAGTGACCAGGCGTAGGAACTCCCTCTCTACATCCACTTTGGAAATATTTGCTCTTATATAACAAGTAAGACAGATCTAGTCGGGGTGCCCGACTACTACGTATATAGTATATAGACTACTAGGTATATAGTAAATATATAGGTATAATTTTTAATATATTAATTGTTTTCCATTTTTTATTTATTTTTTTACTATTTTTTTGGTTATTTTAGAAAAAAATTTTTTTTAAGAGAGAAAATTGTCATAAATATTTACTTTTAAATTTATTATTTATTATTATTTTAGCAAACATTTGTCAATTTTATTGTTATTGTTTTTTTTTTCATATATATTTAAAATAACAGTACGACTACTCTCATTATTATAATAGCAATTAGTATTTATTAATAATAACTAAAATTTACTAAAATACTAAAAATTATAAATTTTTAACATTTAAACAGTTACACATTAAATATTAAATTTTTATTAAACAAATAGACAATAATCAAAAACAAGAAAAACTTAAATATATATTTAAATATTTATTAAACAAAAAACAAATATATTTATTTAAACAAATACAATATTTAATAAACGAATACAAATTAATTACATTTGAGCGATTTAACAAAAAAAACTTAAGTTTATTCACCATTTGCACAGCGAGTGATCTAGTTCAGGTCATAAACTTGACTGATCTCCCCCAGCCGCTGCTACGTTTTTTATACCCAAAAGTCACTCAAAATGCAACTCCAGCAGAGCTCCTGAGTCCTCTTTTTTGGGAATTTACAGTCATTTTGAATACATATATATTATATATATTATAATAAATATGCAATATCACAGTTAACCCTTTTAAAAGGAGTCAGTCTTCTTTTACGATATTCAATATCGAAACTAAGCGTTTTCAAGTTTTTATCTATCTAAGCTAAACATAATCTCTATTTACAATAACTACTTCCATAAATTAATCTTTTCCTATTTTACGATATTTAATATCGTAACTTGTTTTTAAAATGTTTACGATATTCAATATCGTAAGGAGCTTTTCTTCAAGCATTTATCTTTCTCAATTAAGCTATGGTCACAATTTTAAACAACCCTTTCCATAAATTAACATTCTATTTTACGATATTTAATATCGTAAATAATCCTTTCAAGAACTGACTTTTTGAACACATACGATATTTAATAAAATAAATTCCTTTAAATAATAATAATTATAATTTTACGATATTCAATATCGTAAATGATCACTTACAAATATCGTAAGGCGCTGTTCTTCAAGCTTTATCTTTCTCTTTCTTAAACTATATCGCTATTTCAAATAACACTTTCTATAAATTAATATTCTATTTTACGATATTTAATATCGTAAATAATCCTTTTACGAATTGACTTTTTTTTTGATTCATACAATATTTAAATATAAATAAATTACCATAAATAACTGTTTTTATATTACTTACGATATTCAATATCGTAAATCATCACTTACAAAATCTATACATTTACCACTTACTTTTGCAGCAGACAGATAACCAGCAGCACAAGACCCAGAAACAGAGCTAGTCCGAATACGGAGTACATGATTGTGGTCTCTAAAAGGCATAATAGATCGATGTATGTAATTCTAGCATTGATAGCTATGCTTACCATTGCCATGACAGTCCGGAGCGTTGCCCAAAAAGCCGCAGGGTGGAATATCCGGTGGAGGCTCCTCTCGGCCGCCGGGCCAATGAATCTTCTTGCCATGCGCCGCTGCATATTTTCTGCAACCAAATTGGAGTTGAAGGGAGCTCGATTCAAATGTGTTTCATTGGCGCACCTGTGAAGGCCGTAATAGTGTGCCACAACAGAGAATTTGCCGTTGATGGGATCGAGATCCAGAATGGAATAGTCAGCATCGCGATCACCGTTGTCGTCTATGCGAACGTGTCCCGTAATCCCATGGAATGTTCGGTTCCACATGCGACGCGTAATATTAACGCCGTCTCGGATGTCGCCGCCCTCGGTCAGAGTTTCATTGAGGGCCATGCCGAGCAGGTAGACGCCATCGTAGAAGGCGCCAATGAAGAAGTTCACCTCCTCGCCCTCGCCGAAGGTGTAGTTGTATTCGGTGAGCGCATTCTCGCGCACATTGTCCGCAAAGTCCTGGAAGGTTGGGCTGGTCGGCTGCAGCAGGGAGACGCGCAGCAGCGCCTCGTACGCCTTGCGTGCTCGCATATCATTTTCATCGCCCAGCTCCCAGTCCTTGTCACCCCAGTAGGCACTCTGGAATATCTCCACGTCCAGGAACACCCACTCGCCATTTGTCATGCCCAGGCTGTGGGCGGCCAACATGAATTTGCGTACGAGGACTCCGCGAACCGACAATATGACAACTGCAAGGATTTCCCAAAAGATCCATTCTTATCCATCTTCTATGATATAGAATAGATATAGCTTTTCTTACCACGCGCATACATGCTGGCATCCTTGAGATAGTTCTCGTAGATCTCCTCCTCATTGCCATTCAGCTCGCGCACAAAGCTCAAGAGCCCCTCCTGTCGCAGCCCGTACTCCAGATTCTTGCCCACCGTCAAGGAGAATAGCTCCGATCGATCCACCAGCAGCGCCACATGCTTCCAGTTGAACTGGCGAAAGACGCTGGCAAAGACCAGCTTGAGCCGGCACTGGCAGTAGGACATTCGCGTCAAAGTTGGGTACTTCGACTTGTCTTTGAACATGCCCTGCAACAAGACAACAGATCACATCAATAAGACCAATTTTTGTTAAATATTTTGATGTACAACTTAACACGGAGACTACGGCTCGATTCTCATTGTTTGCAGTAGAAATAAGTACTAATAGTGTAAAGAGTAGTAGATTTTGTAGTAGAGAAGCACTTAAAAAGGGTAATATTGAAAAGAGTAGTAGCAATAGCAGTAGCATAACATGTAGTAGAAAAGTAGTAGAAGTAAAAGTAGTAATATCATTAGAAGTAGTGGAAAAAGTAGTTATGGAACAGGTAGTAGTAGCACCTAGGAATAGTAATAGTTGAAAGTAGAGTTGTAGTCACAGTAGCAGTAAATAGAAAGGGTAATTTTGTTAGTATAGTATAATATGAATTAGAGAAAAAGCTGTAGTCAAACAAGTAGTAGTAGTGGCAGTTAGTAATAGTAGAAGATGAAGAAGTAGTAATAGTAGTAGTAGTAGTAGTATTAGTAATAGTAGTAGCAGTAGTAGTATCCTAAGTAGCGACATTAGCAGTAGTAGTAGTTGTAGTAGTAGTAGTAGCATTAGTAGTAAGTAGTAGTAGAAGTAGTATCATTAGTTGAAAGTGGTAGTAGTAGCATTAGTAGTAGTAGTAGTAGTAGCTTTAGTAGTAAGTAGAAGTAGTTGTAGTAGTAGCTTTAGTAGTAAGTAGTAGTAGTAGTAGTAGTAGCTTTAGTAGTAAGTAGGAGTATAAGTAGTAGCATTAGTAGTAAGTAGTAGTAGAAATAGTATCATTAGTAGAAAGTAGTAGTAGTAGCATTAGTAGTAGTGGTAGTAGTAGTAGTAGTAGTAGTAGTAGTAGTAAGTAGTAGTAGAAGTAGTAGCATTAGTAGTAAGTAGTAGTAGAAGCTGTTGTTATTGTTGTATAAATTGTAGAAAGAGTAGTAGAAAGAATAGTAGTAGAAGTAGCCGTGTCATATTAGTATCATATTAGAATAATCAAGTAATTCTAGAAAGTGGAGCAGTAAAATTAGTAATGAAAATGGAATGAGAAGTAGTAAAAACTGTAGTAGTAGTGACAGTTAGTGATAGTTGAAAGAGTAGTAGTAGTAGCAGTTAGTAATAGAATAATATTAGTTCGAGTGTCCAGTGGTAATTGTGGAAACAGAAGTAATAGCAGTTCGTATTAGTAGTAGCATTATTTGTAGTCAAAAGGGTCAAAACAGATTTGGTAACCAAAGTATCATTTGCAAATTAATTTCTGATTTAAAATACTTTTATTATATCGTTTCAGCATAGGAGCAATCGCTTGGACTCGAATCATTTAGCTGCAATCGTATTTGTTTGTCGTTGTGCCAGCCTCTTGTTGTCTTGTTGTAATTAAACTCAACTAATTAATGTGCTTAAGGCAATTCGCTTACCGTGCTCTCGTTCTTCCACTTGTGTATTCTGCCCAGCATGCCGGAGGTGACGGTGAGTTCGCCCTCGGATGAAGGTGGCTTTGGAAGACAGAGAGAGAGAGAGAGAGAGAGAGAGTAGTAAAATGGGTATATTGAATCGCAGCCTCATCAACTAGTTGGCAGAATGATTCAGATTCAATGAAGTTATTTAGGAGTCTTTGGCGGATGTGACTGGAAGCTGGAGCTGTGGGTCGAGGGATTAGTTAGGCAGCCAGCGGAGCAAGCACATAATTGACGGCCACACACTGTGCCGAGCCGTTGGAGCTGGGCTGCGGTAGCCGTGGCGTATACGTGTTGGCACCGCACTCACCTGATCGCCCATGCCCGTTATAATGGGTGTATTCCAGTAGGCGGCCAGGCGAGCAACAGGCTCCAGAGCAAAGGCGCACGCAGGTCCTATAAACGCAATGACATCGTCCTTGAAATGCATATCCGCTGCCAGTCCCGGTGCCTTGGCGCCCGAGCAAGACGGATAGCTGCCAAGGCAAATCGTCAATTAAGAATGGAAAAATGGCAAAGAAAACAATTTATGCTTCAAGTGCATTTCCGGGATTAGGCTCAGAGTGCGGCCATGAAATTCGAGCAATTAACTAAATCGTGCAGCACGCAACAGGTGCGACTGGCGCGGACTTACCTTGCCTTCTTCTTGACCAGTCGAATGTTGTGCGGACTGAGGAAGCGCTTGTTAATCTGATCTAGTGCCAGGTCCACGGCAGGTCCACAACGTTCCAGGTCAAAGGGCGAATCTGTGGGGAGGCCACGCAAGTTGTCATCACTGTGAGCTGTTGCCTCCATCCGTTCACTTACCCAAATGGGAGGCCATTAGAACGCCCACATTATAAACACGCATTCGGCTGATGTCGCTCTCATTGAGGGAGCCAGCCTGGTTTTTGGGCTCTCGGATGCGCTCGAACACCTTGATATCGATGCTGTCATTCGAGTGGCCATTGAAGTTGCCATTGCTCGACCTCGCCTGATGACTGATGCCGTCCACAACCCGTTCACTGCCCTCCCACGACTCAATATCGCTCCGCTTGCCACCCAAATGCAAACCAAGTCCAATTTCGAACAGCAACAGGCCCAAGCCCACAATTAGCTTCAATAGCCACATGTTGCACAAAGAGCTAAAATCCTTTAAAGCACGAAAATGTTTGATATATATATATATATATATATATAATATTGAAATAATTTAAGAAATTAGACAGCAACAGGTGGCCCAATATGCAGACACATAGCTAATACCTTCAACTAAAACAAGAATGCTCTTGTCGGGAGTGCCCTGAACCGGGCAGCTACTGTAATCATTCGGGTTTCTTGTATACATTGAGTTATTATATTAATCAAGTTTATAATATATTATATTATTCATAATTATACATATACATCGTAAAGCTTGAGCTCTTTGAAACAATTATATTTTTTAAATTTAGTTGGTTAGCGGATGATGATTTAAGAGGTAGATATCTTACTATCCTAAAATATGAAGTCAAATAAAATTGACTATAAAAAGAGAATGCGGAATGAGGAATTGTTTATTATTATTATTTCATATTTGAACTGTCTAATTTTTGTGGTTGAAAAACGGATAGACAGGTGGACTCAGCTCGTAGCTCGTAGGTCAGCCAAGCCTCTTCCTTTGCACAGTACTTTTATACTCCGAAATCGCATATTCTATATATTCTGGTACTATAAGTAACTCATATATTTGGCATATACATTTTTAAGTCTTTAATACATTCAACAACAACAATAAAGAGTAAACTTTTTTAGATATACATAGTTAATTGGTGCAAAATATATATCATTGATTCTAATTAACTCATTTGTCCTTAACAAGCCACCAAAAAAATTGCTAAAAAATAGTATCATAACAAATTAAAATTTGGTACTTTAAAAGCTGATAAAATTTTAATTAAAAAAAATATATATATATATATATATATATATAACTATATATAATATATACAACGATATAGAATATAGATTATAATATTTTCAATAAGAGAGAGCTCAAAAACTGCTCAATTTGTTGATCTTGAATTATTAAAGAATTCTTAAAGCTTCAGGCTCTGATTTTATTATAGTAATGGATTTTCAACCATCTCATGTAAGTGTCTATATTTTATACAATATATATATTGAGTGCGCACACTTAATCTTTTTCCTTTTTCAAATTGCTATTACGCCTAAATAAACTTTAAGCATTGTGTTTGAAATCCAAAATTCCTCTCTCAAATTCATTTCAATTCAAAGTATTTTTCCACCAATTCACTTTCACATAGAAATGAGAAATTTATTCACATCACATTTACAGAGGATAATGAGGCGCACTTAATTCATTCGAATAATTTAAGTAAAACTGCGAAAACTTTGAGACTAAATATAAATATAATAATATAAATATGTATATAGACAAATGTTTGCAACTCTTTAAAAATGTGTTTAATAATTAGAATCCGTTTAATTGTTAATTTTTGTAGAAATTGAAGTTCACTTTAAACTTAAGAGTGAAGCATTCAAATATTTAAAGCACCTTTAACAAATTTATTTAAACTTTAAATTCACAAATTTGATTGAAGTATAAAAGGAGAAAAGTTTTGTCCTTTGCAAGGCGCGTTTCACGAATGAACTTGGTGCACGGGCTCTGGAGCTCTTTTATATAGTCGCGTAGGCTGCTCGGCAACAGGATAGTCCAGCAATCGACACGAGCTGCCTAACCAATGGCAGGCATTCGGCTATCTGCCATCGTCAGTGGGTGAAGTGGGCGTCACGGTGGTTGAAGTGGGCGGAATTGGCGCCTCGCCTCGCCGTGCCGAAGCCGAATTTGAAGCCCGGCGTCGTCAATTTGAATGCGAATGTCGAAGGTTAGGCGAGCACTGCCAAGCGCCAATGCCAGCGCCACAGACTCTAGGGCAACAAGCAGAAGAAAGGATGTACAGTGAAATTGCCTCTAACGAACAGATGCTTTGATATAAACGAAATGGAAACTTTGGCAATGCTGGCCACAATTATTCAAAGGTAATAGGCGGAAGGGGCGTGACCAAGCCCATTACATAGGTATGGTGTTGAACAGATTCAAAAGTCAAGCCGATATAGACCTATCGAACTAAACTATCGAGCTGTCTAGAGACCTGATTTTATATGATTAGGTTCCACGCAGGTTATGATTGCTTAATAATCATCGATAAGTTTTCCATTGCCATAAAATCGAATAAGATATAAGACATAGTCAACATCTAAATTTCACTGGAGTCATACCTGTCCATCCTTTGTAGCCTTTACTGTAATTGTTTTCCTTACACTTCGCAGCTGCTTTCACTTGTTGCCATTGCGTTGCTCAAGCTGTTGTTGTTGTTGTGCTCCATTTGAATTTAAAGTGTTTGCCAAGAGAAAGGAGCAACAGTCTAATAAAACGCGTCGCGTGCCGCCAACAATTAATGCGTCTCCATTGCTGCGGGTGGGATTTCGTATATCCCTTCTGTTCATTCTGTTCGTTTTGTTCCTTCTGCCAGCGAGCAATAAACGTGTCTGCTTGAACTGACTTTATGACCCAGTAAATGTTGAATTCCTGTCGAAAATGCCTCGAAATTTTAAGCGTATTCAATTTGCTGCTTTAGTAAAATCTGTAATGATTTTACAGTAGAATTCTTAATTTCAATAAGTTTATAAAATTGTAAATTCAGTTGGAATATTCCGAATATACCGCCCGCTATAGGGATTTTGACATTTTTCTTGTTGTAAGTTATTATACAGCTACAAGGATCGAGAAGTTATGTTAATTTCCAATTTTAAAAAAATGAAGAATATTAATTAAAAATATATTGCTATTTTAAATAAATATCTATGTATATGGGAGTCTAATATTAACTAAGCTTTTAAATATATTCCATTAACGAACAATTTCATACACATAATTAATAAAAAATGAAAATTAACAATAGTAATAATATATAATAATAATATGAATAGTAATACATTAAGGAGATATTCAAAAATATTTAAAGTCCAATAAAATAATTCATTTTATCTCTGATTCCAACAAACACTTAAATTTAGTTTAAGGATATACAAATCAATTGGTAATAATAGTTTTTAAAACACACAAAACTTAAATACATTCTTGTTTTCTTTTTATTTTTTTCGAAATGCTAAACTATTAAGCCCACAAGTAGAGTTCAAAAGTTGCGCTCTACGAATATCAGCCGACGATTGGAAACAGCTCTGTCTAAATCCTCTTTTATCGATAGCTTTTTAAATTCAGTATGGTTAGTTTTTCTATCGATATATCGCTATATCGAGTATAAGCTTTCAAAGTTGTATTTTATATATTTAATTGGGTTTTGTTTTAAGCAATAACTGAGAAATATTTTATCTAGTAAATACTTGTAACCATTAATCTTCATTGAACCTATCGATGTTTTTTCAATTCTATCGAATAAAAAACTAATAAGGGGCGACAGCTCTGTTCAGCGATGACAAGTATAATTTGAGAGAAACAAACCTCGACGCCGCATATTTGCTTAATTTCCAAAAAAAAATAGAAACAAGCTCAAAAATTTAATAAGAAATGGTAAATAATTGTTAATTCATGTAAAAATATTAATTTAAGAGCTGACCAGTTTAAGTTAAGCACCCATTGTTTTGTTTGCATATAGATGTGCAATTTGCCTAATCACCGCTACAATTTTTTTTCTCATATTTTTCCAGGCTCGTCGTTATGATTCCCGCACAACAATCTTTTCACCGGAGGGCCGTCTCTACCAAGTGGAGTACGCCATGGAAGCTATATCGCATGCCGGCACATGCCTTGGCATACTGGCAGAAGATGGAATTGTGCTTGCAGCCGAATGCCGCAGCACAAACAAGTTGCTAGACAATGCGATTGCATCGGAGAAAATTTACCGTCTAAATGAGTAATATAAATATATATAGTTTTACAGATAATAAGATAGTAAATTGATCAACTCAATTTTCAGAAATATGGTCTGCTCCGTAGCAGGCATCACATCCGATGCAAATGTATTGACTTCTGAGCTGCGCCTAATCGCCCAGCGCTACCAATTCAACTATGGCGAGGTCATTCCATGCGAGCAGCTCGTCTCCCACTTGTGCGATATTAAGCAGGCCTACACACAGTATGGTGGCAAGCGTCCATTCGGCGTCTCATTGCTGTACATGGGATGGGACAGCAAGTATGGCTATCAGCTGTATCAGTCGGATCCCAGTGGCAATTATGGTGGTTGGAAGGCAACTTGCATTGGTAATAATTTCGGTGCCGCCATTTCTATGCTAAAGCAGGAATTGTCCGATAAAGAAAACATAAAATTAGATGATGCCAAGGATCTGGCAATTAAAGTTCTTAGCAAGACTCTAGACACCACAAAGCTGACTCCAGAGAAGGTTGAAATGGCCACCTTACAGCGCATCGATAATACGACTGTCTACAGAATCTTGAAGAAGCCCGATGTGGAGAAGTTGATTGCGAATTACAACAAGTTGGAAGCTGAGGCAGAGGCCGCTAAGAAAGAAAAGCAAGCTCAGCAGCAGTCAAAATCTTAAATAGTTTTTTAATTTGCTTGAAATTGCGTTAATTTTGTATATGAAATAAAATTTCAAAATGATGGGCCAGGAAAAAAAGGTTAAATGGCGATGGCGATGGTGATGGAGATGGCAACAGCGACAGCGATGACGATAAATGTGCGATGTGGCAACTCTGGAAATAAGAGATAGTTGGCAGTCATTCAAAAAATGCCTAAAAATTACCATCGTTGTTGTATGCACTAAAAAATACCGTACAAAACATTTAGTGGAAATTCCATCGCTTTTTGCAGTTTTCGCTCCTAAAAAAAGTTAACTGTATTTGTAAAAATATTTAATAATCGGTTTCTCTCGATGGAAAGCAATTAAAATATAAATTACGCCTTTCGGAAAACGAATGAAAGCAAATCTTAGGAAATTTTTCCTACGCAGCAGATCATCATTGAGCGCGCGTCGGTGTGAGTGTGTGCGGTTGTGTGTGTGTGCGTGTGCCACAGAAAGTGGCAATCAGGCAGCAGCAATAGTTAAGTGTACAAATATTCATAAATCATTCGATGTTGTTAATTTATGCAATAAAATGTGAAACCAATGACAATATTTCAATGTTGTCAATACAGAGAAAAGTTGTGTAGAAGCAGCCGCAACAGCGACATCCGCAGTAGCCGTCAACGTTAACGTATAATAAGGCAAAAGAAAAATGAGGAAAATGAAATAACACAAAAAGAGCTGCGCTGTAGCGAGCAAGTATAAGAAACGCGAAACACAAGTAAAGAAAAATCGAAATAATAAAATACATACGTACGTACTGTATGTGTGTATGAGTATCTTAAAATTGTGCCTGTGTGCGCAGTGCAAGTGTATATGTGTATGTGTGTGTATGTAAGTGAAACGTATAAATAAAATTCAGCCAAATGCAGAAACCAACAACAAAATGGATAACAAAACTACACAGTTGGATTTTAAATTACTGGTAATTAAATAATGTTTTCTATTAAATGCCCTGCCTATCCCCGACCCTTCTCGCATTTAACTAAATACATAAATGTGTACATTCATGCACACGCACGCATACACACCAACATGCTGGCAAGTATATATGTATATGTAAGTCTACATTCCGTGCGACTATCAAATGAGAGTGGCAAAACAACGTGTAATGAGTAGGTAAAGAAGAGAGCGGCAGAGTCGCATGGAGAAGCAGAAGAGAGGAAGAGAGCAAGAGAGATAACAAATGAAGTGAAGTACAGTGTGCACTAACAGTTTAATTTCAGCTGTTGTTTTTGTTTTTGTCGAAATGTTATGTTATAAACTTTGCATCATGGCGAATTAAAAAATATTTTTATAAGCTGTGCTCACAGACAAAATATAGTAAAGAAAACTAATTTTGAGCATACACAAAAATGTTTTTTTTATGGTATCTTTTGTTTATGATCTGTAATCAATATTAATTTAGGACTCTCAACGTTATGTCTTAGACTTCCTTTTAGGGTAATGGAGGCAGCTGCTTGTTTTATTATTTAAAAGCTTTGTTCGCTTAGTCTGCCCCTTTGCCGTGTTGCCCGTCCCTCAAGCAGTTCTTGCACAATATCCGCGCGCTTACACACACAGTCAACATGGATATTTCGTGCTTATGCTATCTATGAACTTCCGCAGTGTAGTTGTGTGCCCTTGCTCCACCCTACTCTACCCTACCCTTCTCCCATCTTCTGCCTGCTAAGCTCTCCACCCACCTACTAACCCATAGCACTCCCTTTCCTCATTTTCCCCACACCACTGCTACATAAAAGCATTCTTCTCTTCTCTTTTATTTTTTCTTTTCTAAAATGAATTGTAGTTTTGTTTCTCCTTCCTCCTTTCTTCCCCCTCTGTACCCCATAAGCCAGTCAGTCAGTTTTACTTCTCCCACTTTCGACCCATTTTGTCATTGTTGTTGTTATAGTTGTGGGGCTGGCTATTATTCACTTTTGTTTTGTTTTCCTCGTCGTTTTGAGAAAATATTTATTTTTATTTTTATTAGTTTATAACAACATTACATTACTTGAATGCACACACGCACACAAATACAAATTCAGATACATTCATTATATGAACAATCACATTTACATAGTTAAATATGTTTGTATGTGCATAAATACTACGAATACTACGAAATCTAACTTGTGCGCGCCACTCTGACTACAAATACAATAAAAACAACAGCGCCAACACTACCAGCAACGAGAGAGCATGAATTTGATTGTATTTGTATATGTGTTTGAGCTTGCGCTTGTGTGAGAGGGAGAACGAATGGACGAGCAAAGCACAAGTGAAAAATTGTAAACAGCGTGCACAGTGGTACAATAACAGTATTGAATGAAATTGTAATCAATTCCCCGGTCTTGTTCTTGTTGGAATGCAGCACGGAAATCTTCCTTTTCGTTTAAGAGAAAAAAGTGATAGAGAGAGATGCTGAAACCAATTAGGGTTTTTTAGGTTTTTTGATAATCGTAAGACTCGGAAAATGTTTTTAATTGTACTCTCAATTAAATAGTTTATCGCTTTTAATTTATTTTAAACCTGTTAAGAAAGTTAATGTATATAAAAACAAAATACCTGAAAGCTCTGTAAAACCTTCCTACAGTGGCAATAAAATTAAAATAGTAACTAAGTTTTTTGTCGCTCAATTTGGTCATTTTATAAAACAAACGAATTTTGACGAATATAATTTGAAATAAAAATAAATGTAATTATATGTATTAAAAATCCAGCTTTATACACATAAATTAAAACTCTTATAGTTAATTTGGGTTTAAATACTTTGGTTCGCTTAAGCTATCAGCCACTGTACATTCATTCATGCATATGCATGCATATTTGTATGTGCGTGTATATGTGTAGCTAGTTTTGTTTCGCTTTGTGCCAATTTCATTAATAAAGGAGGACAACGTAAATGCTATTTTTATTTGATTAGTAAAACTATACAAGTATATACACAAGCACATGCACATAGACAAGTTTATGCAGTATGTGTGTTATTTTCTATATACTTAAGTATGTGTGCTGGTACACGTTGCATGAGCGTAAAATTTAAAACATAAGTTTGCTAAAAATGCAGCCACAATTCTTGCCCCACTTCAGCTACAGCTGCAACGTTTACAGTTTGGCAACCTAAATATGTGCTATGTATGTAAACAAATACGTTTAAACATGTGCATGTGTGACTTTGTGTGCGTGTGTGTGTGCTCTCACTCTCTTTCCCTGTTGCTTTATCGCTGGGTTTGTGCGTGCCGAACAGGTACATAACAATATTAAAACGACTATCCGAAAAAGATGCAGCCAAATCCAATAAATCAAGACAAACTGCATTTGTATTTCAAATACATGTGCACATAGACAAGCGCTTATTGAATTAACTATAGGAGAGTCCATTAGCTTTGCGAACTCAGTTGAGCATATGTATATCAATTGTATATTTGAATTCATATCATTTGAAACCAGCTCTTAATTGTTTTTTATTTTATGAGTCTCAAATTAGTAAAGGGTTAAGCAAGCCATTAATTGTCCACATACTTCTGTACGTACGCATATAAATGTTAATTGCTTATAATCTTGAATACGTGATAATTAAGAAACAAATAGAAAAGAGCTATTATCATCTTGCTAAATAGTACAATTAGATGGTTTCTAACTGTTTATCTTGGTTGAGCTGAAAACCTTTATTATGTGTTATTTTTCTTTTTTGTAATTTGGGAAAATAAATTTAGTTTTAGTTTAATATAAATAGAAATGTAACAAGTTTAGATTAAGAAACGATTTATTCATATACAACTTTGTATTTCCGATCCATCCCTAATCTAATATAATACCAATTAAATATTTTTAGCTTAGTAGGCTCGATGAGGGCATCCTTGAATCCATTGAAATAACTCTTCTTGCATGTGTACAGACATGCTATATATATTTTATACCTATGCAATTACATGCAATCCTATAATTTATATGCTATCTTGATTAATGTCAAATACCACACCCTATAAAAGCTAAGACTAAGTTTCTTTACCGAATTCGAAATTCTAAACTCGGAGTGTTGAGCATGGAAGGCTTGTTACGACTTAAAATACGATAAAAGGAAACAAAGAGCGAAAGACCCATAAATTTTAAATGAAACAAAAGAACAAGAATTTCGTACATGTATGTGTGTAGCTCGTGCTTATGCCATAGATCTCTTAAGCCTTCAAATATTTGTACTACATGTAAATATGTATGTGTTTGTACATAGTATATGTGCACGCATATACACACACACACACATACACACACGAACGTACGTACGTAGTTGCTGTGCTCAATTTAGTTTTTATAGATATTTCAAGCACTTTTACATGCCCATTTATTTATATACACATATATATCTACATATATATATATTCATGCATGTATAGATGAGAACAGTTTCGCTAGATAGAAATGCCTTATTTATCAGCTATTTTTTGTATTATGTATTTCTATATATGTATGTATATGCACATACATATTTATAAGATATTCAACCGGCAATTTAATTTCCTGTTAGCTTTTAATTTCAACTAACTTAAATAGAATATAATGCAAGAGACGGCTTGTTAGTTTTAAATCATACAATATATTAAAAGAGATTATACGCTATATCAATGTTATATTCTAATATTTTCGGGAATATTGTTTATGATTGAAATTTTAAGCAACTGATAAAAATCCTTTGTAAACTATACTCTCTCGCTACTGTTGGAATCTAAAAAGTATTTAATTACATAGTAAATATGTATGCATCTTCAATTAATACGAACAACATAATATATGTAATTACATACACTCACATAATCGTAAATATGTATTCATGTAATTAAAAATGTAATTTGTTTTTGTCTTGCCCTGCGCTCAGCTTTGCAACAGGCATGCACGCGTGTACAAACATATGTACATATACACACGCACACACTCACACACAGTCATATATGTTTGTATATATAATAAGCTCTCTCCCTCTCCCTCTTCCTCTTTTTCTGTCTGTTTGTCTGTCTGTGCCTTTTTCTCATAAAGTTGTACATAAACACGCACATAAACATTGTAACACGCACACACGTGCGCATTCAGTTTCTCGCGTTATCTTTAATCTAAACTTGCAACAATGAGAACTGTCAATTTCGAGTAGAATACTTGCATACAGAGTTGCCACCGGGTCGAAAGTCAATAAATACTTTAATAATGATTCTTCACTCTGCATCTTTCACTTTAATTGAGATATTTTGGAAAGCGATTTATTAGATATCATAATTTTAATATTATTGCAATTGTTTTTTTAGTTTTGCAATAATTGCAATATTTAAATTCATATAAGAACTCAAATTGCTATTTGACTATTTTTTATAGCTGTTCAAAATAACTTGTTTTTTTTTTTTTTTGACATATTGTTATTCCGCCAATAATAGAGTGAGGTAACCCTAAAGGTATATGCCTCTTTTTATAGATTATTATAATTTATAGAACATTAATATCAAGTGGAATGGCAACTTGCAAAAAAACATGTATCTATATATAAACAGAGGTATATATCAACTTTATGTCGAGTCATTAATGGCTTCCAAAAATGTATTGAGTATCGGTTTTTTGCCAGGTCTCTTGAGCCGCCAAATCTGTTAATTTTCATAATAAAGATTTACTTTGAATACAAATACAATAAAAGTTTAACTTCAAATTAGCCCAATTTCATTTGCGTTCCATAGCTCCCTTAGTAACGACCCAAATGTCTACATAATTCGAATACAAGAGAAATAATACCGAGATATTTCTAAATAAGAATAAATCACAGTTAAATTAACATTAAATTAATAAATGTTACAGAGACATATCATTTCCCTTTTCTCATCTTGCTTGTAATTAGTTCTCTCAATTTGATAAACATCATATTAATTTTATGCTTCTGCTGAAAGAATATTTGAAAACTGCCAGCGGGGCCAAAGTTGTGTTGTTCAGTGCCGTTGCCCCCAACCCGTTCTTCATAGTTACCGCTCTCTTTATTCGTCTTTCTCTCCTTCTCTCTCTCTCTCTTTCTCTGTTTCTCTGTATCCTCATTTATATATATGTATATATTGCTTAACCTCTCTCGCTCTCTAAACAAATGTTAGCCAGTGGGTGGGTTGTGGGAGAGCAATTTAGAGAGCGCCATCATGTTTTTACAACTACAACTACAATAATTTGTTGACTCGCTGCTTAAACTCCCGCACACACATAAATATAAACACGCACACACATATACACGCATACATATACACATTATATACAGAGATGGCAACATTGTGGAATGGGGAAAAAGTAGCACAAATTGTGCGCTGTTTTAATTTCTTTGCTTCCCCCTTTGGCCAACATCGTTGCTAGCTGCGCGCTCTTTTTTTTAATTTCTTATTATTGTTGTATGTGCGCTTATGTGTTTCTGTGTGTATGTTTATATATATAGCTTTTTTATTTTTCCTGTTATTTTTTATACAATTTTGCCTTTGCCATCTTCGTTCGCTATGCTATGCACTAATCGTTCGTATTGGCAGCGCTGTTGCTGTCGCTGTCGCCGCGTTGTCTGCTCATAGTCTCACTGACGCTGACGTCGACGCTGACGCCAACAGCTCCGCCGGTGCAGGCTGAGCTGAGCGCGCGCGCTCTTGGCACTCTAATTGCATTAAATTGTTTGGAAAATCATAATCAGTAATTGCATTTAATGACAGTTTTTGAGTGCACGTGTGAGTGTTTGTTCTGTTCAATTTAATTGGAGTAAAGCGCACACACACTCTGACTGTGCGTACATAAGTAAATATACTGTTGATTTTATTGGGCATTTCGTTAATTCATTTGTTGAAGCACGTGACAACGCCACAACACTTTTCTCTTATCTCATTTCGATTTTATTAATCAATAACAACAACCTGTCGTGGTGAGGCTTAAGAGCTATGAGTGGAGATATAGTTTATATTTTATTATATATTATATATTATTATAATGCACATAATAAGGATAAAATGGTGCCTTAATACTATAGTAATAATTCTGAATATCTCCGACAAGTGTCATCCTTTATATTGTATCTTTTCCTAGTCAATAATTTTTTATTCAAGTCCGAGTCTTACCACTTCCCACTCACATTCTTGCTCTTTGTTTTACAGGTGGATCAGTCAGTAAACCTACTGGATAGTTTAAATGCGGTGTCGCGGTGCGATGCAATCACATTTCTGCTGCAAACGCTTAAGTGCAAATATCCAGAGGCCTGCGACAGAGTCGTCAGGAATCTGTTCAGTCACAATCCCAATGACAATGGCACCGGGTCGAAACTCCCGGACGAAGCGCAGCTAGCGAAGGGCGAGCAGTTGCAGCTGCTGCTTACCGCGAAGAAGGAGAAGACGGAGCCGGAGCCGGTTGCGAAAATCAAACGTGAAAGCGAAGATGAGGCAGCCGCCATCGATTTGAATCAAAACTTTGAGAAGATTCTCTGCAAGGAGGATTATATGTGCCTCGACCAGGAGGATGACTTCCTGGATGATGACGCCGATGATACCGAGAACTCTTCCTCCATGAACAAGCGCCTGCACTTCCACCGCACAAATAGTGCCACAAACGCCTGTGCCAGCAACAATGTGGATGCGATTACCGGAGTGAGTCCACTACTCATCTCCAACGATCCCCTCGATCTGATACCAACGGCAGCAGTGACTAGCGGGCTGGTGAAGCGCAAGTATGCGGCGACATTCGATGAGGACGCAGAGGAGGACGATGAAGATGGTGGCGATGACTACGACAATGGAAGCAATAGAAGCAGCAACTGCGAAGAGCTCCTGATGCGCCGACAACAGAAGCTCATTGGCTCCACGTCGTTGGTGAAGCGAAAGCGCAGCAACAACAGCCACATTGGCAGCTTAGTAGAGGTGATGGCGCCTGTCACCACGCGCTCCCGACTGGGCGAGGGCTACGTGTTCCACGAGGACAACAAGTACACGTTACGGTACCACCACAGCAGCGGAGAGTTCAGTGAACGGGCTTTCAAGGCGCAATTTCGGGTGCTGCTTCGCCTGGCGCTGAGCCAGCATCATAAGCCCTTCCTTAAGCAATTCTACGACAACTTTGTGATCACTGGCCGGCTGCTGGGCACCACGCCCTCAACCCGTGTGCTAAAGGAGCTGCGTGAGCAACGGCTGGACGAGTGGCGTCGACAACGCGAGCGGCGGCAGCAGCTGGCGAAGGCAGCAGTCGCCTCCGCTGCTGCTGCGGCTGCTGCTGCTGAGAGATTGCTGGGAGAGGAACAGGAACACGAGCAGGAGCAGGTGCAGGAGCTGGAGCAAGAGCAAGCGCAAAGCCAGCAACTGGACCAACAACTCGAAGTGCCGCTACAACTGGAGAGCCAAGAGCAACACCAGCTAAGATCCATTTCATTTGGTGACTCCGAGTTGGAGTCGGAAACAGAATCGCAGCTATCGTCGGCTGCACAGGAGATTATGAAGTTCGAGGAGTTCATTGACGAGGGTGTAGGCGCAGGTCGTCTCATCGATGGGCTGGAAATGGAGCCGGAAATAGACGAGATGCTGGCTGGCGCCGGCAGTGGATTGGGCAGCGTAGCTGGCACCGGCAGCGGGAACAGCAACAGTAACAGCAGTGTCGTACATGACAATGGCATCGCCTCCCTTCTCATGGACTCCAGTCATGGGACGCAGCTTCATTCGCATCATCTGTAAGTTAATCGAATAAGCCGATCAAAGATGGATTCATCATATATATTTCTTACATTCCAATTGCAGCAACAGCAGCAGTAGTAGCAGTGGAAATCTTGGAATCAATGGCCTTACATCGTCAAGCAATATCAACAACAACATCAATTGTAACAAGAGCAACAACAATGCGTTGGCCCAGCAGCTGGGACCAGAGCATTCCGGCAAGCAGTCAGTGTCACAGGGCCAGGGGCAGGCGCAGATGCAGTCCCAGTCTCAGTCCCAGTCCCAGCACTTGGCTATGCCCATGAGAACTGGATATGGCCTTGAAGGTGTTGCGATGTCAGCGACTAAGCAACTGATGTCTGGGAGTGAGATTCAGCTGCAGAACGACAACCAGAATCAGAATCAGAATCAGAGCCAGAACCAGAATCACTATAATTCAAGCAATAATCCTCTCTCAATGCCGCCCATCATCGAGCAGATGATGCAAATGCAGATGCAACAGCAGCAGCAGCAACAGCAGAGCCCCTTTCCACAGCATCAGCATGCGCAAATGATGAACAATCGCCCGTCGCATCTTCATCCGCACCAGCATCAGCAGACGCAGTCGCAGCCATCGCATCTGACGCCATCTGGAGTTGGTTCGCAGTTGAACTCTTCGCTGGAACTGGACGACAATGAGCTCTCCGGCGAGGAGGAGGACGATGAGCTGGACAATGAGATTGATGAGATGGACGCTGCCAAACAGCAGCTCATTGATGGCGGCAGCAGCAGCAGCACCTCGCTGCAGGCGCCGCCATCCCAAATGGGCGGCAGTCAAACGCCGGGCAGTAAAAAGGATAAGCCCAGCTACAATTGCCTGCTCTGCCCAAAATCGTATAGGAAACGGAAGTCTCTGCTGGATCATTACAAGCTGCATCCCGGATACTGCCACGACTGTGGTCAGCCCAATGGCAACACACTGGAGGTGCGCACGAGATTCATTTAATATTAATCCGAATAACTATTAATCCATTAAATGCCAATTGCAGGAAATTATTCAGCATAATCGTACGATGCACGTGAAGGAGTTTCCGTTTGTATGCGAAACCTGCGGCGAATCCTACTCACGCCGGCAACAGTTCCATGCGCACGTAGAGTCGCACAAGAAGGATTTCAAAAGTGAGTCGACGTGAATGTAAATTTCACCAAGGCCAGCAGTGTCCTGTAAAGCCAGCAATAGGCATTTTATTGTATCTAAATATATAGATATATTGTGTGAGGTCAGTCAAATGATAAACTAATGGCAATTCTCGATTGTTTGTTGCAGTCTTTCCGTGTGGGGAGTGCGGCTTGAAGCTGTCGCAGAAGAAGATGCAGCAGCACTTTGAAGATACTGGCCACAAGGCTGATGGTGCCATCTGTGAGGTGTGCGGCGCCGAGTTCCCCTCCAAGAACGCTCTATATCAGCACATAATACGCGTGCATAAGCGAGATAACTTCTTTGAGTGCCACATTTGCCATAACCGCTTCACTCTCAAGGCCAACCTGGAGCGGCACGTGCAGCTGCACACTGAGGTGAAGCGCACCTACGTGTGCGATCTGTGCGGTTCCTCCTACTTTACATATCCTGCGCTCAAGGAGCACTACAGCAACGCCCACGTCGATGTCTCCGAGTGCAAGTGCACGCTGTGCGGCAAACGTTTTGGCTCTGCCAAATCCTTGCAGCGCCATTTGCCTTCACACTCGGAGGAGCGACCGCACTGTTGCAACCACTGCGATCAGGTATATTTTTTATATAGACAAGTTGTCTGTGAATTAGTGTACTATAGTCAAATTTTCTGTTCTGCAGACCTTCAAGTGGAAAACACACTTGGTGCGCCACAAGCAGACAATGCATGGAAATCAGCCGCCACCTCCTAAGAAGGGCAAACAGCGTTTTCCCAAAGCTAACGAAGAAGGTAAGTGCATAACTATCCATTGAAAGATAAAGTGTATTAATTTCTTTCTTCTTTCTTTAGATATGGCTTCGCTGCCTGATATGCCAGGACCGCCGCCGGTGAAGGCGAGCAAAAAGTCGGCGGTCAGCAAGGCCAAGTCGCAGGCTGGTGCGGCCGTAGTGCAACAACAGCAGATGCAGCCGGGCGCTGGAAAGGTAGTCAGTGCGGGTGCCACGCCCACTCCGCCACCACCATTGTCAACGACGCCGGGCTGTTCGCAGCAGGATCAATTCAACGCCATTGTCAGCAGCAACAGTTCACAGTCTTCGACGGCATCCACGTCGCAGCACTCGGTCTCCACGAGCGAATCTCAGCAGAATTCCATGTACAATCAGAGCTTTAGTGCGGAAAAATTGCAACAACAACAACAGCAGCAGCAACAACAACAACAGCAGCAGCAGCAGCAACAACAACAGCAACAGCCGCCGCCAACGCAGCAACAGCAACAAAATGCGTTGCATCAGCATCAACAGCATGCTGCAGCGACGCCGCCGCCAACTCAGCAGCAAGCGGTGCCACCGCCCCAGCAGCAGGCACAACCGCAACCGCATCATCGCCATACGCCGCATACGCCAAACAACACAACGCCGGAGATGCACATGCAGCGAATGAACAGTTTTGGTGGCCCGGAGAGCCAGTTTCACTTTGAGCCCACTGGCAATCCGGCTGGCGGCTATCAGCACCAGTTGATAAATCAATATCAACAACAGCAACAACAGCCGCAGCAGCCACAAGTGCCGCCGCAGCAACAACAACAGCAGCAGCAGCAGCAACAGCAGCATATGCGTAGCCACACGCCCCAGAGCCCACATCCGCATTCGCATCCACATCCACTCCAAGCGCAGCAGATGCAACAACAGCAGCAACAACACTTCACCTCGCCGCACCACATGCCCCCGATGCATCACCAGCACCAGCTGATTCTACAACAACATCGTCACACCCATTCGCCCCAGCATCAGCATTCGCGGTTGCAGTCACCGCAGCCACAGCCATCGCCATCAGCCGCTGCGTCCGCAACTCAGCAGCAATTTATGCAGCAACAACAAGCAACTGAGTCCTGGGGCAATATGGGCTTTGGCGGCCCTCCCAACAGCCAGCCAGTCGAGCTCAAGGACAACAAGTTCTACATTGTCGACTCAACCGAGTTTCTCGGGCTTCCAATGAGTGTTGGCGCCCCGGCGCCGTCTGCTCAGCAGCAATCGGCCGTGGGCGTTAACAAGCCTCAGCAGCAGCAGCAACAACAACAACCACCACCCCAGCAGCAGCAGCAACAGCAACCCCAAGATCCAGCATTGGCGGGCGACTTATTGGGCTTCCAGCATATGTGGCCACAGCAAGTGCAGCCGCAGCAGCAACAGCAGCAGCAGCAACAACAACAGCAGCAGCAGCAACCGCCGACGCCGCAGCCGCAGTCGAATCAAATCGGACCGGGAGATGCTCACAATTATAACAATATTGGCAGTATTCTCACGAATCTCATCGACACGAATCCCACGCCTATGGAGTACAACTTTGATTTAATGCAACAGCAGCCGCCGCAACAGCAACAGCAGCAATCACAACAGCCGCAACAACAACAGCAGCAGCAGCCGACGCAGCAACATCACAATGCTGGCGGCCCCTACGGCAGTGGTCTAATGCGGCATGCGGGACCTGGCAACGTTTATGGAGGCGGTGTCTCCTACGAGCAACATCACAACCACAGTGCGCTCAGCGAGCAGCTGGTCAACGATCAGCAGAAGCACAACAGCTTTCAGCCATATCATGGCCATGGACATCCGCATGGTCTGCAACAGCCGCTGCACTCGCTGGCGGGCGCCGCGCACTTGTTGCCACCGCCGCCGCCGCATGGCAGCGTCTATGAGCGGACAGCACCGCCAGTGGGTGTAGGTGTGGGTGTGGGAGTAGGTGTAGGTGTCGGCTATCCGATGCTGGGCGACGATTCAAAGTCTGTGCTGCCGCCGATCAATGACTATATGCATCATATGCAGCAACAGCCCGATCTAATCTACTATCCAGTGAAGAACGATTGACAACCAAAGTAGCCGGCTCTGGGTGGTGTGCCCGTGCACCACCAGCCCCACCACTACGCGCATAATCATAATCATAATCATAATCATACGCACTGGTGGCCAGCATCAGCAGCAACTTTAAACGCCAAGAGAGGCGATGTTTTTCATTGAAAAGCATTAACATTTGTTTAGTCTGTACGTTAAGAGCGTGCGAGATCACTTCGACTCGTAGTGCTTGTGTAGATAAAACAAAGATGATTCTATCTAGATAAGGTTTAACAGAAGGATAACTATATACACTGGAATGTTATGAAATATGTAGAGTAACAGCTCCAAGATTGGGCCTTGCGATGCTCAGTATAACTAATCCGACCGACGCTATCAGACACGTGTAAACATACAAATAAACTGGCATAAAACATAACACAAATGCACACACACACACACACAGCACACACACCATACACCAAGATAAAATCAAATATAATTGAAGGAAGATTAACAAGAACATGACTACAGACATATATATACATATATACATAGTAGCGAGTAAGGAAAACAACAAACAAAGAGAAATAAACACTATAAATATTTACGTAAATGATGTAATATGTAGCCTGTAAGGATGTATCAACAACAATAACACCAGACCACAACAGCAACAGCAACAACAACAACAACTTGAACAGAAACAACCAACTTTCGAACAAATTTTTGCAACATAATTTATGCTTATTTAACTTAAATGAGAACACAAATACGTACGTTAATATAAATCAAAGCAAACTTATATATGTATATGTATATATATATATAAAATGAAAGATTGTAGATTTATTTGAAAGAGTTAGTGCTTGGGGCCTACATCACAATAAGGATAGGCCAGATCCGAGAAGCAGACAACAGAAGTTGTTCAAACCATATCATGAGGCCCTTTGCCGTCAACTAATTATATATTATATAAAAATATATATACATATATATATATTAATTTCGATAGTGCTTGTTATTTTCTATTTAGTTGACAAATCAATGATTATATATAGCTATATACATACATACATTTATAACATGCAAATATATTTGATTTTATTTACATGACCTAAAATGCCGATTGAGCCCACATTTTTTGTTAGATTAGTGCCTAAGTCTAGTTGGTATCATGTATGTATATCCATTTTGTGGCTTTTTACACCCAAAACTTATGTAATTAATTGATTAATTACTTAATTAATGAAACCCGTCTGTCGTCTACCCCGTTCAACATTGATCAACATATGTATAAATTGTAAGCCTCACCTTCCACAAATCTCCTTACTAAGAGAACATGTTTATTTGGTATGTATGTATTTCCTTAACGCCCCCTATTCAGAGCCTCCCCTTTAAGTTAATCATATTAGTTTATAGCGTTGTTCGTTTGTTTACAAATCGTGTATTCAATTCAGCTAAGAAGCAAACATTACATAAGTGAAAGTTTAAAACAATACAAGTGTAAGGCTACTTTTATGAACAAACAAGCAACCAACAACAACTACATTAAACTAGATTTGTATTCTGGATACAAAAATAAGCAAACAAACAAAAACAAAAAGAAACAAAAGCAAAACAAAAAAAAAAAAACAAAACAAATTAAACACACAAAAATATAAATAAAATTTGTATATTTAATAAAAATAGCAAAATAAAAATAAATAAAATTCTTTTAAAAAATATTAAAAAAAACGTAATTTTTAATTGGATAATATATATATATATATATCCAATATATATATATATTGCCTTTATTTGTAGATCTTTCAAATGGAATCTGAGTCATTGTACGAATTTTTGTTCTGATTACATTATCAAAACTAGTCCGACCTGATAATGGATTACCTATTTATACAAATGGACAATAGCCTAGATAGAGTCTGTAATATTTGGCTGAAAGACATTCGTATAAAAAAGAAGTTTGTAATTTGCATATATTCATATAGGAATAAAATGGCATCAACAATTTAAATAAAAAAATTCTTTTTTTTTTAACAATTTATTTGCACTTTTCCGTACCTTCCCAGTCATATATACTATTCAAAACAAAAACATCTAATTTACTCCGCCAACTAGATTGACAATACGATTCTTGTAGCGCTTTGAAATATCCTTTTCAATATAGGTTTGCAGGGCTCGAGTCTGTGCAATCAGTTCATCTAAAACTGGATTCAATTGCTGGCGCTGCTCGCGCAGTTCTACGGCACGCTGCTTCAGCACCTCACGAGTTGCGCGCAGCTTTTCCACAGCTTTAGTCATCTTTTGCAGCTTGCTGGTTAGCAAATCGGCATATTTCGGTGAATGTTTCAGTTGGAATAGATGACGTGTTTGCTCATCTGAAGTTTTCTGAATGATCTTCTCAACATCGCTCAGTATTTTGGTAATACTCTCGCTGTCGTGAGTCGAAATATTGTCCATCAGTGAGAACATAATGTTGCTAGACGAATCCAAGTGATTCAGCTCATAAAGACGCATACGCAAAAATGCCTCCAGCTCGTGTATTTCGTCCAAAAACCGATCCCGATAGTTGGGCGAGTCTAGCAACGTGTACGCCTGATCACCTGTAACAAGTAAGATTTATAGAATATGTTTCGTATAATGGATTTTGAAAGCAGACCTTTAGCTGTACCACCATCCATCCCGGTGCCCTCAACAACAATACCATATTCCTCAACAGGTATATCAAAGTTGATCTCAATAGCGTCCGTTGGCGCACTTTCAATGCCCCAGTCTATGTTGCCGCCATCGGTTTCCTGGAAGTCACCATAGTCAATAATTTCCGCTGAGACTGTCGAGGATGTCCCACCATTCTCATCAGTACCAAAGTCGATTTCATTGGCTTCAGTTTCCTTACTCGAATTCGAACCACTAAAGTTGAGACGCAGCTCAGGTTCTTCTACAGCCAGAGGCGCTTCCTTGTGAATGTACTGATACACTGTGGTGTTTCCATGCTCCACCAAATGACGTAGTATGGGCAAACATTGTTGCTGCCCGCTAAATTGGGCATATAAATCAATGCCAGCTTGCACTCTACCAATGTCCTGCAAGGACTTGGCGTACAGGTCTGGTAGGCCTGCCAGCACTTCAATGAATTCAGAATGCAAGTTTTCGCCCTTAACACCCAGTTGCTCCAGCAAGGCAGCATGCTCTGCAAGAAGCTGTGCCTCTGGCTTATTAAGGTCGTGGGCACGTTTCAAGCAGTCATCGGTTTGTTGCTCTAGTTTGAGCATTTGCTTTCGTACTCCAGGTATTTCGTAGTTTACATTGCGCACAAATATTTGTGCAGTCTCTGCTAGGTACGTGGCGTTCTTCTCATATAGACGGCAAACTTCCTGCCAGTCTTTCATACGCTGACTGCCATAGGTGCCAAAGACGCTTTTAGTATCCTTTTCAGTTTGCTTAAGTATTTCGATGATCTCCTTGACATGCAAATAGTTTATATCTGTAATAAAGCAAGAGCCATCAATTGTAAGTACATATAAATAATATTACTACACTTACTGGAACCAGATAACAGTTTTATTAACTGATCATTGGCGGGCATATCATGCAGAGCATTGCTGATCTTTGAGTGTATTTCCTTGATCGCAGCCTGTATATTTTTTGGAACAATACGTCTGCTTACAAGCCAATCCTGGAGCTTCAACGTGTGAATGTCAATAGGTATTTCTGATTCCTAATATTTAAACACAAATCAGATCAAACATTTGTTTTAAATTAATAAACTTTAAATGTATAATATATAATTATTTATTTGGGAAAACAGTTATTAAACTTACGTTCATTTTAATGTTGTTGACGTAGCTGTTTGTGTTAAGAGTTATTAGCGCTGGAAGATTGTACACGATAGTTTAATTGTTATTTTGAGCATTGGAACTACGTCACAAACAGCTGATTGGGTACTATCGATGATTACAAACATGTAGTCGATATTTATTAATATTTTTAAAACACGCGATAGAAAAAAAATTATAAAACCTTTAAGATTCTAACTTTCGAGGCTGTACCACCCTGTCATTATTTGTGTTAAAAAGTAAGCTAATGATGTAAAAAGAATTAATCGACTGTGTAATGATGACGCGCCGGACTACCATCCACGTGAATTTAAGTACAAACCGTAAGGAAATCAGAATAATCGATATTAAAAAATAATCGATTGACCCTGAGGGACTGTTGGCATGATTGGCAACGCGATTGTATCAGTTGATAAATATTTAAAGGAATTTTTAAGATGCAGGAAAGTTAAAACTGAAGAACATTATCTAGAGAAAATATATGGACGAAAACTTGAATTAGTAATTGGTAATAAATTAACAGCATATAAGGTATTAAAAATCTGTTGCTGTTTAAAATTTCACCAAAGAAAATAACTGTAACGTTGTATTTCACTATTTCGTTTTATTACATTTGTATTCATTGGTTCTTTAAATATTTATATGTATATACATATCTATTTATACACTGAAGAATAGTTTATGTACAACAGGGTAGGGAAAGTCTGCTAACTCTTTCAAAACACATTCGAAATATTCGGAATGGCGAACGTTTCAGTATCTTCTCTAAACATTTGCGAGACTTGAGCACTGGGCAACACCTTTTGGGAGCTGCCCGTTTTTGTTTTACGCCAGTGATCCCATTCATTGGGATGCATTCGCTTTTTATGGGAGTGCATATTAGCATTTGAGTTGAATGTTCGCGGACAAAATGGGCATTTATATAAAGGTTCTCCAGTGTGCTGAGCCATGTGCTCCTGTAATTGAAATATATATTACATATCTTCGCAAATAATGGAATTTAAAATTACAAACCTTAAGGCTAATATCTTTTTTAAAGGTTTTGCCGCACTGCTCGCAGGTGTAGATTGTATTTGAGTGCGAATAGCGTTTGTGTCCAATAAGAGCGCGCGAGTTCTTGCAGCTCTTGCCACACTCGGAGCAGATGAACGTTTTACCCTCGTCGTTGTGACGTCTCAAATGCTGCTTCAAGTTATCCTCGTCCTTGAGCCAGCTCTCGCAGTCGGGCCGTGGGCATTTAATACGTGGCCCACTTTCCTCGAAATGCAGCCGAACGTGCTTCTCGAAAACAGCCTTATCCTTGATTTCTTTGCCGCACACATGGCACACGTTCGCAGCCTTGCGGTGCTGCATGCTTATGTGAACTTGCATGTGGTATTCAGTGGCAAAGCTAACAATATGGTTGACATACTAATAAGTTGAGCTTAAATGATTCATCTTTTTACATACGCATTGTGTTTGGGGCACTCTGGACAGATGAACTTTCGTTCGTTGGCTGGCACATGTGAACCCTTGTGCAATTCGAGGAGATTGCGCCGTGAGAACCGCTTGCCGCACTCTTCGCACTGAAAGTCGCATTCCTCGTCGGGCACGTGGTGCACCAGCCAATGGGCGCGTAACACGCTCGAATTGGCAAACACTTTCCCACAGTCATTGCACCTGAAAAATGCACGTAAAGTGCGATACAGAAATATGTTTGTGGCATTCTATATGTACTCATTTACTTGATATATTCAGGATTCTCGTGGCGTCTTGCATGCTCGACAATTAGGCACCGTTTGTTGAGCTTTCGCCCACAGCATTTCACATAGGGCCGTTCATCTGGATGCTTATCTTTGAAATGATCTCGAATGCCGTCGAAATCATCCGCCAGAAAAATGCACAGCTCACAGCCCATTACGACATAGCGCTTTATTAAGTCTTCGTCCTCTTTGCAAAATGGTGGCCACTGCTGTTTCTTGAATGTCCGCTTTACGGTAGATTTGCGCTTTTCGTGGCTTTTGGACTGCGCTGACCTTTTTTCTTTGGCTCTTCTCTCCTTGTCAATCGTTTCGGTATCACGTTTTCGCTTTCGACCACTTCGTGTAACAATAATATCCACATCGTCTAATTGGCTCATAAATTCGTCGGGAGTGAGTCTTTCCAGTTTGATGTCCGGCTTGCTTTCTGTGCCTACGTGCACATACGTCGACATCTCCAGATCTAGTTCGTCTAAAGGATTTATGTTAACCTGAGTGCTAGTGCAATCGATATTTGCGTCCCCATCTACTGTGAGCTCTTCAGCCGGCATCATAACTTCCTCTGGCCACGACGTACTCATCATATCCGGATCAGGGTCCTGTTTGAATTTCGGCGCATTGGCAAAAATAACCTGTGCCTCTTGTATCGATACATAGAACTGATGGAACTCAGACACCTGTGTCCAGCACACATTGCACACAACTTTTGATATTGCATCGTTCGGTAAGACCTGTTAAAAGTAAGTAAGTATAAGCAGTATATTGGAGTATGTATAATCTATGCATGTTACCTCAAACCAAAAGTGCTGGCGTAGGATTTCAGCCACATTTGGAACGTTACCTTCAACACCTGCATCACCTGTTTCAGTGTTAAAGATTTGGAGGCACATCTGGGAACCACAACCACGCAAGCAAAGCCTACAAATTTGTGGTTCCATTTTAACAACTTCCTTTAACGCTCTTTACGCTGCGCCAAGCGATTGAGATCTGTCTGCGCGCACTGGCAGCAATCGACCACAGTCTATTTTGTTGTACAAAATTTATTAAGTTAATTGTGATTAGGGATGTTGATTTCGTATCAATTTATCGATATTTAACGATACACACTAAAACGATAATTATTTGGAAACAAGAATAATTGAATTAATTAGTATAATTTTAATATGAAATTTAATCATAACTGCTATTAAAAGAGTAATAATTTTTAAATACTTAATTAATTTTTGGCCTATAAAATAAGCTGTGGCTTTTTTACTTGTGTTTTACAATATAAAGCCTATTATTAATTAATTACTCACATAATTCTTATTGAAAAAATTGCATATAAAGCTTAGATAGTACCTCCGTTTTATTAGTAAATCAAGATTTGAAATGTATTCGAGCAACAGACTGACTATCGGCTTGTGCATTTCATGCTTAATTCAAAATCGCTAGCTGGCAACTTTAAAAGAAATATCGATATACATTTAGAATTGACATCGATTAAATTAGTGAAAAGAAGAAAAATTGATTTATAAAACATAAATAAGAGGATTAATGATAGCAAATTGGAAGAGCGCTTAGTAGAATGAAGGTAAAATTGGTACAAATGTTGTTTGCAATTAGTTTACATTTCATTTAATTTAGCGCATCAGCGAAAAAAAGCTTGAGGCCTTTACGGTCGGTACATTTTCCAAGCGGCAATTGGTAAGTTCTTAAAACTAATTTGTGTGATTTTTATTAAGTACATTTTGTTTCAGTCGAAAAAAGAATTAGAGGAACAAAAAAAGAAGGAAGATGAGGCGGCTGCGGCACATGTGAGTCAATAAGCACTGTATGATGGAAGCGTCCTGTAATTTTTTTTATTATGCTCAGGCGTTTAAAGAGTTTGTGGAGACGTTTCAAGAAGCGCCAACGGCCTCATCAAAAGTGTGGGTAAAGGCGGGTACTTACGATGCGGGCTCCAGGCGAGAGGACAAAAGTGAGAAAGGCAAACTGTACAAGCCGGGATCGAAGCTTGTGGAAAAGAGTGCTTCTGAAAAAGCAGAGGATTATGCAAAACTTTTGGCATCTGATCTTAAAAAGGACCCAACACCTCTCAAAAAGAAGAATCAGGAGAAGAAAAAGAGCAATTTGGAGCTTTTCAAGGAGGAATTGAGACAGTAAGATGAAAGACAATCGAATTAACAACTTTGTAAACGGATCCTTTATCTCTATTCCAGAATACAAGAAGAGCGCGAAGAGCGGCACAAATACAAGCATATGGCAGTAGTAAGTGCTCCAGTGTCGCAGCAGCCACAGCAACAGCAACAAGCTCCGACCAGCTCTCAGTCTCAGTCAGCCAATGCTCGAGATGCAGGAGGCTCCTTTGACACTGGCGATCCGAATACAACGAATCTGTATTTAGGCAATTTGAATCCAAAGATATCCGAACAACAGTTAATGGAAATTTTTGGTCGCTATGGTCCACTAGCAAGCATTAAGATCATGTGGCCACGTTCTGAGGAAGAGAAACAGCGTGGGCGAAACTGTGGATTTGTAGCATACATGAGTCGCAAAGATGCTGAGCGCGCATTACGCACACTAAATGGACGTTATATAATGGGCTATGAGATGCGTTTGGGCTGGGGTAAGACAGTGCCCATTATGAATACCCCTATCTTTGCACCGCAAGCACTACTAGAGCTCACGTTACCGCCACCCCCCTCGGGGCTGCCTTTTAATGCTCAGCCGCCACCTAGCGAGGCGAATACATTGCCCAAGAAAAACTACAAGGACTATGACACTGTTGAGGACAAGGAGAACATGGAGAGGGTGAGTAATCAACTTTTCCCTCCAAATGATCAAATATTAACCATATTTCTTTAACGTACAGGTTCTAAGCAAGTCTGTAGTAAAAGTATTCATACCGACCGAGAAGTATGGGTTCTTAAAAACGATGTAATAGATTGGTTTCTATCGTATGTTCTCAATTTTAGATCTGTATTGAATATTATACATCGCATGATCGAGTTCGTAATACGTGAGGGCCCCATGTTCGAAGCCCTGATTATGAGCCGTGAAATGGAGAATCCGCTCTTTTCATTTCTCTTTGACAACGAGAGTCCGGCGCACATTTACTATCGCTGGAAGCTCTATTCACTGTTGCAGGGCGACACACCAAGCGAGTGGCGAGAGCAGCAGTTTCGAATGTTCAAGGATGGTCCAGTGTGGAAACCTCCTGTGGCTAATTTCTACACGCAAGGCATGCCCGATGAGTTGGTAGTGGATCCCGATGCACCCGTCGTACACAAAGGCGCATTGTCGAACGCGTAAATAAGTTTATTTGTAATCAATCAAAATGATTTATTTATGCTAAGAATCTAATTACGCAGACAACGCGATCGCCTGGAAGATCTAATCCGCCATTTGACACCAGAGCGTGCACGAATCGGAGATGCGATGATATTTTGCATAGAACATGCTGATGCAGCCGACGAAATTTGCGAGTGCATCGCTGAATCATTGGCAAACCAAAAGACCCGGGCTTCGAAGAAGATCGCGAGGCTGTATCTAGTTTCAGATATATTGCACAACTGCACTGTGAAGGTGTCGAATGCATCCTTCTTTCGTAAATCGTAAGTTCATGTTCATAAAGGGAATCCATTGCCCTGACTGATTTTTGTTTGTTTACAGCGTGGAAAAGCAATTGTTGGACATTTTTGAGAGTCTTCACACCTATTATTTGGCTATAGAGAGTCGCCTGAAGGCAGAGGGCTTCAAAACGAGGGTATGCAATGTCATACGCACCTGGGAGGAGTGGACAATTTACCCAAAGGATTTCTTATCACAATTGCACGCCATATTTTTAGGTCGACAGGTAACTATAGTATGCATGTATCTTAATACGGATTATCAACAGCACAAAAATAGTTTCCATTGCAGTCCGCTTCGCCAGCCCAAGCAGAAGAATCGCGCTCTGAAGAGGCATTGGATGAGGACATTGACGGTGCGCCACTGTCAGGAGAAGAAAAAGACGATGAGGATTTGGATGGTGTGCCGCTTGATGGCGCTGCTTTGCTAAAGAGCGCTCTAAAGCTCGTTCTACCTGAATCAGCCGTAGCTGCGCAACAACGAGACACACCCAAGCGGGAACAGTATCATGAAGAGATCGATGGCGTACCCTGTAAGTCTTCATGAAATGCTATACGGCTTTATATGTATAATGTTGATTACAATAATTTCAGTGGATGATGATTTGGATGGTGTGCCAATGGAGCAAGTGCAAAAATCAACAGACACAAAGTCGCAAGCCAAAATGCCCGGTTTTATACCATCCAAGTGGGAGACGGTTGATCCCCAACAGGTTGAGGCGCAGGCCATAACCACTAGTAAATGGGATACTCTCGATCCACCAGATCCACCAAAATTCTTCAGCTCAGATGAGGATAGCGACGGAGACAACTCTCAAAAATTTAACGATGAGAAGCGCCAAAAGTTGCGTGAAATCGAGGTAAAAGTCATGCAATATCAAGATGAATTAGAATCGGGAAAGAGACGCCTGGAGCCAGGCTGGTCGCTACCCGAACAGGTTGAATACTATCGCAAGCGTTTGCTGAAAAGGGTGTGTGTCTAACAAGTCTTTTGCTTAGCTCATTTATCTAATTTAAAATATGTTTCTCCATAGAATTCTCCTTCGGATTCTGTGGACTCACCATTAAGCTACATCCATACGAAATCGAAAAGCTTGCAGCGCAGTGAGAGTCCTGATGCCAGGCATGCGCTTAGCTCTTACTACAGTAGCAACTCTCGCTCCAGCCCCAACTTACGCACCAGTCGCAAGCGATCCCATTCGCCACAAAGCGGAGGCGAAAGTAGTCGCAGCTCAAGATCTGCCAAGCGCAATCGTTCGAGAAGTCAATCAGACTCACCCAAGCGCTACTCGGAACGTTCAGGTCGCTCCTCACGGAGATCCCCGTCACCAACGACTTCGTCCTATAGCTCACGCTCGAATCGACGCAGCAGCGTATCGCCGGGTCGTCATCGGGCGGACAAGCACAAGCACAAGCATCGTCATTAAAGTTTTCCAGATTTGTAATAAAATTTTCATATATTCAGTAATTCAGTTAGCAGCCAATGTACTTTTTTGGATAAGTGCAAATAAATAAATCGTATGGGAATGGCGAGTAGGTCTCGAAGGGCCAGCTCTTGATGGCAATGATGATGTTGGAAGTCTAGTTAGCCTTGAGGGATGCCTCATGCTTATAAACTTCAATGACGTCTTCGATGATTTCCCATTGATTCTCTCTGGTAAAATCCTTGACCAGGGGCTTGTACCACATGGAAGCCTCGTCCGACTCGTCAGTCAGCGGCACCTGCACACCATATGTTTGCAGTGCCAGAGATAGACAACCGATGGCCACGTGGGTGGGCTTGTATTTCAATATGTTTGAGCTATGGTGAAAGTCTTGAAGGTAGGATGCGGCAGTCTTGGCAATCGGCACAGAGTTCCACACATCCGTGCCCACCCAATCCTGCAGAGTCTTCATGTAGTACAGCAAGTACTGCACGGCCAGCAAAAAGAGAAAGCGCATGAATTAAACGGGTGCCTCAACATTGGATTCAACGCTTACCTTGTGTGCCAGATCAATGTTTAGATCAAAACTGAGGGTACGTGTTATCAATAGCTCGGCTTGGACAATTGCATCACGCATAGCCCAGTACTCGTCGTTCAAGTCCAACGGAGCACTGCCGCGGTTCAGTGTGCTGTATGCCACGTTGATAACATCGCGTATTTTGACAGTATCGTCGTCTTTGATTTTTCCAGCCAAGTATAGTGAGGAGGCGGCTATTAGCTGTATATGAAACACGCACATAAAGACTCCATCTAGCAAGAAGGTACAATCGGACACTCACAAACTCGTCGTAGTCGCTTGCTTTGACCTCCTTGAAGAAACGGTGGTAGACAATGGCGGCACATGCGGCTGTCAGCGGCTTCATCTTCAGCTTAGCTGCGCACTCGAAAATGTACAGAGGCACAAGACCAGGTTTCGTGGACTTCCTGAAACATGTATATATATATATGCATATGGATCGATAGTATTTGTATGTCAGTAATTGAAGCTGTTCACTGACAACTGACTTACCGATAATCAATTGGCTTCATATTTTGTGCCTTGCTCGTCTCCACGTGCTGCTGCAGCGACATGACATCCAAAACGTTTTTCATTTTATATTATCCGTAAAGCTTCTCAGCGATCAATCTTCGAGTTGGTTGGCCACTCACTAAACAGCGAAAAGACAGAGAAGCAGACCACAATATATTATATGATTGCTGTGTCTCTACCGATCACCTGTTTGCCTGCGAATGCTGAACTGCACTGCAGACGCAAAGCAAAACATAGCCGATGAAAATTTGTCTGAGACACGATCAAATCCGAAACCGGTTCGACGCTCACCAACCGAACGTACAGTGGGCACATTTTTATACACGAATTGCCTGTTGTAAACATTATGAATATCTGTATTTCCGTGTATAAACATGTGGAAATATTAAAAGACTAAATTGTACAATTTCTTTTCCTTCCAATGGCAGCTCTGTGTTATCTTAGCTTCGAACTCAGCCGAAGCAGCAGAGAATAAGCGACAAATTCCCAGACAGGAGTCGTCTATGTCAACGCAACTCTCGAGTCTTAGAAAAACTATACTTATGTATACAAAGGGAGAAAAAATAATAGCACCAACATGAGAGTTTCGTATTGAGGAAAACTTTGATTTCCTGTATTATTTGTTGGCTTCGTTTTGCCCAAAGAATTCGCTCGTGTGGTGCTATTTTACTTTTCGCAAAAACGAATGATAAACAATGTTTTTTGTTATCGCTAAACTCTTACGACGCAGTTAAATAAATGTAGAGTCTAAGAGAGAAGTAATCGAGTTATAAACAAAGATGCAGCACTAGAGATAAATGTTTATTTATTATGTGTATAACTAAGAGCTAATGGGGTTTACATGGGCTGGTTAGGATTATTACTCGTACAAGTTGCGGCTCCAAGTAGTTCGAATCCGCCTCACCAATTTATCTAAAGAACATATCTAGATGAGCTGTCAATTGCAAATAACATTTAAGGAAAAAAGCTGCCCAAATTCAACATGAATAACTCATTTTGATTCGCCCGGTCAGGTCAGCCAGTCATTTCGTCCTTCGTCCTTCGTTCATCTTCACGTGGTGCTCCGCTTCTGGTCCACGCTCGAACTGCTTTAAGCGCGCTATCTGGCAGGCTCACATTTAATTACATAGTATATGTTATTATGATTAATTGTTTTATAATATAAGGACTACAATTAAAAGTAAATACGAACGGCCTCCTCGGCATTCTGTTCGACGGGGCAATAGGGACACTTCAGAATATGCCCGTTGCTGAGCTTGTGCAAGGCATCGTTCGAGATGACATGGCCGCATGTCAGCTTCTTCGGTGGATTGTCCTCAGTGGTTTGCTGCCTCAGAATCGGGCAGGCGAAAATCGAATGAAACCGGAACTCTGGCTGCAAATCTATCTCAATCGGCAGCTCGTCACAGCCATTCCACATGGTCAGCACCTGGCGTGACTGCATTACCTGCTTGATGTTCAGCAAAGCAGGTAGTGCGGTGCAGCCGGCGTTTACAACCACTGAGAGGGCCGAGTTTTTGCTAATGCCCAGCAGTTGGCAAGCGTCTTTCAGAAATGTGAACGATAGCTCGGTCCACATTTCCTGGGCCAAAAAGATCTTATAGGGCGTCTTCTCAAGACCACCGGGCAGATATATAAAGCTGGCCATTAAGTTGGCAATCTCGTGCTCGTAGCGAACGGCAAACTTCTGAAAATGGTTTCTAGCATACAAGATGGCTTCGTGCTGCGACTCCAGGCCATATGAGACCAGCTGCATGAAGCGCATGCGGTGCAATCTGAACTCGATGAGAGAGTGCCGTTCGAGCAGCTGGCTCGAGTGTCGTATGGCCCACTTGAGGGCTTCGTTAAGCTCTCGCTTTTGTATCTGTATCCAGATGCTGTAGATTTCAGCGAACTCACGCTCCGAGTCAAACACGTCCTGGGCATCGTTCTCACTCATTTTGCACTCTTTGATTAGTATGCGTGCCACGTCGTCCATACCCTGACGGCAGTAATGCTTGGCAATGGCCTTGTTCAGCAGCATTAAGTTGTCCTTGTCCTGCAGCGCGTCCACGCGCATTGTCGAGCTGAAGTCAGAGCTGAAGTTGCGATCAATTGCCTTGCCAATCTTTGAAACAGATCCATGAGAGTCGCGATGTTCCGTCGACAGTTTCTGGACGCGAACATTGCATTTGGATATGGCTTCTCTTATTATTTCCATCTGGCTATCGGTGAGACGCTGCGGAGCGGCTGGCTCTGTCTCCACTTGCATGTTCACGGCGTCGTCCATTGGATCGTCTGTGCTGCCAGTACCTGGCGCGTTCATTTGTGTGCCTGTATTGAGCGTGGTGACCAGCATTTGTCCTGCATTGCCCAACACATTTACCAGCTCCGACATGAGCGATGCAACATCTCCGATTTCGGCCGACGCAATTTCGTGGAGTTGCTCCAACTTACTCACAACGCGATCCAGCTCTTTTTCAACAGTCACAATAGCCTCGTCGTCCATTATGTCCACTTCCGTCTGCGGCTCAACAATTAATTTGGTAAATTTGGAGCGACGCCAATCAACAGCGCGCATTAGATTTTCAGTGAAATGCAATTTACAGAGCTTTTATTCGCTATTCCTTTGGGCGAAGTTCCGATTTTATTCCAATTTTAATGGACAAACAATAATTTATTAGGAAATTTTTAATTTTATTTTGGCTTTGTCTACAATAATAACACAAAGAAGAGCACCATCACTACCAGAGTTGCCTTGCAGGTTGTAATTTACACAAGCACTTTATTTTTTCACACCACAAGATGGCAGCTCTGGTTAACAGAACAGCTGTTTTCAATATTAGACGCGACACATTGACGAAATATTTATGTATACAATAATCTTAGAATTTCAACTTACCAAAAATTGTTGTAGTTCAATTAATTGCTATGTTGCTATTTTGTTGATAAATCTCTATTGAATTATTTCATTATTTAGTAATGTACACAAGTTAAGCACGCGTTGACATTTAAGCCGGCCGAGTGCAGATGCCAGGGCTGCCAAAAATTGCTAAAGGCTTGCATACCCAGTGGAGCCCAATTCTATTATAAAAGCATGTCCGAACCCTGCTTTGCCGACACACTTAACCATTCTAACGTGGTAAAGTTTTTTTTTAATGTTTTTCATTTCATTATGATGCTTACAATGTAAGAACGCCTTTAAACCAATTTGAATTAACATTATAGTATATTACATTTATATATAAATTAAATGTTTTCATGTATAATTAGTATAATACAAAGCTTTGCCCAAATGTTTTACAGCACTGTTCCTCAATTCGATAAGCTGTGGCGGCATGCCAATAGATATCGTCTAATTTATATTGATTTTTCGAACACACTTCATAACGACAAACACGTAGTTTGAATTTAGTATTTAAGAGTTTTCGAATGTTTAATTTAAATTAAGGTAATTTTGTGCGTATATAATGATAATGTGATCATTGGACATTGCCTAATTAATGGAAGTTCTCATCAATACAATTGCATAAAATCAGTCACAGGCCAAGCGCAACAAATTTTTGTGTATTTATAAATAAATGATGAAAACTTTTGTGATTTGTGCGACATTGACTTGTTACAATGCCCGTGACTCTAAAAATAACTAATGTGAGTGCTGGACATGGACAACGGAATGTCACTTCTTGACCACACTAATAAATAACCCAAAGCACACAAAGTATTTAAAAATATTTAGCTTTGCTGTGCGACTCGCTAAGTAGAGTAAATACAATGGCAAACGAGCAAAAAGGAAAACTTATGTATATCTACCTTTACTTTATTGCACATAGAGCACTTTCACTAGTCAATGGGCTCGAAATCGAAATGAAAATTGTTAAAGAGAGATGCGAGAAAAAAACTGTATATATATGTGAGTGAGTGTGTATGTATGTCTGCATGTCCAGAGAGCGTGCGATGAAAATGATAGTAAATGTGAAAACAAACAATAACAAATGTAGTTATGTGCATACAGACATTTCTACTTATATATGCAATATGTTTGTAACTATGAAAATTCCGTCTGGGCAGTTGAGAGAGTGAGAGCGACGAGCGGGTGGCGGCAGGAAATAGATAGAGAGAGTGTGTGAGCGAGAGGAGGTGAGCTGTCAAAATACAGGCCGAACATATTGCAAATTATTTTGTCGTATTCGTTATATTTTAGTTTTTAGCCAACAACTGGCGGCAAATGCGGCAAAAATAACAGACAAACACCCAAATTATGGCCGACTGTGTGCCTTATGAATGCCCACAACGAGCGACTCGTCGTCGTCGTCGTCCATGTCGTGATCGTGATGCTGTTTTTAAAAATTCGCTAATAGTTTCAAAATTTTGCTTGGCCAGTTCGGCAATAACATTGGAGCTTTGCGTAAGCAGTCGTCGCAGTCGTTGTCGTCGCCGTCCTCAGTGAACCATCATTTTAATTTATGATATTTGTTTTTATTTTTGCATTTATTTTGATTTGGTTTTGTTGATTGTAAAAGAAAAAGTTATGAAAATTGTGCTAAAAATTTAAATGCATTATTTATGGTTCACGGCAGAACAAGAATTATGAGACAGCCAAACACAAATCTGAAAAGTGCGAGCGCTAAAAATAAAATAATCGGGACTGCTATTTATGTAATAAAAATAAAATAATTTTTATTGCTGAAATATTAAAATTGAAATACAATTTAATTGTGACGCGACAAAGTGACAAAGTGCTCCAAGTGGAATTATATAAAATTATATAAATATATCATGTATATATATATATTTATATATATATGTTTATATATATGGTGGGTTCTTTTCAGATAATGCAATAATAGAACTAAAAATCGACTAGGGAAAAAAACTAAATAAATAACATAAAACGTAACAAAAATGAGCCAACGCCAAAGCTAACCTCAAGGAATCGAACAAACTAAAACTAAGACACAACTGCAGTATCAGGTATATAGATATATTCACGACTGGATACGCAACTGGAAGAGCATTAGAGCGAAGTGCGCCAGCAACATGTCCACAGCATCCGCCAAGCAGAAGCAGCCACGCGCTGCCACCGAGGAGAGCATGTCGCCCAAGAAGATGGGCGTCATTGCGCTGGTCACTGTGGTCGGCTGCGTGGCCATCCTATGGCCAAAGGTATTCCATCCCATGATGTTTGGCGGCACGCCGCCCAAGCCAAGCTTCAAGGATCAGCCCCAACGGGGCGTACCAGGCGGTGAGTCTTGATCAATTCAGCTGAACCTTTTTATAATTTATTTTAAATTTATTTATTTTTGTTTGAATATTGTAAACGTGTGTCTGTGTTGTTGTTGCTGGTGTTGGTGTTGTTGTTGACCAGGTTGTTGTGATGTCGTGCTTGACAGAGAGCAGTTCATGAACGCCTCCAAGCCAGCCGTCGAGCCATTCGGCCCCCATTTGTATCGCAAGCAGATCAATTTCTACACGGGCGAAATAAGTAGGTGCAAGAGTTTAGGAACCGTTTTATTGTTTGTTTCGTTTCTGCTTTAATTAACGTTTGATCTAACGGCATATTCAATAGCTGCAACTAACGTCTAACGTCTCTGTGTTTTATATCCCATTGCTTCTGCTACTTGTTGACTCGAATCGATGCAAGTTTTATTAATCGAGATCTATTTGCTGTAGGTCTACGTCAGGAACGGCCCGCCCACCTGCATCCGGAGTCCATATATCAGGCAATGCGGGAGCGTGGGCGTGCAATACCCGCCACGCCCACCGTGCCCATAGTGGAGCGCAAGAGTTCGCCGAGTAATCCACCGCCGCGCATCGTTGACGGACGGGTGAGTTTTGACTTCGACTGCCACTTCGACTTCGACTTCGACTTCGACTTCGAATTTCGACTTCGAAATTGGTTTTGCAGCTCGCTGCAAAGATTCGTCGTCGTTCGGCATTTGGGCAAAAGGGGGAAAAGCTCTGGGCATGAGACATCGGGCAGGTGCTATAAATAGACACGTTTATTTTATTTGGATTTGGGTTTTGTTTTTATGACACTGCACGCAAATTGAAGGCAAAAGACAGGCGAAAGAAATTATATACAAAAGCCACCGTAAAGGAAGAGTGGGATGAGGAACAAGAAAAAAAGAAAGGCAGAAAAAGAAATAAAATAAAATATTGTTCAAATTGAACTTGTGCCAAATCTAATGCGCCACCTGCCCGCGCATCCATTTGTTCCATTAGCCAAGTACCGAGCTGTAGCGCTGCCAGCGGCGTCGACCTTTAACATATATGCACAGCTCTGCATCATGGCAAACACAATTTCATGTTGATAAACAATCAAGTTAGATAATTGCAGAAGAATACATGAATTTTACAAAATTATGATTGACGACTTGTGATTTCTATGACAAATTGTTGCAAATAGTTATGCTAATCACAACTGATAGAGGGAGAAGGGCTCAACGCTCTTGCTAACCAATATGGCGCGCATTCTAATAAGAATAAGGATGTTTTTGACTAGATTTTTTTCCTATGAGATGTAGGTGTCGCTTTTTATAAGAAAAGTTATAAGCGTGATGTTTTCTTATTGGAATACACGATATATTGTATATCCGAGATTTTTGGATGTTTTGATAAGTTATATAAAATATATATGTTTTTAAAAAATATCTAGCGTTAAATGTAATAAATTTGAATATTTTCATTTGAAAGTTAGGGGTATATTAATCTATGATGGTATGTGATTTTTTATTTTAGGTGCTTTTATTTTTTAGACCTGAAGAAGTTTAAATTATAATAAATTAAAGAAATGCTTTTTAAATATCAATAAAATAAACTTGGTCAGGTAGAACATTTAATGACATTAATGTTTAAGTATGAGTCATCAGAACCATTATCATCATTTATGAACAGATGTGGTCCAATGACAAACAGTAATTTACGTTGGTTGTAATGTTTTTTTTTGTTAATAGCTTCTGAGTGATTCTCATTTTAAATGCGACAATTCGGCCTAGTTACGTATATATATTCAACTAAAAATATGCTTCGTATGAAGTGCATGATTAGTTTGACGAACTGAATCATTAGCTTGATAAATAAAACTTACAAGTGTTATTCTGGTGTAGTTCTATTACCAATAAAATGTCAAGCCAAATGCAATAAGAAGCAACTATCAGCGGTTATATGGATTAACCACTGAAAAAGGATTGCTGAATCAAAATTAAGAAACTCTAAAAGGAACACATTGTATAAAAAGTCTTTAAGATATATAAACAAAGCTAAAAAAGTTTAACAATTTGAATGGAATTTATTTGTTTTTAGTTTTTATAGCTGTTAAATTTTATATAGAGCCTTACAGAAAATATATAATAGTTCTTAGCATCTATAAGAACTCTATCTAAACATATTTTATTAAAGATAGTTTCAAGCTGGAATTAAAGTTGTTCACTGAGTCCCTAAGCCAACTTATCTTCTTTCCTATTCACATCAGCCTGGCCCCATTCCGGGCATGCGACCGCCAATGGGAGCGGGCGCCTTCCACCAGCCACAGCAGCGGGCAGGCAGCAGCATGGGCTTCCTGATGCCGCTCTACACGATCGGAATTGTGGTCTTCTTCGGCTATACGATTATGAAGGTGCGAAACTTGTGCGGCGCACAGCTCCAAGACTCACTCACAATTGTTGTTGTTGCAGATTGTCTTCAAGAAACAAGTGCCGAATGCGCCTTATGGAGCCGCTCCGGCGGATCCCAGCTTCCGTCGAGATGTCTTCGAGCAGCAGAATCACAGTCAGGTGGAGGATTTGAGTGGCACCAAGCTGGGTAAGTTGCAGCTAGAGTATATGGATCTTGGATAGACTTCTTCCAGTTGCACACACACACACGCACACACACACGCACACTCACACATAGACAAGCACACGCACTTAACTCATAATCAAAGCTAACCGAATCGTTCATTGTTTTTGTTTATTTTTTTGGAATTTTGTATTTTGCTGCATTGCGCAAAGGTTGGCGTGAACATCAGACAAGTAAGCTAGCTGTACTTATGATTTAATATTGATCTTTAAGCAGGGCCTGGGCTCTGTGCAGACATGTGATGCGAGATCTCTTTGTTTGCTCCGTTCAGTTTTGTAAGATATGTCCTCGTCAGTTGGCTCAGCAGCCAGCCGAATGCATCAGTCAGTCAGTCAGTCATTCAATCAATTTGTGTTGTTTGTATGTGTGTATGTATTTAAGCGTCTACTAATACACTAGCCATAACCAGAGCCACAACCGAACCACAAACATTTCAGTAGTTAGAGCAAAATGTTCATACGAACACGGAAAGTACACAGTTTTTGTTTTTATTTTTGTTTTCTCTTATTCTTAATCACTTATTATTTGCTGTATATAAATGATGAATGCTGTTTCGTTGTCCTTGCCTCAATCAACATAACTGTTAGTTAAAGCAACTCCTACGACCACTTTTTAGGAACTGCAACGGCTGCAGCGGCCAATGGCAGGCAGAACGACAAGGAACTGTACAAGGCCACCTTGTCGGCCACGGAGCTGGCCACGAATCTGTCGAGCAACCTGAAGGCCCATCAGCAGCAGTGCCATGCGCCCAAGTCCCTGGCCGAGGCGGAGAAGGCGTTGTTCAATAAGGAAACGGAGCAACTGATGGAAATTGAAAAGTTACGCAAGAAGCTCGAGGATACCGAACGCGAGATGGCAAAGCTGATTGCCGAAATGAACACCGATCAGTATGAGGCCAAGGTTAGCATCCACACAGTAGCTAGCCGGAATTGGTGCCCCCAACCGCCACTCGCTCCCGCTCCCCCCACTACTATCCATTGACTCCATTCACACACACACACACACGCACAGTCTTTACATCTTTAGTTGACTCTCGACATTATGTAGACATACGCCTGTGCCTCTACCTACACATATATATATATTCTTTTGTATTCTCATTTATTATTCAAGATGATTGCTATGAAGTTTCTCAAGCGGCAGCCAAATTTCTAAAGCAAGCCCAACATTTAGTCACTATCAGATCACAGAGAATAGACCAAACTAAGTACAAGTCATGAGTTCGTTGCTAATTTTGATTTCTAGAGATTGTACCTACACCTGTGCCTACACCTGTAGCTGCAGCTGTTCGCCAGTTGCATTAGTCAGTTGAGCTCTTGAGTTGCATGCCTTTTGGCCTTGCCTCATTCAGTATTCTCTCTGTTGCTGTTGCATGTTTAGGCCTCCCCTCTCTCTCTCTCTCTTTGTTGTCTTACTAACTTCTGCTCGTCTGTGATCGGCATGCCAAACTCTAGCCATATTAACCAACCACAACTAACGTTTATCTAACACATGAATCGTAGCTGCCTCTCTCTGTCTCTATCTTTCCACTACTTTATCAAATGAAATGTATATGACGGGGACATATTTTATAAAAATGAAAATGAGCTTGGAATAAAACTTATATACACATATATATGAGCTATGTGAATGATCTGATCTTTTCATCATGCCAAATCACAAATCACAATTCATTTGAAACATGCGAAAGTCGCGAGCCAGAAGCAAATCTAATTCTTCGTTTTCATGTAACCCACGTGTATATCTCTCTCCATTTGAAACCAAATCAACAAATCACAAATTACCAATTAGTTGTAACGGCTATACAAGGTCTTATAGACGCTGCCGATGAGCAATTGAACGTGCGAGACGTGCGAGGGGCGAGGATCGAAACTGAAACTGAAACTGAAACTGAAATTGAAACTGAAATTGAAACTGATTCGAATAAGGTTAGCGCCGTCAAATGGGCCCGCAGCAATCGTTGAAAGTTTTTACTTAACTCTTAATTTTTTATCTTTATTTTGTTAATTGTGTTTAACTTTTTGTTTATATTTTTTTTAACCCAGCCAAGTAACCGAAGCATTGAGAACTTTGCGTTTGAGTAAATATTGCTATTGTTTAAACTAATTCTAGTCGTTTAATCTATTAATTTAACCAATTGTTAACTGTTTTTCTTCAAGCTGAGCTCAAGCATATATAAATATAAATTTATATGAAATGCTCAATTCGTTTGTTTTCTCTTTTGAATACGCTTGAGCTCGCTCGATTCAGAAATTAATTTTCGAAAATTGTCTTCGAACAGCAACCAGACGACATCGAAAAAACGAATTTGACAAATGTAGAAAACCAAAACATTTCCAACGGGCATACAGCTGGCGACCAGCAGGGTATCACCAAGTCGAGCAACACCAATCAACAACAACAACAACAACAACAGCAGCAGCAGCAGAGGAAGAGACGCGACATCAGCGCTGAGCGTGAAATGACGGTAAAAGAAAACAGACTTGAAATTCGCTAATATTAAAATATATTTAATATATGTACATATATATATATGTATGTATGTATGTGTGTGTGTTTGTGCACGTTGCTGAGATGCAGGTTCTTGGCATGGAGCTGACAGCCAGTTGTGAGGGCGGTCACAGGTGGACCGGACGCCCTCCAACACCTGTTTATCGCGCATCCAGTGAACATGTAAGTGGCTCGCTCCGCTCGCCCCTGCCGCAGTCAAAGAAAGTTCCAAGCAGCGAAACACTTTGAAGCATCCGCAACAATCCCAAAATCCTCCATCTGTAGCTAATTGAAATCTTCCTCCATTGCAGTCCAAATTGGAAGAGAATTTACCTGAGCCGCAGTCCATTTACTTGGAAGGCGCCTTGGCCCACGACTCGCAAATTCTGGTCGCCGATTCGCAAACGAAGCGCGAAGAGGTCTACGACTCTGAGCTGAATGGATCATCTGAGGAGCCGGCCGTAAGCATCGCTGGCTTTATGTCATTAAAAAGTCTTCAAATTGCTTTTCGATCGCAGGTCATACTCAGCAGCAAGATGACCTTATCATTGATTAATTTGGATGCAAATCAACAAAATGGTAGCAACAACAAACAGGAAATCGAGAGTCCCTTGGCTGATGACATTGAAATTATTGGACACGACGAGCAGTAAAAAGTCTCGCATACATATAGAATGCAGGCTATATATATATATGTATATATATATGCATATTTTCAAGCTTATTTGAAAACAGACAACACACGATTGAGGATATGAGTGAAAGTTAAGCGCGAATGTTATGGACTGATTAAACAGAGCAAAACCCGTTTAGTGATTTGGCATTTGATTTGTATATATATATATGTATGCGTATATATATATGCAATAGATGTATTGTGTGTTTTGATACCGATTTTATTCTCGAAATCCGTTTGGTTTGTTTTTGTTTTTGCTTTGCATCTCTGCATCTGTTCGGTCAATTGAACATCTTAATGTATGCCAAAAGAATTCATTTAATGGATATTCATACCTCCTAATTAAATTACGTGTATATTTTTAGTTGAAATGCAAATTAAACTAGTCTACCGCCATCGATTTAAGCACTAAAGCATATTCACTCTTCAAGTCAAACAAAGATTGTAAACAATTATTTTCGACATCAATTACATCCTCCATAGAATCCATATTATAAAGTTCGATTGCACCTCATTAAAAACATGAATAATTTTAGTAGCACAGTGTTTTGTGAATTTAATTTAAAATGAATATGTGTAAAATGAAAATAAATTTTAATCATGATTTGAAACGGATTCTTTTATTAAAGTATTCTCCTATTCGAAAAAAAGTATAACAGAAACATTTAAATCTTATAGATGTTAAAAAAACCCGCCATTGTTATTTTACAGCATGCCCAGCTGAATGTGGCATGTTAAACTCAATGTGGCATGTTATCAACAGCTGAGTAATTGGTGAGCAGTGTTTTAACAGACCTGTTTATTTAAGCAAAATGCCAATGTGAGTATAACATTGGGTAATTCTTTTGTTTAGTCCCTGGAGATAAACAAAGTCCAAATAAAGTGGTACTTTAGCTAAACTTTTCAAGTTTTCAAATATTTACTGATTAACACTGCCAATTCAGTAATTTCCTTAAATTAACCTGAAGTATCGTTCGCTGAGTTGCGTAGATAATCTTAAGGACTATCGATTAAACATGATGATAATATATATCGTATTGCGGTTTGACTTAAATTATTGTAGCATGGAAAAATAGTAGTAATGAAATTTTTTATATTTTGTGAATTTTAAGCTACCTTTTCGCTGTTTACTATTATTATATATGTAATTATAACATTATTTATTTTTGGATTAGTTGGACTTATTTATTTTTTTTTTTAACTTAAACATATAACCAAAAAGTATGAATCAAAATTAAAACTTGTTTTTTTGCTTTGTTAGGTATTCACTTCCAGCTACAGTATTACAGGATATAAATGAACCGCTTTAATTGTTTAGTGTTGTCTAATGCAGTAAATCAGTTAGTCAAAAACTGCCCAGCATTGCCGGCTTAGCGCTCGGGTTGTTGTCTCCGCTTAAAATTTGAAGTTAAATTTGTTTTTTTGCGATACTCTGCTCAAATTGCAGGATCTGTATTTAAGCGTCAGAATATCATAGCAAGTGCATGGAAGTCGCACATTGTGTGTATTTCATGAAGCGCATCTAGATGCAACAGCCGAATGGTTCATAAAACATGTAGTGACAGACGCTGCTGCCGGCTGCTGCTGGTGCTGCTGCCGATGTGTGTTGAACAATGAAAGAGAGAACAACGGTAAATGTGCAGCGTTTCCGCTGTGTGGGCTTGTTAACGGCTGGAGCGAAAGGTTGGGATGTGGGGGATAACCGAGCGGGCAGGCGAATCACGAAACACGAAACAAACGCAAATCCTTTTTATCCATTCAATATGCATATTTACAAACAAACAAACGAATATAAATGCACGCACACAGCCGAATGCACACACACATAGGTGCTAGCGGCTGAGCAATGCTTTTGTGGTTATATTCTTTTTTTAAATTGAATGAAACGGCATGGAAAAGGCCATTATTTTATATTGTCTAGCATAATACGATTGTCTCATATGGTAGAGCCATTTATTTGCGTAAAATATGCAATTTTATTATGAAGCAAAATTAGGTGTGCCATTGCTCTCGCTGGCTCCGTGCTCTGTCATGCAATTAAAATTGTTGACGTGCGAGAAGAAGCTGAGAAAGAATTCAATTCTTGTGACAGCAGCGCCCTCCAACGGCCAGATATTGTCAACAGCTACTCATAGTGAAAATCCAATAAGCAGCTCCTTGACAACAACAACAACTACAAAAAAAAAACAGCAAGCACAACGTATTGTTGTCGCCATTTTGTACCTTCGTATTCCATTTGTACTATTTGTACTGCACGCAGCGTTGGTCACATTGAATTGATTTTGAGCCATTTTTTTGTTCACTTCTTATTGGAAGAAAAAATATTAAAAGCATATGCGCTGCATGATCGATTTTATTTATATTTTTTAAATATATATTTGTTTTTTTTTTGTTACTTTTTATTAAAATTGCAGATGATTATATTTATGTATATTTTATTTTTTCTTCAACTATTATATTAATATTTTAATTTTATATATTTTCATTATTAGCTTGGATTTTTATTATTATTGTATTGTGCTATATGAATGTTATTATTATAATTGTAATTAATACATTATTTTTTTAAAATTAAGGATTATTATTATTTTTAAAATAATAATAAATTAAATTAATATTTTTATACTTTTTAAAATTTTTTTTTTTTTCTAAATAAAATTAAAGAAATAATCTACTGTTTCTGCTACTAAATATTACATTTACCAAATAGATATTTTTTATAAAAACTCTTTGATGTTTGTACCTATATTAAAACTTTGAATTGCTACATGAAACAAGAAATTCGTTGCTTTTATGACTTAAATTTAAAAATTATCAAAATATCTAAATACTTGTGTTTCGCACAATGAAGTTTTTAATTAGGGCAATCAAAAAGATATTTCAATTTTATTACCATTTAAATTGTAATTGTATTCGTATAGTAATGAGACTTGATTAAGACAGCAATTAAAAGCGTTAAGGGAACATTTAATATTTTTGCATAATATTTATTCAGTTATTTAAAGTGCATTTGCGATTCGTCTGTTTGGGGCGAGAGTGAGGCGAGTGCTATTACTCAAGATTCTCTTAGCTTTCTTGACGCTTTTTATTGCATTTTTATGTCAACGGCAGCTGCTGCCTGCCTGGCTGCCTGGCTGCCTGACTGGGTCCTGCCTAGCTCCTGCCACCCTATATCCTTCAAGTCGAAGCTGTTTGTGTATTTCTGTCAATTGTGTTGAATTGAATTAAAGTGTAAGTCAATGGCAGGTGGTGCTGGGGTTGTGGTAGTGGCGCTCACAAATGAAAACCACAGCGGCCAGCAGCCAGCCGCAGAGCAGGACGAACCAGCCCAAGCGCAAGGTGTCCAGATCCAAGGCCTTGAAGCCCAGCGAATTATCAATGAGGTGGACGTAGCCCGCCTTCATGGCGTCGTTGAAGTCGGAGACGACCCAATGTTGGAATAACCCAATGCTCTGTATGCGCATGATGAAGTGCTTGAGCAGTGGCTCCAGGTGCGAGTCCCTGCGCATTTGGTAGCCAATAACTGGTGCGCCAAGGCAGACGGAGGAGAACCGGTAGATGGGCTTCATGGCATATTGTTGCTGCAGCGCAAAGAACTCCCAGCGCTCGACAGTGAATGGATACGAGTAGCTGATATTGAAGCCAAGCAATGCGCTCACCTGCTCACCGGCCTCGGAGCCAACGACGAGGCGTGCCACCTGCTTCTCCAGATGTGGAGGCACCATTTGCAGCACCATCTCCACCTCATGATGCTTGACCAGAATTTTCTGCTGCTGTGCAATGAGCTGCTCAAACGTGTCCACCTGCTCGCCCACCAAGGTGGCGGTCAGGAAGCTGCTCAGCTGGTTCGAATACCAGTTGGTCACAAAGAAGCCCAGCACGGAGAGCTGCAAGGCTACGAGGAAGTAGCGCATCGACGGCTGGTAAATGCGTGTCGGCGAGCTGAGAAAAAGTAGCTGAGAGAGTCCAGCCAGCAGTGAGTGCGCGGCACGCAGTCCCGTGTCCTCATTCAACCCGGGACTCAGGAAGTAGAGCACGAGACTTACATAGAACACGGCAGCTAGCAGCAGTAGCCAGCTGCTCCAGTGAAACGGACGCAGCAGGTACATGAAGCGTGGAATCTCATTCCTCACCGGCATAATCAAGCAGTTCTGGGCTATGTGCAGCGGATAGCTGAGTATGCCCAGCTTGCGATCGATGCCCACATAGGGGTGCATGGAGATCTCCAGCTTGTGCGTGCCAATGAGCTGCTGGATGCGACTCATATTGACGCTGCTGTCGATGGGCAGAGATTTGCCGGCATTGCTCACATGCAGCACCGCGTTGTGCCTGTAGAAGAACTCTGCCAAGACGCGGTAGCCGTAGCCGCGAATGAGCTGGGCGCCCGTTCGCTTGTCCTGCAGGCGAAAGACTCGTGGCAAGTCATTCTCAGCCGGCGTAGAGACTACATATTGCCGCAGATCACGAGGAGCGGGGGGAAAGAGCAGCAGCTCCTTCTCCTGCCCCTTCCCCTCGAGCTGCAGCTCAAAGTAACGCAACGTTGGGTAAGGTGTGTATCGATATATCCTTTGCCTATGTATCACCAGGACTCGCAGGAACTGCAGACTCCACAGCTTGGCGAATATACCGCGCACAGCTAGGTGGCCTCTCTGGGCCGCCAGGTTGACCAAGAGACGACTCTGACGCATCTTTCGTAAGCGTTCGTCCAAATGCCACCAGATCTGCTCCTCGGTGCTGTAGCAGAACAGAAGGCTCAAGGCGTCGTTCTTGATGTGATTCCTCAACGGATTGAACGGATTCGGCTGCTCCTGGGTGCCATCGAAGATATAGCTGGAGCTGCTCAGATTGTTGTGGAGCCAACGTACCAAGTCGTTCACCTGCTCTCGCTCCACATGGCGACTGATGAAGATGGGCATGGTCGTCCACCTCTGTTGGCCAGCAGCTCGCCTTGCTACCTCCTCTATGAAGCTGAAGTTGTGCGACAGCTGCTGCTGATCTGTGGGCCAAGTGCAGAGCTGCAGCAGCAGCAGCAGGTGAAGTAGTTGCTTCGTCAGCTCCATAGCGGCGAGTGGACTATGCCAAAGGACATTCACGGCTGCACACTTTATAGTGGAACACCCCTAATTGCTTTAATTCAATTTAATCGCACTGCTAATTGAACTTATCTGCGGGCATACGAATCTACCTGTCTACACACTTATGCAATTACCTGCAATAATGAAGCTCGACTAATTGCAGCCTGGAAGTGTCTAATAGGACCTGAGCTAATGGACGGGATAAAGCAAGTTAGAATAACGATCGAGTTTGACAAGGCTTAGATAAGAAGTGAACAAATTGAGCTGACAAATTTGACGATAATTATCGATAATACATTCGGTTGACTAATAATATAATACATAATAATAATATATCAATTTTAGACATGTTCAAAGATCAGGATCTGGAATCAATTATAGACATATTCAAAGTTCAAAAATATTTTACTTTATGAATATTTATTTTAACTTTTTAACAAAAATATAAAATCAAATCTGTTAACTTGGCATATACTAAATGAGATGCCAGTCAACTAGCGAAAAGACCAAGTACAAATAAACATTTTTTACACTTATATATAATTTGGGGTCTATTCTATATGATTTGTCATAATATATATAAATATATATGTTATAAATATATATCGTACATATTTGTAAGCAAGCATAAGATTTTCTATATATACATATATTTTATCTTTATCTTTTTCTTATACCTTTTTAGATATTATACCCTGAATTCCCATTTTTACTATGTTCAAAGGTATAAAAAAAGGTACAGTCTTCTCCGTGACAATGCTTACTGGAGCATTGCCGTGACCAGGATTCGAACCTGGGTTACCACGGCCACAACGTGGGGTCCTAACCACTAGACGATCACGGCTACTGAAGACACTTGAAACGTAGTCGAAAAAAGGTTTATATTAACACACTATGTGTACATGACTGTGTGTGTGTTTGTGTATATGTATGTGAATGCTTTGGTCAAGCTTTGCTACAATTTCTTGTGCTTTAAAACAAGAGCAAACAACTCAAACAGCAACAATAAAAAACTCCAGTTGGAGCTGTAGCAACAACGATACGAACAACATGGGAAACAACGGAAGCAAAAAGCAAGAGAAACAATAGTTAGATAATTGCGATCGGGTGCAGCCGACTCCATATAACTCATTCATGGTTCCAAAACATCTACATTTCCAATTCAAATATCGATACTTTCCGATTGGCTACGCCCCTGCACAGAGCATATCTGTTGCCCCATTTGTGGAGGAGAGGTACAGTGATGCACCTGAATAATTTTACGACTTTTGTACGGCTTTTTCGGTTGGGCACCCCCAAGTAGGCTTGAATATATAATGCTTGGTCAGTTTCAAAAGGGGTTTACAGTAATTTTGCTATCAAATTGTCAAGTTATAGCCAGAACTTGTAGAAGATAAACTTTTTTCCGATTTGCCATGTACCAGAGGGCCATAGATTTGTTTTATATATTTATATATATATATATATATATATATATATATATATATATATATATATATATATATATTATTTTTTTAAATACATATAAATTTAATATATTATATTTCAAGTTCCAAGTGTCTAGCTTCAATATCGCCCTGAGCAATTGGGGCTTATGAGTCAAAATGTATAGTATATCCCATTTTATAAACTGCATAAGAACTGCATAAATTTTCTGAAATTTTTTATATATTTTTTATTATATATTGAATACAATTTCCAGTTAAACTCAAATATAGCCAAAACATGTATGTAATAAAGATAATAGCTGGAATCTTATGTTTATATGCTTTAAATTTATTTCTTAAGATTTTCTCTTGACGTTAAGCTCAGATATTGGTCAGACTGCCCTCGTACTCGTATACATTGCTATATATATTTATATATTTTTATATATTTATATATTTTATATATATACTTTTATTGCGATGTCCATGTTATATATGTAATTCTCGTATTTTAATACTAATTAATGTCTTCTTTAAGATTTTTTATATTACATATTTTTTAATTTTCCCGTATTAAAAGTATTTTTACAATTTTGTTTCAGTGAGAATTATTTTAGGAAAGTTATATGCCAGCTAAATATATTAATAGATTTGTTGGTTAATCTTTTTGGTGCCAATACTACTAATAGCAATGCGGAAAATTTAATTTAAAAATAGAAACAGCAATAAAAGAAATAAGTCTCAAGCAAATGTTTATCAATTTTTCAATTTTCATTTATTGAAAAATTAAAAAATAAGAAAAAAATAAAAAAGTAAATAAATTAATAATATTTAATATTTTTTAATAATAAATTATTTTATAAAATAAAAAGATAGATCATTTTTTTATAAAATAAAAAGATAGATCTTCTCCATGACAATGCATATTGCAGCATTGCCGTGACCAGGATTCGAACCTGGGTTACCACGGCCACAACGTGGGGTCCTAACCGCTAGACGATCACGGCTATTGAAGACACTTGAATAGCAGGCGAAAAAAAGCTTATATCAACGCACCATGTGTATGTATGTGTGTGTGTGTATATCAATGCTTTGGTCAAGCTTTGCTACAATTTCTTGTGCTTCAAACAACTTGTTTATGGAGCTAGTACACCAATAACGGCAACAATAACACGCAGCAACAGCAGCTGCAGCAATAACAATAACAACAGCAACAAGAGAAATAATAAAAGCAAAATAAAGAAAAATAAATTTAACGGTGAAAGGCAGCTAGCTTAGCGAAACCCGCCCAACCCAGCAGCAAGTACGAAAGACAGAATAAAACAACCAACCGACAGACAGCTAGACAGACAGACCAACCGACAGCCAATAAACAAGATTTTGGTTTATGAATGAATGTAAATTTCGAGCAGCGGTGAGAGTAAAAGAGAGAGAGAGAATGTGCGAGGTAGAAAAGAAGAGAGCGCAGCAGAGAGTGTAACGGTCTGGAGAGGGGCGGCAGGGCGCGTTGCTTGACTTGGCATTTCAATTCATTTTGCTATCAGCAGCATTTTGCGGCTTTGCTTGTGGGTAATTGTAGAACCAAAGGGAAGGTGGGAGAGGCGCATTCCAGCAGCGCTGCTTAGGCAGCTGGAATGGCAGAGGGCGAGGTAGGGAAATATGAATACGAATAATAAGTTGAACCAAAATAAAATGTTGCATAAATTTAGAGCAAAGCATGAATATAAATGCGATTATCTTCTACTTAAGCTGAGCATATTTGATTGCACAGGAATTAAGCGTATTTCAGATATTTATTAGCACATCAATTTATTATAAATTACTTATTTATTAGCTAAACCAATGAACAAGCGCAGTTGATTAATTGAAATAAATTTGCAAAACATCAAAAGTAATAACAAATCATTTTCACCTTGGGGAAAATAATTTTAATGTGTTTCTGTTTCAGCTGCATTAAAGAGATAAAAGCAATTCCTTTGTGTTTACCGCTTTGCGTTTACAATTGGATTTGTATCGTTTTTTGCTCCCTTTCGCTGTTGTCATTACATGTTAATTCCATTTGCTAAACGAGCTAAGCTATTAGGCAGAGTGGGGTATACCCGCACATAAACGGTTCTTATATATTTCCAATTTAATTTTAAGCGTGATTAAGAATCTCTCCATATATAGCTGCCCAAAGCTCTAAGTGAATGTGTTTGTTGTGAAGTTTCTTCAAGTCGTGTATACCCCACGTAGTTTGACTGGGCATGCAAAATGAACTGTGCACACGCACCTTTAATGAGGTGCTGACTTGTGTGCGACGCTTATATCTCCCTCGAGGCATTTAAATGAATTATATTTGTTTCCACTTAAATACATCTATTATAAGAAAATTGAATAAATGTATGGGTTTATTTCGAAAAAGCAATTCCAAGTGATGGGACCTTATCGCAGATGTAGCCCAGGGAGATAAGCAAATACAGTTATGCTTATCATTCATATATATACATACATACATATATGTATATATATATATTCAGAGATAAGCAGAGTGTAAAATATGATTTATGTAAGCTGATTTGCAATATGATTTAGAAGTTGGCCACATTTTGTTATACTTTATAATGCATTGTTTGGGTCCATCTGATTATATTATTTGTAAAGTATTACATTTGATGGTGATTATTATGATAATGATGATGATTATCATGATAGTCTTCTAGTTATGTTTGATAAGTAAAGTTTTCACAGTTGATTCTTAGCAATCTTAGCAAACATTTCTGCATTATCAGCTCATCTTTATCATAATCATTATCTTATGTTACAAAAAGGCACTGTCTTTATGTGAACTATAAATAAAATAAAATAAATAAATCATTCTCTTAATTATCATGATATTTATTTAATTTTAAATGACTCAACTTATTCCAGATTAAATACTCCACATTTTAATTCAATATATATCGAAATATTTATATTTATTTCAATTACACATAAGACCTCTTTGACTTTTATTGTAAAGCATGCCAAGCGCCTTCCATTCAGCCATCCCAAACAAGTTTCAATTGCCGGCAACTTAAATACACTGCAAATATCCCGTTGTATCCAGTTTTCGTATAATTTTTGCGTTTCATGATTTTGTAATTACGATTAAGTACAATATTATTTCAATGGTATTTTCTGTCCTTTTCTCGTTCCTTTTCGTGTTCATTGTGCGCCATTAAAAGTATAACGGGATTGGTGGGTGAAGGCGGCAGTGACTGTGACTGGAGTCAATGTGGGCGTGGCCTTTAGTTTTTTTAACACCACTTTGGCGTTACGTGCGGCAAAGTCCTTAAAAAAACACTAAAGTGTTTACATGTAAACTGAAAATTTACGAAAACCACACACATACAGTCACTCATACATATCACAGTCACTCACACATACACATACAGACAGCAGAGCGTAAAATTTTTGCACGGATTTAATTTTTGTGCAATTTTTTGTAGCCTGCTTTTGAAATATTAAAAAAGCCCTGTATGTATGTATGTGAGAGAGAGAGAGAGAGAGAGAGAGTGTGTGTGTGTGAATATTCGCGCTCTAATAATTGCGCAAAAGAGTTGGGCTATTTATATGTAAGTATTGACCGTATGACTATGAAATAAGCAAGCCCGTTTTTACAAATTAATTTATTATACAAAAAAAAAAAACAAAAATAAATAAAAAAATATATAAAAAATAAATAAATATACACATTATGGATTTGTAATTTACATGAAGAGGTTAAAGCTTAACAAAAAGTGCACTCAATACTTGATGCACAGTAGTTGAGATGAACAAAAATATAACAGTTAAATAAGTGTCGTAAAGGAAATATATACGAAAGAGAGAAATATATGAATAGAAAAATGATAATAATATATAATAGGCAATAATATGTAAGAGGCAATGTTCTTCTGTTGTGCTAAATTGCTGTAAATGAGGGAAGAGATTGACGGAGAGATAGGAGCGAGTGAGACAAGACAGAAAATGATATAGATTAAGAGAGACAGAGAAATATAAGGAGAGAGAGAGGGATAGAGAGGGAGACAAAGTCTGAGAGAGAAAAGTGATAAAGATGGGGAGCAGAGAAACAGAGAGAAAGGTATAGAGATAAATATTTAGTGAGGTAGAGAGAAAAAGAAAGCAATAAGAGAGAGTGCTAAAAGCAGATATAATAGATGTCCATCTATGCAGCTGTGAGCAGAGCAGAGAAAAACTAGTCAAGAGTATAAATTATAAGTGAGAATCGCATAGTAGAGCAGCATTAAAAATTCATTTATATTGCAGCAACACTAAGCGACTTGCTCAAAAGAAAACTTCTTTCAATAAGAGTATTAACAGATCTAAATTTATAAGAAGCAGTCAAGGCGCATTGTAGTTTATGAGAATCACCTAGAAGGGCAGTATATGCGTGTTTATACATGCCTACGTATTCACATGTATATCTACAGCTTCTTATATATATCTAGTTTTCATCAAGAATTTATTGCATTCTACTCACTGTATCTGGCCTTTGGTGCCGCCAACCAGTCTGCCACGTTTGAGGGCCACAATTGACCGATTGATGTTGTTTTATTAGGTTTTTTGCAGTCTCGGATTGGATTGTGGGATAGGTTTTTATGTTCTGATAATTTGCAGTTGTCCCGCACGTGGGAACACGAGCGCCAGTTGAGGTGACTCTATCAGCGCTTGACTATAAATATGGCGTGGAGCACGAACCCTTTGCACAGTTGCAGTCAGGCAAAATGCAGGAGAGCATTTATACGCCTTTCAGCTCGGATATACCGTACGCTTTTATATACACTGATGAAATGACGGGTCGGGCCTTGTACTGTGGACCATATCTGCGATCCTTGGAGAGTTTCGCAGAGAACTTCCACTACAAGCTGCAGCTGGAGTACGTGGAAAATATGCCGAAGAAGTCGCTGCTGCTCGAACAGATTGCTGCGGGGCAATACAACACGTCTCTGCACGGCGTGACCATAAGGAGCATATTAGAGGATCCCTCCTCGAGCGTCATACAGTATGGCTATCCCTTTGAGGTGATGAAGTTCTGTGTGATGGTTCCCTTGGCGCCGGAGCTGCCGAAGTGGATGTACATGGTGTGGCCATTGGGCAGGTACGTTTGGACGACACTCTTCTTGGGCATCTTCTATGTGGCGCTGCTTCTGCGCTACGTGCACCACGGCGAGGCAGTCGCTCGCTCCTACACTCGGAACCTGCTGCACGCCATGGCCATCATCATGTACAGTCCGAATATGAATATGCCAGTGCAGCTTTATCAGCCGCCATTCCGCATGCTCATCTTCTACACGCTGCTCTACACGCAGGGCTTCATTTTATCCAATTATCACATTAGTCACATGACGTCCTTCGACATGAAGCCGGTTTTCGTGAAGCCCATTAATACGTGGTCGGATCTGATAGAGTCTAGGGTGCGCATTATAATACCGGAGACGCTGTTGGAGGAGCTACGCACACTGCCCATAGTGGACATCTCCGCATTGGATGCCCAATTCGAGCCACGCGAGGGCCAGGACTATCAGCGCCTCATGGTGAATCCCTCGCTCAAGTATGCCTATGTGGTTACGCAGAATGAGTGGGAGTTCTGGGATCGACAGCAGCGAGTGCTTATCCAGCCGTATTTCCATATGTCTCAGGTCTGCTTTGGCGGACTCTTCAACACATTTCCCCTCCAAAAGGATGCGCCCTTTGCCGGTCAACTGGATCGCTTTTTGCTGTATATAAGGGAATCGGGTCTGTGGGAATATTGGCAAGATATGGCCTTCATCTTCGCGTTGCGTGCGAAATTCGCACGGATCTTTCTGGACACATATCCCGTGGAGCCCCTGAATCTGGAGTTCTTCAGCACGGCATGGATTGTGCTCATCTGTGGCTTGCCCTTCTGCTCAGTGGTCTACTGCTTGGAGCATCTGTGGAGCCGTTGGATAGCCGGGCATAGTAACTCTTCCTTGCAGCAAGGGGTCTACTAGAAACCGAAGTTTTTGTGATTAGATTAAATCTACAATTAAACAAGTCTTTCTGACTTGGAGATATTTTAAAAGTATTCGAAACTTAAATAATAGAATTACAGAGTATCTGAAATACGTTATATTTTTTCTTAACAAAAAAGGTTTATACGATGGCATACCAATTAATCAGCGTATATAGGCTTAGCTAAACATATTTATAGGTAGTATAACACGAACGACTCGACAGCTTTCATCGTTTGTTCAGTGGCTAATTATGACGTCAAATGTCATAGATATTTATGATAGAAATCGAGAAATTACATTGTTTAATTGCTATGTTTGTCAAGGTAAGGAAAAGTATACCCCGGAGAAATAGTCGAAGGCATTTAGAACGCTATAAAGTCTAACAAAGCGCTAGCATTACGCATACGCATCGTGAACGTCTTGAAGTTATGTATACGCCCCATTTGATATTCATTCTACTTGTGTTGCCATTTCCATGGAGCTGTGCCTGGAACATCAAATACATTAGCACACTACTAAATGGTTTTAACAGATTGGCTACGTTCCAGGATTTGGTGTGGTTCGTTAGCCAGCAGCTGGACAACGAGCAGAAGGACGACATGGAAAAATTTATGCGCTTGCAACACGATACGTTTTTCGTCACACAAATTGTGGTTGCTAACAACACGGCTATGCGAATGAGTCACTCGGCAGTCAGACGCAACCAGATGACCGTGGTCTTTACCACGGGTCTCCACGATCCCATTATGACGGTGACCAATAAGGTGATGCTTGGCAAGCATTTTTACCTCGCGGTGTTCATAATAATGAAGAAGGTGGAGAACATGGAGGATGTGTACGAGATATGTCAGTTTCTCAGCGACAATCAGTATGAGAACTCTCTATTATATTTCGAATCGATTGATGGCATAAATCAGATCTACGGCGCGGTTCAATATCCAACATTCCAAATAGAGAATCGCACGGATCTGCAAGCGTATATGAAGAGGAAGCTTAGCCAGTGGGCAAACGCCGTTCAAGATGTGGGCGGTTATCGCTTTGCCACGCCCATGAGAGAGGATGCTCCACATTTGTTTAGTGTGGAAGATCGCTACGAGGGCAGCACCTATCGAATCATAAACACCTTCGTGCACCACCTTAATGGGAGCTTCTTGGAGATGGAACTTCCACTAGATGCGCTTGGAGGCCGCGCAGTTAATATGAAGCAAACTCTGCAGCTCGTCAGAGACCAAAAGGTGCAGTTCGTTGCCCATGCTTACGCCTTGTTTTCGCCGGACGACGACGTGGACAAGAGCTATCCACTGCTGGTGGTGCCTTGGTGCTTGATGGTGCCGCTCTACAACAGCGTCTCAACCTACTTCTATGCGCTGCAGCCCTTCGACACGACCGTTTGGTTCTTTGTGCTGGGCTGCTTCCTGCTGCTCAGTTTGCTGGAGCTGCTTTGGCTACGACTAGGATTCAGGGCGGCCCACGGAGCAGCTGGAGTTACTACGGCGCTCCTGAACTCCTTCTGCTACATCATCAACATAGCCACAGGCAGGCAGCTCCTGCAGCCGTCGCTCTTACGCTTTCTGCTGCTGTTGGCTGTGTTCTTTCATGGCTTCTTCCTATCAGCTAATTACACCTCTACGCTAGGCAGCATTTTGACTGTGAATCTGTTTCACGCCCAGCTGAATACAATGGACGATCTGCTGCGCGCCCAGCTGCCTGTCATGATCATTGACTATGAAATGGAGTTTCTGCTGCAGCTGCACAAGGAGCTGCCCGACGCGTTTATTCAGCTGCTGCGCCCCGTGGACAGTGGCATCTTTGCCCAGCATCAGTTGAGCTTCAACAGCTCGTATGCCTACTTTGTGACCGAGGATAGCTGGCAGTTTCTGGATGAGCAGCAGCGCCATCTCAAGCAGCGCCAATTCAAGTTTAGCGACATTTGCTTTGGCTCCTTCCACTTGGCCTATCCCATTCAGCGCGATTGCTCGCTCTGGCGCGACATAGAGTACTTTACGTTCCGTGTTCACTCCTCTGGCTTGCTATACTACTACGCTCGGCTCAGCTTTGAGTCGGCACTGCATGCGGGCATTGTGCATCGACTCCAGGAGCAGAACGTCTACACATCCGCGGGCCTGCAACACTTGGCCATAGCGTTCATTATGCTGTTGGTCATGTCAGCCTTAGCACTTATCGTTTTTCTAATCGAGCTCTTGACGAAATTCAAGCATTAATCGAAATTGTATTATTGATTTGCCATTGACCTCAAAGCATATTTAGCATAAAATTTTATTTGAAATTGGATTGAGTCAACCTCGAAACAAATTAGCGGGCAGCTGGATGGCTGGATGTCGAAGGGGCGCTAAAATGGATGGCAAATGGCTCCATAAATTGCAAATATATTTATAAAATTTGTATTTTAAATAACTTAGAGATAAAACAATTACAAACGGCTGCTTGTTGCCCAGATTCCAAGAAGAGTCGCTCGAGGTTCTACGAATGCTTTCATTGGCATCCAAAGCGTTTGCGTCTCTGAAAAATATAATTTAATTAATGTATATTGGTAAACGTATAAAGATCTAATTGTTAGCCAACCTTGAAGCTGAGAAAGTCTTAAGAAATTGCTCTTAGATTCTCCTTCTATAGCTCGTGCGCCTCTTTAAGCTGCTTTTCATCCTATGCTGATGACATTTCATCTCCAAGATAAGACCCATCTCCAGCATCATGCTGGACATGGTTATGCTGTGAGCTTATGAGTGGCTGCGGCTGCTCATGCAGAATTATTAGGCGAGTGACACGTGTGTACAGTGCCTTCCAGAAGTACTTGTATCTATAAGTATAGAGAAAGAGAGGGACATAAACAGATAGCGAGGAAATCAGGTATCCAAAGAAAGTTAGACTTAGAGTGAGAATGATAGCGATATCAAAGTAATATGGAGAGGAACAGACAGAGAACAGAGAAAGAGACGAAGTAAATGGGGACATAATGGATGAAGACTGAGATATTGAGCAGAGAGCAGCCTAGAGTATAATTTGTATGTGAGAATCGCATCGTAGAACAGCATTAAATAGTAATTTTTATTGCAGCAACAATAAGCAATATGGACAAAAGAAAACTTTTTTCAGTTCCCATACCACTTCTTTATAGTCTCACTCATAAACGCAGTCAAAACCCATTAAACTTTATGAGAAGCACTGAGAAAAGCAGCGTGTGTGTATGTATATCTACATATTGACATGTATATTTAGAGCTTTTTATATATATCTCGTTTTTATCAAGAATTTATTTGCTTTGCTGCCTCCAAATTTTATGCCACGTTTGACGGCTACAATCGATCGATTGATATTGTTTTTAGGTATATATATGCGTTCGCTTAAAACAGTTTTGTTTATTATTATTAATTGTAAAATTAAATAAAATAATTTTTCAAATAATATACACTAATAATTATATAAATGCTCATTATCTGTATGATAATGCTCACTTTGATTAAGATTGTGAAGTCAATTATCATAAATATAAGGGTCATAATGAGAATTATAAAAAAGTTAATGAATATTTCGATTATAGAACAAGAACAGCAATGAAAATTAAGGTAAATAATGTAATCTAATGTTTATTAAAAATTAATAAACAAAAACTATATAACAGAATAAAGACAAAAGCTTAGAAAAAAGCTTTAATATGTCAGCAAAGTTCATGGTATTGCTAATGCCTAAATTGCCATCATTATAGTGTTCATTTTATCCATGAGAATTATGTAAATAATAAATGATAATGGAAAATGCAAAACATTTTACTAATAGTTATAAAAAGATTAAATAAACATATTATATATTTGTAATTATAGGGAAGTCAAATGACCATAATTTTCATCAAATGTAATTTCTGAATTCACTGAATCAGGACGAGGCTTTCAAGATTCGCTGAACTCTCTCTTCTGGGAAGTTGTTTTTAAAGCACTTTCGTATCTAATAGGAAAATTAATTACTTCATTAATTAAATTTACATAGAATTGGCTAATTTTGCCCTTACAATTATAAACTTAATTTAAACTTAAAGTTTTTAATTTATTTTTTGATATTTAAAGTGTAAAAGAAACTTAAATATTATGAATTACAGAATATCTCAAAGAATGGAATACGGCATGGAATAATAACAAATTAGGCAACATCGATTTAGCTAAACATATTTATAGGGAGCATAAAAACAACGGCTCGACATCTTAGGTCGTTTGTTCAGTTGCTAATTATGATGTCAAATGTTATAGATATTTAAGATAAACATCGACAAATTACCTTGTTTAATTGCTATGATTGTCAAGCCAAAGATATGTATACCCCTGAGGTATTCGAATGCTATAAAGCCTAACAAAACGCAGACATTACACATACGCATCGTGAACGGCTTGCAGTGATGTATACGCCCCATTGGATATTCATTTTATTCGTGCTGCCATGGAGCTGTGCGTGGAATTTCAGATACATTAGCACACTTCTAATTAGTTTTAACAGACTGGTTGCGTTCCAGGACTTGGTTTGGTTCGTTAGCCAGCAGCTGGACAACGAGCAGAAGGACGACATGGAAAATTTCATACGCTTGCAACACGATGCGTTTTTCTTGACGCAAATTGCTGTTACTAACAACTCGGATATGCGAATGACTCATTCGGTAGTTCGACGCAACCAGATTTCTATCATCTTTACCACGGGTCTTAACGATCCTATTATGGAGGTGACCAACAAGGTGTTGCTTGGCAAGCATTTTTACCTCGCGGTGTTTATGATAATGAAGAAGGTGGAGAACATGGAAGATGTGTACGAGATATGTCGGTTCCTCAACGACAATCAGTATGAGAATTCCCTATTATATTTCGAGTCGATTGATGGCATAAATCAGATCTACGGCGCGGCTCAATATCCAACATTCCAAATACAAAATCGCACGGATTTGCAAAAGTATATGAAGAGAAAGCTTAGCCAGGTGACAAACGCCGTTCATGATGTGGGCGGTTATCGCTTTGCCACGCCCATGCGTGAAGATGCACCACATTTGTTTCGTGTGGAAGATCGCTACGAGGGCAGCACCTATCGAATCATAAACACCTTCGTGCACCATCTTAATGGGAGCTTCTTGGAGATGGAACTTCCACTAGATGCGCTTGGAGGCCGCGCAGTTAATATGAAGCAAACTCTGCAGCTCGTCAGAGACCAAAAGGTGCAGTTCGTTGCCCATGCTTACGCCTTGTTTTCGCCGGACGACGACGTGGACAAGAGCTATCCACTGCTGGTGGTGCCTTGGTGCTTGATGGTGCCGCTCTACAACAGCGTCTCAACCTACTTCTATGCGCTGCAGCCCTTCGACACGACCGTTTGGTTCTTTGTGCTGGGCTGCTTCCTGCTGCTCAGTTTGCTGGAGCTGCTTTGGCTACGACTAGGATTCAGGGCGGCCCACGGAGCAGCTGGAGTTACTACGGCGCTCCTGAACTCCTTCTGCTACATCATCAACATAGCCACAGGCAGGCAGCTGCTGCAGCCGTCGCTCTTACGCTTTCTGCTGCTGTTGGCTGTGTTCTTTCATGGCTTCTTCCTATCAGCTAATTACACCTCTACGCTAGGCAGCATTTTGACTGTGAATCTGTTTCACGCCCAGCTGAATACAATGGACGATCTGCTGCGCGCCCAGCTGCCTGTCATGATCATTGACTATGAAATGGAGTTTCTGCTGCAGCTGCACAAGGAGCTGCCCGACGCGTTTATTCAGCTGCTGCGCCCCGTGGACAGTGGCATCTTTGCCCAGCATCAGTTGAGCTTCAACAGCTCGTATGCCTACTTTGTGACCGAGGATAGCTGGCAGTTTCTGGATGAGCAGCAGCGCCATCTCAAGCAGCGCCAATTCAAGTTTAGCGACATTTGCTTTGGCTCCTTCCACTTGGCCTATCCCATTCAGCGCGATTGCTCGCTCTGGCGCGACATAGAGTACTTTACGTTCCGTGTTCACTCCTCTGGCTTGCTATACTACTACGCTCGGCTCAGCTTTGAGTCGGCACTGCATGCGGGCATTGTGCATCGACTCCAGGAGCAGAACGTCTACACATCCGCGGGCCTGCAACACTTGGCCATAGCGTTCATTTTGCTGTTGGTCATGTCAGCCTTAGCACTTATCGTTTTTCTAATCGAGCTCTTGGCGAAATTCAAGCATTAATCGAAATTGCATTATTGATTTGCCATTGACCTCAAAGCATAACTAGCATAAAATTTTTTTGAAATTGGATTGAGTCAACCTCGAAACAAATTAGCGGGCAGCTGGATGGCTGGATGTCGAAGGGGCGCTAAAATGGATGGCAAATGGCTCCATAAATTGCAAATATATTTATAAAATTTGTATTTTAAATAACTTAGAGATAAAACAATTACAAACGGCTGCTTGTTGCCCAGATTCCAAGAAGAGTCGCTCGAGGTTCTACGAATGCTTTCATTGGCATCCAAAGCGTTTGCGTCTCTGAAAAATATAATTTAATTAATGTATATTGGTAAACGTATAAAGATCTAATTGTTAGCCAACCTTGAAGCTGAGAAAGTCTTAAGAAATTGCTCTTAGATTCTCCTTCTATAGCTCGTGCGCCTCTTTAAGCTGCTTTTCAGCTTGTGCCACAGCTTGAGGCAATGCACCTTCATCACATGCTGATGCCATTTCATCTCCAGGATAAATACAGTGCCAGCCAAGATAAGACCCATGCACCAGGTGCGCATCATGCTGGACAAGAAGGTCATGCTGAGTGGTTGCGGCTGCTCATCCAGAATTATGAGGCGAATGACCCGCATATACAGTGCCTCCCAGAAGGACTGCCACTTCCAGTGGTGTCGCAGTCCCGATTCCTGAGAAATCAGTATAAAGTTCTGTAGGGGCGATTGCAGATGCGAGTCCAGATGCATGGGGTAAACGTGAAAAAAAGGGCCCGAACAGATTTCAGTTAGCCTAAAGACCGGCACTCGGAGGTGTTTCTGCAGCATGACTATCAATTCCCAGCGATCGCTAGAGATAAAGTAGCCAAAGGTAGTGTTCAGCAGGTCGCGATGCTGTTGAATGAAGTTTGCATCGGCCACAACGATTTGCTGGAGAAAACGCGCCGTATACAGCTCCTTCTTACGAGCCAGTGCATCGTATTCGAAATCCTGCACATAGATGATCAGATTGGCATCAATAATGTCCTGCGGCGTATTCATCTGTCGCTCAGGTGGTGGTGAGGTGAAGTAGCTAGCCATCTTGCTGATGTACATGTTGGAGGCGACCATGCCCATTATGGTGAGGACTAGATACAGATAGCGCATGCGTCTTGCCCTAGTCCTTACAATCGATGTGGGCGGACTGTTGGTCAGGCTGCAGATGCATTGCAGCAGCGCGGCGCTGAGATCCCTCGGACGTTGCGGCGAGCAAAGCCAGAGGGCAAAGCCCATGTACAGCATCGTCAGGATTAGCAGCAGCCAGACATTGTTCTGCAGAGCCTCGCGGACGTACAGTTCCTGCAGCGAATCGTTGCGATAGGGCACCATCAGGCACCAGTCGTTGATGCCAATCGGATAGCTGAAGCTGACCGAGTAATTGCCAATGAGATCTGTGTAGGAGTGAATCAACGTCTCATAGACGCCCTGAGCGACGAGTTCCAGGAGATTCGGCAGATTAAAGGTAGTCATGCTGAGGTTAGCCGAGGTGTCATGCATCGAGGCATTCACAAAGTCGAGGAATCCGAGAAATAGCTTCCCACTGGTGCCATAGACTGTCTTCTGATCCGCACCTTTAAACACGCGTGGCATATCATAAAAAACGGGCGTGTTCACCACATAGCCCATCATATTGCTGCTGAGTGGCCGAAAGAAGTCCTGAGTACTCCAATGGTCGGTCTTATTCACAAACTGCTGCGTTGGATACGGATTCAGCTGGTAGACGTTGTTGCTGATGGTCAGCAGCAGCGTATTGATGAACTGTTTGGTCCAGGACCAACGGAGAATATCGTGGTATATATTGGAGAATTGGGTAAAGGTCTCAAAGTTCTCGTGATAGTTGGCGCTGCTCAGATATGGAAACAGAACGAAGATCGTCTTCAGCCAGCGGATGCCCGTGAGTGTCTCCGAGGCGACCTCCATTATGGGATCGCTGCGGTGTGTGGTAAAGATCAGCACTAGAGATGGCGTGCTTATCAGACTCCGTATCGAGCTATTCGAGTTGATCGAGCTGTAGTTGTTTCTCACGATGATGCGCGGCACGAGCGGAAATTTGAGCCAAAATTTCTTGAAGAAATCGCTGCCGCCTTCACCATTCAGATTCAGTTTCTCCGATATGTAGAAGATGAGATTGTGAAAGTGATAGACGTCATCGATGCGATTCAAAACGTTGATGACAAAGTCATTATCAATGCTCTGCATCTGCGTCGCAATGGTCGCATTCCCAGCCGCTTGGGGCGTCGGTTCCACCTTAACTAGTTGAACTGGTCGCAATATGAGCTCAGCTGCCAGTTCGTTCATTTTTATGGAACGATTGTCGAAACGCAACTGATTCGCAGTCCCCGGCTGTCTTGCTGGCGGTCTGTCTGTCTGTCTGGCTCGCGTGTGGTCCACTCCGTGTGGGTTAGGTCAGAGCTGGCTTTGATTATTGCATTCCAACACCAAGTTTGACATATTGGACATACCGAGCGTTTTATTGGCTGGCAATCAAAATTGTTTACATTCGATGACAGTCGGCCAAACAGGAGCGTTTTAGCTGTCCAGAGGGTTCTACTGAAAGCTAACACTTTATGGTTAAGATTTCATATATAAGTTGGTCATGTTGTTAAATCTTAGTAAATTTAATTATACTTAAGAGCTCCCTTTTCAGATTCCTTTTAGAATGCATGAAGGAACAAGAGCGAATCCTACTTTTAGTAAAAAAAAAAATATTTTTATAAAATTTCAAATAAAATAATTATAGCCAAATTAGCTAGGAAAAAACTTTTTACAATTGGCCAGGATATAAAGTAAAAATTCATAATAATCATTTAATCAATTTCTTAAAAAAAATACTTAAAAATTTAAAAAATATTAATAAAAATAAAAAACAATAATAATAAATCTTATAAAAAAAAATATTTTTTTATAAATATTTATGAAAATAAATATAAAAAATGTTTGTTATCTAATACATTTTTTTTAATATTAACTATATTTTCTTTACAAATTTATACAAGTTTAAGCTGATCCCTTTTTGAATTTATAGCTTAAACTTTATTTATTAATATTATTTTATTTATTGCAAATTTTTATAAGTTTTTATTGTATCATATATATATATATATTAATTTTTTAAGCCACCCTGTCTAGGGCTCTGCGCCTAGCCGCGCTCCTGGTCACATGCTGTTCGGCGTACTTGTTTATTGAGTCATAAAAAGCGAAAACCCGTTTTGGCGTTTATCTCAAGTGCAAATCGCTCATATGCGCTATTTAGTCGTATTTATGCGGAAAGGTTCATATAATTGGACAAATCGTTGCAGGACATGCGAGGACCTTAAAGCGTGCACACTTAAAGTATCTGGCATTAAAGCGGATTTGTAGCTCACGCGGCGAACGCAATTAAAAATCACGCATACGCAGCGTGCAACGCGCTCGCACCACAAATTGTGTTGCCTACTTTGCAGGCAACAACCTTAGCAGCATTTTGGCGCTTTGCATGACTTTGACAACAAAATCCATTGCATTCTACATGACGCTGTGTAATTGCTGTGAAATTTCATAAATGTGCACAAATGCCAGCAGACAAGGCCATAAGCTGGGCATGGCTTATCGGGTTACGTCTTGGCTTTTATGGCTAGCAAAATGCAATTAGCCAGACACACACACACACACACATACACGCAGCCACACAAACATAGTCATTCATATTGTTAGCTTGGCTTGGAGCTTAAAATATTTATGATTGATGCTGGCTTAGTCCAGGTTTTTGGCCTGATATTGGCTCTAAGCCGTATTGACAGCGCGCGTGCTTTTGTTTGCTCGATGATTTTACAAATTTCAGCGATTTGCTGCTTACGTAATTGTAATGTGCAGTAATGCGCTTTGCTCTAAGTCAAAACTGTTCACACACCCACACCATCTCACATATAGACCCACACTCGCACTTATCCTCCCGCAGTTGATCTGAAGTATCGTGCGAACTATGGCAGCTGGCCAACACCTGAAGCTACACTTCACTTAAAACGCAGGGGCGTGCCAGTAGGCGTTAGGCGTGACATGTGTTTCGGGAAACGGCATATGACAGCATTTCAGCATTTTATTATATTTCTCTTTCCTTTTGTAGATTTTTTCTTTTTGTGGTTTTTAATGTTTGCGCCGCTAGCGCTAAAATACATTAAGCCAGCTTGTTGAGCCGCATTCAGTTTTTATTTATTTTTTGTATTCCTTTTAACTGCTGCTTTGTTGCACAGTGTTCAAGGGGTGTTTCACGCCTGGAAAGTCAGCGAGTGACAAATGATATTTGTGAGATTATATTCGTGTTAACTTATGGCTGGAAAATAAGTTTGTTGTGGTTCAGGGAGAAGCTCTGAAAAATGTAAATTAAATAAATTAAAATATTTTTATATGTATATAAATATTTTTTACAATTATTTTATATTTGTTAATTAAGAAATGAAAATAAAATAAATATCGAAATTAACATATGAATGGTTTTTTAAATTTGTTTTTACCCAGCATGAATATTTAATAATATCTGAAATTATAAAAAAATATGTATAAATATTCAAGCATTTTTATCAAGTCAATTTCTGTATATTGAAAAGGAATAAACAACATATTTTATATATATGTTTTTATTGTTAGTCAACATGAATATTATAAATGAATTTCGCGCTTAAAAATATATTTGAAAGTACTAATAAATATTTATAAATAAAACAAAGAATGTTTTTATAATTATATTTTTTATTTTTTATACTATATATTATATTATTGTAAAATGAGCAACAATTTAAAAAATTATATTTAATGTAATATATTTGAAATATAAGAAAAACTTTGTTAGTTATACAGAAAATATTCAAAATCTATTTCTCTAGAATACTTAGTTTAAATATCATGAGTCGACCTCAAAAATTATTTATTTCAATAAGAGCATTTGGATTACTTATATGTTAAAATAGTATAAAATAGATAAAATAGTATACAAATTTAAATTGAAAATAATATTATATATAATACTAATATAATTTATATACTAACTAAAATACAATTAAATTATAGAGCTTTAAACATATTTAAATTTTACATTTTTTAAATTAATTTAATTTAATAAAATAAATTAGAGACCTTTAAACATTTTTAAAGTTTACATATCTTAAATTAATTTATATATGTTTATTTTATTTATATACACAAATTTATTTTATTCTTAAGATTTTACTGTTCTTCATTACAAAATCTAGTTCAAAGTTTATTCAACAGTTTTTGTCAAAGTTACTTTCATATTTTCAGCTATGACTACATTTTATTAATCTCAGCTGCCATAAACTAACTGTTCTATTACAATGCTTTCCCGCCCAGTCTAACAGCTCCGAAATTGAGTTATAAATTTGCCAGCTACATCGCATATAAAATATTTTTTTTAGATGTATTTTTATGCTGTATTTTTTGTTTGCATGAAGTATCTTATTTCAAATTGTTTTAGTTACACTTTTTTTTACCCCAGCGCACAAGTCTAAATGTATCAAGTGCAAATGTGTGTGCTGGTGTAACTGTGTGTGTGTGCTGATGTGTGTGAGTGTGGCTGTGTATTGTGTGTTTTTGCCATTTGGAAACGGAAGCAAAATGTTGCGAATGTGTGCAAAAGTAGTTGAACGAAGGCCCTCGAGTTGTTTCGTTGCCCGTTGCTCATGTCAAGTGCCAGCTGTGTCCTGCGTCCTGTGTCCTGCGTCCGTCTGTGCCACACGCTCACCAGCCTGACAGCTGGGCTGCACTCTCGACATTTAGAGACCTCGCCCAACCACCACCGTCGAACTGCTTCGCCACCCAACCGCCCGCCCACTCAACGGGCCAGAGCAGGTGTGTTTGACTGGCACCGCAGCATGTGTCGAAACATTGCCAACCGCTGGCCGCTGTTTCTGTGTGTGATGGTGTGTGTGTGTGTGTGTGTGCGGCAACAGCAACTAACTGTTAAGCGAAATTACCGCAATCTCCGCACGTCGAACAATTTTTAATGCTGAAAAATGTATTTTCTAATTTTCTCTTGCCCGAGTGTTTTTCGCCTGACCAAGTTTATTTTGGCTTTTATCTGTAGGTGTATGTGTGTGTGTGTGGACAACAGGTGTATGTAATGTGTGTAAGTGTGGCCTCTTAGCCCGCCTGCAATATTAATGAAATATAATTATTTTGCCATTGAAACTTACTCTTCTTTGTGGACATTTGCAATGGCTTTAAGACTTTTTTGCTTTTCATGCGCAAATAGTTTTTTAGCTAGAAATACATTGCAAATGTCTAATATAGGGGTATATTGGCAGCTTGATGAGTGCATATATATACGTGAAATATTTGCTTAGCATTGATAGTGGAATTACTACCTTAGTCCGTTCGTCTGCTTGGCTCATGCGTTACTCAATTGGACCTTCCCCTCCCACAGTTTGCATCCATCTGTGTCTCGTTCTGGCTGACAGTTTAGCCTTTCGTCAAACAATCTGTCCATTTTCATCCTTGATTTATATCCATTCCTCCATCAATTATTCTTTAACGTAGTTATTCATCGGTCTCTCTGTTTGCCTCTATGAACTTACGTTCAAGATTTCTTCTCTTATATTTTCTGCTCAGCAGAGTTTCATTTAAAACTACTGAAAACTCATATCAGTTTCAATTAAACAGATCAGAATCTCTCACCTAGTTTTATTATTATTTATAGTATTTTTTTTATATTATTTATTTATTTATTTATTTACAAAAGTTGTGTGAGGTATTTGTCAGTCAGTCACTAGCGACTCAACTAGGAAAGCAGAAGGAGGATTTCTCTAGTTAGGGTATCGCCAGTCAGTCACTGAAGAAAACGCTCTTCTTCTTTATTTACGTTTCATCCGTGGATATTCTTTCCTCATTCTCTTTTTATCGTTTTATCGGGTATCTGACTGTCGGGCAACATCAGGCGAGACTCATTTCTTCTCCATTTTTATCCGCGCATTACGGGCATATTTTAGGCTATCTGCCAGTCGTTCATTTCCGTCTAGAGCATAGTGACTTCTTCTTCTTTTCGAGAGAGACTTCTTTTGCTCTCCTTTTTCACCTGGTGGCTGCGCATCACTGGCAAATGCAATTTGCACATTAATATCGGAGCGCAGCTAATTTTCAATATGAAACCGACAAACTTGCAGCTGGCAAAAGCTTTGGGTAAAAAGGCAATTTCCGCTTTTTTGATGCATTCTTTAATGGGCCAACTTGAGCGGATAGCTGCCAAGTGGAGGTGAACGAGGCGAGAGTGGCAGCCGAGCAGGCAAGCAGCCAGGCCGGCGGGCCAGCGG